TGACTGGCCAGTTAAACCAGGTGAGAGTAGCCAATGGATCTCAAACACTCAGTGAGTTAGGAACTTCCTATGCATGCAAAGACAGGTTCCAGCAGATTGAGCAGATGAGACCAATAGTAGGTCCAGTGGTCAAGAAGGTGGTTTCTGCATGTGCTATGAGGGAAGTGAAGGGCAGATGGGGCTCATCAACTTGGGAAGGTAGCCCATCTAAGAGAAGGAAAGCTCTGATCCAAAACCTCTGCTGCCTTGTGGGACATCCTTAGGAGAAGAAAAAGGCTAAGGAGTAAACCCTACAGGAATCCAGAGTGGAGTCCCTAACATGGTTGGATGACGCCTTGTATGCCTCCTTCTGGCAACTCCTGCAGTCAAGCTGGTTCCGAACATATTGCTCTGCTTTCCTTTGGATCGCATCAGTGAGGCCTGAGGAGCTGGATCCTGAGAACCCATTACCTTCAAGATGTTGAGGGATTCCAACTCCCATCAGCCCCAGCCAGTATGTCTAAATATCACCACAGTCCAACATAATCTGGACAGTGCCGATGCACTCAGGTTCTGCTTGTGGATTTCCCGTGGGCATTTGGTTGACTACTTTGAGAAGAGGATGCTGGACTAGATCCGACAGGTTCTTACATTCTTAATAGAGAGCCATAGGTTCTTGACTTCATCTTTAAAACTCCTATAAACCATGTTAGATTTTATTATAAACAAGTCCCCCTGCAAATACACACACAGACACAAATTCTCAGGCCAATATTTCCAACGTAACTCTTAATCTACAGGTTTCAGTATCTATTCAGTTGTTAAGATCTGCAGAAGAGCCTCTTCTCTGGGTGCCCCCACCTTCAAAAGTGAGGCATGTGGAAACTGGAGATACCTCATTTGTTAAGCAAGGGAGGTCCCTACTTTGGTTTTCATATCGTGTCCAAATGAAAGTATAGTATTATGCTTTTATTCAATGATCTTAATCATCTTTCTTGTTTAGATTTACTGTTCCGGTTGCTCTGTGATCAAATTACAGTTTTTAGCTGATTTTATCAGTTTTTGTTTGCCATTGCGGATTTTTGGTATGTCTTTTATATTATGGTAACAATCGTTTTTTTGGAGGGGAGAGTTGGGGTTGTCTTGTGGATTTTTTAATTGTGAGAATTGATTTGGGAACTGTGAAGTTCAAAAGTGGCATATCAATCAATAAGAGATTGATTAGAGAAGGAAGGGTTGGTATAGGACAGTTGGAGCACATGTGTACAAGACGTCTGTAGTTTTATTTCCTTATGACAAAGAGCCATAATATTTATCTTCAATAGATTGTTAGTTAACTTTAACATCCATGGCACATGCTTATTTAAAATGCCATAGTTATGATTAAAACTAAAACCCACTGAATGCTCTGACAAATGGTTTTTTAAAACTAATAGCTGGACCTTTGTACTGTCAACAGTTGTGTTGCAAAGCATAGTTGCTCTGCCTGCATTTGCCATTGAGCCCTACTCTGCAAATAATCTGAAGAAAGTAGAAGTGCCAAAGTCTAAAATACATAGTAACTAATTGATGTTTGGGATTAACAAAAGACATTTCTGTCCATTACAGTTAAGTCTGAGTGGGGATAAAAGTTCAGTCTACAAAATCCTTTTAAATATCTCAATTAAAGACATATGAATCTTCGAGTAAATGGCAATATCAATGCATGCATTTTTCTTTTACCATACTAATGGAAGTGAATTATTAATGCTCCATGAACATTTAAATGTGAATTAAAAGAAAAAAGAAAGAGCAAACAATTAGCAAAGGCATATGGGCTGCTTATCAGTCATTACCAAAATGAAATAAGATAACCCTAATTCTCAAGGCAAATGTAGCATGAAAGAAACAATAGCATCTCTAGTGCATTAGACTAACTTAAGAAGGATGCATGTTAAACACATTTAAATTAAGTGTTGCTCTAGAATTCTGAACTGGTTGCTTTTCCTCTGCCTTTGTGTGCCATCCTCCATATGCAATGGAATCCTACAAAACTGCCTGCTTATATTAAATAGAATGTACCATGGCAGGCTCTAAGGTTTTGTTGTCATCTGCACATACCCCATACACATTACACACAGACAAACATTGAAAACTGGACTTAATACTAAACTTTGACTAGTTTCTGGACCAAATTCACTAACACTGTTCAGCTCAACAAATCGGGACCACAAATCACAGCTCAGGGTTGGCTTGTGAATCTCGGGGTATGCTGTTAGTCAAACTTGATAACAGCATCAATTATAAAAACTCAACTACTATATAAAAAAAAAACTTTGTGAGTGGCAGGATGTCACATGGTGTCACATGAGTCCAACAGATGCCCAGTTCTGACAACCTCTGATGCTACACTTGGGTCAGAACCATGTTTGTAGCAGAGGTATCTGCAATTTCTACACTATTTAACAGGCAAGCCAATTTCAAACTGAAAACGGTTAGCCTATTAAAGCTGTGTGGAAGACTGCAATAGATAGTGCAAAGTTTCCTTGGGTACCCATATGCATACATTTATAGAACTGCACCCTTTCACTGTGTGACACCATACTAAATATTATCCTGTTACAAAAATAGTTCATTTTCAGCAGATACTGGTATCTGTAGAAACATAATAGACATAAACATAATTCAAGGAAGCACTACAGGTTTCACAAGAATGCAAACAAAAATTGTAAAACAAAATCCTTTATTAAGAGGTAGGCAAGACACCGATTTCAGCATTCTGTTTCCCTGTATCATTATTCCATGTGAAAATGATCGTAATTAGGAATTCAGATCTTCAATTCTGTTAATACAAAATATTTCAGTGCAATACTACATTACGACTGTGCTTACTAATTGTTGTTCCAACTGTATGTGTGGGGAAAGGTGTTTCCCCCTCAAAAGTTGAAGTGTTGTAAGGAAAATTTGAGAACCCCTTTATTTTTCAGCTGAAATAAAGCAGCTATATTTCTATCTGATCTCCTAATGTTCTTAAATGAATTTAGCAGTTCCATTTGGAGATACAGTAATGGAAATCACCTATGTTAAAAAACAAAATTAACTTAAGTTTATTGTGCCAACTTGAGTACTTTTACACATTAAAACTGGAATTTCTCCAACTCTGCTTGTGGTTTTCACTTGTATTGCTTATATTTAATTGTATTGCATCTCATTATATCAGTGTTTTTATTCCATTCTCTTCAGCATCGGAAATAGCTATTTCTGGGAAGCCAAATCGGCATTCTCATGAAGCCGGGGAAAGCCGCAATACAGTAGCAGACAATTATTTCCATCTATAAAGTCTGGAGTTCAGTTGGCTTGCCCCGTTCACAGCATTTCAAGCTTCATGGCTGTGGAAAACTTGACATCCCAGTTAGTTATTGATAAACAAAACTAAGCTATCTAGATAAATATAATGCAGTTATTTACATAAAATGGGACAGTTATGTTGCAAGAATGTAAAAAGTCCCAAACAGACTTGGAAGTTTAGTTGGGAATTTCTACCGCAGGAAGGTTGTGGTTTGTTTTTTTAATAAAAAATTGTAATTTATGTATTGCATTTATATCCCACCCTTTTCTCCAAGGCGCTCTAGGTGGCATACATGGTTCTCCTCCTCCCCATTTAATCCCCCCAGCAACAACCCTATGAAGTAGGTTAGGCTGAGAGACAGTAGCTGGCCCAAGGTCACCCAGTGTGCTTCATAGCCAAGTGGGGATTTAAATCCTTCTCCTCTAAGCTCCACCCATTCCAATTCTTTCTGCGGTCTCCCAAGCCAATTTCCATACCCTTCCAGAGGACCCCTAAAAACCTCCAAAACAGATTTTGAGAAGGTACAGAGTGCTTTGGGTATTTGCAAAAATCACCTCCCCGCCCCCTTCCCTCTGGCAAGAGTGACTTGTCCAAATAAGGCTTGCTTCTATACTGTAAATTATTTAAGATCAGGTCTTTTTAACTGCAACATCGCCAGCAATGACAAAACTGAACTCACGTTACAAATTACTTAATGATGGATACAAATCAGATGACTAAGGGGTGTGCTGGTACTATAGAGCCGTTCCTAATAAAGGCCTATGTTTTATTCATCTAGTTTTTACCAGTTTAATCCTGAAGGCATTATCTGTGATTAAGAGAATGCTGAACAGTGTCAGGTTCCACTGTCCACTACATATGACAAAGAGTTGCAAGTAAATATATTTCCATGGCCAGCAATGAAACAGAGCCTAGAATGCATTCATGTTACTCACTTCCTGGATTGCAGCCATCAAAATTATTTTGGAATGGTCTTATTTGGTCATTGTTTTTAGGGCTAATCAGAAATCACATTCTCATTCTTTGCATAACGAAGTCTGAAAAGCACTCAAAATTATAGGTGGTATTCTCTGCTTGTCTCTACTCAAAGTAGAAACATTGATGTTAACGGACATGTTTAACTTGGGTTCATTCGTTTCAAAGTATCTACCCTGAGTGAGAGAAACATTGAATACAACCCTCCAAATAATGGATGGTTTTGGAAATACGCCAAAAATAATAATAATGTTGTTTTTAAAAAAAATATTCAGAAAGGCAATGGATTTGGCAGCAGAAGAAAACCACACAAGATTTTGTAATAGTAAATATATTTCTAATGGGCCAAAATGCCTCTCTACGCATCTTACAGCTTGTGCATTTAGGAGGGAAAGAGCACACTGAACTGCACTCAATTCTATTTATAACACACTCTCTAGGCATGTTCAGCTATTTCTTCTGGACAAAACCAGGAGCCTTATACCACAAATGGCAAATTAGGCCTCCTTCTTCCAGAAATATTTTGCAACAAGCTACCTAAAATAAGTTGTATGAATTAAACTTGGAAACTGCAGCTGAAATCACATCTCATTTATATTAAATTTTAATTAAGGTTTTAAAATACAAGTTTATTCCGTGTGGAATACTATGTTAACGCGAGCAAAGCAGTGCTTCCTGTGATACAAGGTAAAATGCCTACAGATTTCCATTTGTAATGTTAAGCTTGCGTTTGGGCTGCCTCTGAGCTGGAAGGAGCATCTTGCTCTTCTTGCACACCGGAGGATGCCTCTTCAACAGGCGATTCGTCTTCTCTCTGTGCTTCTGCAGATTCAGTGTGCTTTTCATTTTGTACTTCCGATTCACCAGTAGTTACTGCTGCAGTCTCTTCTTCAACTGCATCCTTTACTTCTTCACTTGCATCAGTAGTTTCGTTTGCTTCTGTTTCATCGTTTTCTAAGGCTTCATTTAACATAACAGAGAAATCATGAAGCACAAACATGCAATGTCAAACAGGTTAGCCTGTTACCTTGTTAATATGTGGAAAGAATATATAGCTTGAAGCAAAGGATTACTATGAAGTACATAACAAAACAAACAGAAACATGCTACGATAACAGAGAATTATTTATAAATGTACAGCAGTTAAAGACTGCAGCCATCGAGAGGGAAATGGCAAGGATGCCATTGAAAAGAGGCTCCGTTCATGTTCATATTATATGTTTAATATATGAATGATATTATTAAAGCCAACCTTAATAGGCTGCTATGTTTAGAAGCTGCTGTGGAGCATAGCATCATGCTATAGAGATGCAAATTAAGAAACAGCAAAAACAAATCTGCTCAGGCCACAGGTCAAACTATACTATCACCTGGATGAAAGAGCAGTTTGTGTATGCAGGAACAGTATTGTCATACTTGAAGTCCTGAAATGCAATGAATTCTCTGTCCTTTTCACCTGGAGGAAATGGCTCTGCACATTCCTTCTACTGAAGTAGATCGCGAGCCAACCACTTTGAGGATTTTTGTTATTTTACAAGCAAGCGGTATAGAAATAAGAAATAAATTGTAGGTTTGATGTGAATGTTTAAACTGCTGCAAACGTCAAAAATACCAAAATGCAGGAATAAGACCAAAATGCAAGAATAAGACATGTGCTATTTGCGAGCCCAGCTTTCCCCCGTTCATGAATTGCCATTCCATTATTATCCGTCTTTTTGTAATAAATGCTGAAGTCCACTGAAACAGAAATGCACACCCCAGCCTAGAAACCAGAGGACATGTTTTCAAACAGGGATTGTAACATTCTAGGTAAGAAGGCGTGGAAATGAAGATGTAATTGAACAGGCACAGCACCACACAGATGAGAACAGTGACCCACAAGCTTTGTTAGCTGACAGATAGCAGCCCAAGTGGCAAACAAAGCTGAGGAGAAATTAACAGACAATGACATGCAAAGATAGGTATGTGAACAAAGGGAGAGAGACACTGTCAGGTTTAATAATGATTGGCTACAAAGAATATAATTAATTATTTGATGTGATCAAAACATCCAAATATTATCTAAGTTTGTACTGAGAAGTAGGTATTTCGTTTAACCTTGATAGTAACATGAATAGGGACAATTATTTTAAGTTTTTGGTTTACGTCACATCATTCTCTTATGTATTGGTACAGCAATGTGTTTTTAAGACTTGAATAAATTGACTTTTAAACAGATCCAGCTCCTCTTTTTCCTGCTAAAACAGAGACCATACTACCCAACTGTGTCCCTCTATGGGATATAACAAATTTCTAGAAAACTAACCTGTTCACACAAAACACAGATTGACAAGCGAGGTAAGTGTTCAGGACCCTTTATTGGACAGTCAGTTACAAGTGTATTAATTCAAAACAGCCAGTGTCTTAAGAGTGCCAAGTTATCTTCTATAGGATGTATTTAAGTTGTGTTTTATCTTGGCCTTGAAAAGATATAATTATTGGGGAGTATTCTCACAAAAATGGAGTTCTATAAGAGATGGTTTTCTCAAGTTTGGCTGCGAAGTATACAACGATGGACTGTCCTTAAAAAAATTAATTCCTCGGTTTTGGAAAGATTTCCTTTGTATTTTATTCTGAAAGTGTAAAAGCAGAGGAACAATTAGAAAGATTTAAATACAACCTTTCTAGTGCAAGAAAGATTAATACAGCAAAGGAGATCAGAAACAAGATTAAGAGAAGGAAACAGAAATTGGAACAAGAAATTGCATGAACACACTCAGAAAATTGCAAAAACTGGAACGTTAGCGTACACTATAAACACCATTTTGGAATTTTGCAGGTTATTTCTATTAACATTTCCCCATTCAGTTCAATGTCAAAGAGCTGCTTCACAACAAAAAATCATGGGTTTGCCTTTGAGTGCACACCTAACAGGAAGCTTCGGCATGCAGTATTTTTTCTGTGATACCCATGTTTGTCACATACATTTTACAATTTTGAGTGTACACTTAACACATTATAGGTGTACAGCTGAAAAAAATATAACGTGTGAAGTAGCCTAAAGTCTTCTGCTGAGAGGTTAGAGGTTTTGTCTAAAAAAAAATTAAAAAAGTAAAGTATAGAACAAGTTATGCGTTTTCCAAATCATAGGTGAATTTGAAAGGCATCACAATATTTAAAAACTTGAGGGAAATCTAATGCTTGCTTTTCTGAATGTTTCATTTGTTAAGATAGTTTAAGCATACAATTTAGATGGAGGTAAGGTCATTTATGAAAGGCAATAAAGGGCCAGGGAAGGAAGAATATCAAATACCCTGCACTCTTCTCATGACAAGGAACATGAAAAGAAGGCAGAAAGACAAGAAGAGAGAAAAATAGCATGTAACGTATGAATTAATGGTTTTCAAAACCCAAACATATCATTCAATATAAATTTTTAAAAAGGGGGTGGGACAAAAACCAGGTGAGGTAAATGCAATTTGATTGCATTCATTGCGTCTAGGTAGGGAAAAGAAAAGCAGCTACATGTGTTGGGTGAGATCCAACAGTGCACATTTTTCAGAGAACAGAAACTGTTGGGGGAACAGGTACTCCTTGGAGGGTTTTAGGGGACCCTTCAGAAAAGATTTGAGGTTCACAGGGGGCTGGAGAGAGGAGGAAAGGAAAAAGAAGCGTGCTCATGTAACAGTGGATAGTGCCCAGGTAGTCTGAGGATGCGTTCAGTGGCTGAGCTGATAGCTATTTGTAATGTCTAGCCCTGTAACTGCAATCTTAGGCAGCAATCCTTTGCGTACTTCCCTGGGAATAAGTCTCACTATACACACAAAAAACTTATTTCTGAATAAATATGCACAGGAGCAAACTGTTTAGAATTTAACTGTGTTGGAAGTACTATTGCATTAACTTACTAGGCAATCCCATACATGCCTACTTAAAAATACATCCTATGTAGAGCTTACTCTCAGGATACTGGGTATAGGGTCACAGCCTTCTAAACATTCCTTCATCCCTAAGATGAAACAGCTTCCATCAAAGAAACAGAGCCTAACTCACGGACTATTCAGTGAGATTAATTAATAGAATTTCACATTTCTATATACTCAGCAGCACTATCTTAATGATCCTTCGGTATGAACTGTATGAGTGAAAACATGTTGGTTCATTCCTGAGTTAAGCTACAGTTCAAACTGAGTTACATCTATATACCTTCTTAGTTATTTCATACTGAAATATTTTCATTTATTTAAAATATTAAGCAAATTATAGACATAAAAACGGTCATTTCAGGAAGCAATTTGGCAGAGCTCATTTAGTTATAATAAGCAGTACTAGAGAACAATTCCCTGGGTTTTGTGTACAGAATTTCCCCTATCAATGACTTAGCTGAGCACTATATTCAGAGTTTTCTGAAATTCCTGAGCCATCAAGCTGCTGACTGACTGGAATTATGATCTCAAACAAAACCACTTTTGTAATTTTAGTTATATGAGTTCTGTAATTAGTTATCTTTCACTAAACGTTCAACCTTCAGTGCTTTATATTTTTTCTCTGTGATGCTTAATGAAATCTTTAAAAAAAAAAAAAAACCAACAACCAATCCCAGACTATGTGTTACATGAACTGAATCACTTTCAGGAATGTCTTTGCATTTTCTTTGCAACAAAATGATCAAATGTATCTGAGCAAACTAACAATCATGGGTGTAGCCAAGTGCGGCAGCTGCCCCCCCCCCCCAAAATCATGTAAATCAATAAAAATACTTAACTAACTGAAGTTCTTGGGACCCTCAACATAGTCTGCCTCCCTAACATAAATCCTGGCTATGCCCATGGTAACAGTAGCAATGTATGCATACGTAGCATATAAACCTTGCAACCAATAATATTCTAGGACCTAGGAGCCATTAAATTAGAACCATTGTAGTCCTGTCAAAAATAATTAAATTAAACAGAACTCTGATACATAGCCATGTAAAGTCTAACATAAAGTTCAACAGATTCGCAGCTTCTATATTTCCACCCCCCCTACTCCTGTCTTTGCTGTTTTAAAAAACAAAACAAAATGCCCTTAAAACAATTAACATTGAAGTATCATTTGTAAATGCATAAATTCTCAACTTACACTGAGGAGGCCACGGTTTTGGTTTCCATTCTGCTACAGTTCTTTGCTGCATTTCACTAATACGTTCGTTGTACCTGGATTTGTCAGAAGTAACCGTTCTGTAGGCCTAAAAATAATAATTGCACTTATCTCCATATGCCAAGACTGTGTTCTTTGCTTTTCCTATTAATTTTTATAGTTTGCAAAAATAATACATATCATCAAGGGGGGAAATGAACCAAATCCCACATAATCTGTAGCTCCACCCACTTCCATTTAGGGAATGCTTGTAGTGTCAGAAAATGGGATAGAAAAAAACAAACCAATATTCCATACAAAACTGTTCACATAAAGTTCAGGTTGGGGAAAAAACAATTGTGACATCATTGACCAAGGGACAAGTGGGGAAAATGACTAAATAGCATTCCAAATTATAATTTGGAGGTGGACTTCTACCACTTTCTTTGTACTTATAAACATAATCAAGTTGTACCAATCAATGAAGAATGTGTCTTTCTTATATTCCATGTAAGACTCTCAGCTTTTACTAACTTTTCCATAAATGCAAAACAAAATCACTGTGCTACAAATAATCCAGCATGTCAACTTTTAGATCTTTCTAGTGCTTACTCCAAGGCTAGTTTCTAAAGGGCCTCTTAGGCACATGGAAACACTGTTGTGCGTATATTTATTTTTGGCATGAATGGGCAGTTTCCAAATAACTCATACTCTGATTTGCTGCTCTCTACTAGATAAAGTGTCCTTTTTTTACTAGTTGGCTTCTTGCACTGCGTTAAAGTCACTTTCCAAGGTCTCCCAAATTCCAGGATTTGCTTTTCAGCCAACATGATTGGGGGGGGGGGGGGGTTGAGTAAAATGTATAGAGATCACAGTGAGTATTTTTATACATAGGTTAGCCTTTTTAATGAAGAGGGTCAGATTAAACATTAACGATCAAACGTAATTGCTTATAGCCAAAAGCCACTGCAAACCAGGAATAAAATAAGAACAAACACAGATCATAAATAAAGATTAATAAAACATATAAACTCTATCACCAAAATGCACTATATGAATATATGTATACAAACACAGGAATGTTAATAAATTTCCTTTAATAGGTTAAAATGAGAGATAAAAATATATAAATTAAACTGTAACACCCTATTCCAGCTTTATAAAAATTATATCAAAGTATTTAAGGTTTGATTAAAACCCTCTTCAGAATATTAAAATCAGACGAAATGATCTATTAATTAGAGTCAGATTCAAAGTTCTATTAAGAGCGACAACACATTGACCTGGCTTGCATATCACGCTAAGCCAAGCGATGGCTTAGCAAAAATGTATAAGCTCTCAGGCAGCAGCTGCTTGTTTTGCTGCTGCACTCAGCTAAGCGATGGTTTTGTATGTTATATGAACCTGGGGCAGCGTGCCCAGGAGCGAGGTGACCCACCCATAGGCACAGTGCCCATAGGGAGGGACAGGACGGGCGGCACCCATAGGGACAGGACGGGGCGCATGACACCCATAGAGACAGGACGGGACACGTGGCACCCATAGGAACGGGGGGTGCCATGGGGCCTCAGCCGCCCTACAGCTGGGGGGGGAGGCAGTAGGCAGACAGCGTGGAGTCTGCAGGCGCCAGAGACGTGTGGCTTGGGCACGCTGCAGGCCCCACGGTGAGTGCCGCCTGCCATTTTGTTCCCCCCCCAGTGGCGACACCCGAGGTGCACCTACTGCACCCCCTGGCTACGCCCCTGAACCTGGGCTCATGAGTTACCTCTGCTGGATGAACCTTGAACTAGTGGACAATCCTTGCTTTCAATTCATGGTTAGTCTAGAGAGAGCTAACCCAAGGGCCTGAGCTCATGACATACTAAACTGAGTCTAACTCCTCTTGTCTCTGAGTTTTATTGGCGTAACTCAGAAGATAAGCCATTTTTGGCTTACAACAAGTGCAGCACAACAGCAGAATGATGGGCAAGGATCTCCTCTCCAAAAGCTTGCACATCTGCACTAAGCCATGATTTGGCTCAGCATGACATGCAAACCAGAACTGGAAGTCCACACTAAAAATGAAATTTGAAATTTAAGGGTGGGGAAATGATTCTACTTTACCAACCAACCAAAAAAAGAGTTTTACTTTTTTCCACTACATTAAAGGTAAGGTTAAGGCAATGTAAGACTGTTGTTTGTATTTTATTTTCTGTTTGCTTAAACAGGTAGAAATGTTATAGTATAACCTTACAAAAAGTTTTATGGCATATCTTCTACTATTTATTTACCCAATGTTTGCGATAACATTTTGACGACTAGTGTTATTTTTGTAATAAAACTTATGATAGCAATAAACAATGGTTAAACAAGCACTGCTATTCAAACATATATTACTTAGAATTAAGCTCTATTGATATAATTTCCAAGTTCTGAAAATCAAAGCCGAAATGTGTAGCAACTAATGAAGATTAGACAAAGACAACTGAATGCTCGATTCAGCTGGTTAATCTCCTAGGTACTAGTTAGAAGATGAATAACATATTTACTGTGTGTGTGTGTGTGTGTGTGTGTTTGTGTTTAAATATTAAAATATTGCATTCCTGAGTGGTGGGAAGTAGTACAAAGCTCATTTCCTTTGGTGGGAAGAATGTCTTGGTGTCCATTTACTACATTTACATATTGAGAAGGTAGAACAGGTAGGATCAGTCAGTAGGAACAATCAGTGTAAGCATCAAACTATACATGACAATGAGTTCATGCAGCCTTTTCACCATGATTTTTTATGTAGGTTTGTTTTGTTACACAATCCATAGCTATGGATGATACAATCTTAAGTTAAATACCGGTAGCTGCATGGGACTGGGGAGCATAACTCCCCAGCACCAACACACATACTTGAGACTGCAGGCTCTTTGAATTCATCATATTGATTGAACAAACTTTACAATTATTATTTCTAATGCCCATCTTTGACACGAAGACTATACTAGAACTGCCACTGACATTTGCTTCCAATTTCCAAGAAAACTTTTCTAAAACCCATCTATTGCTATGTACAATCACCTTGACATTTAGGATATGTCTAATTTTAACTTTAAGTTGTCATCATTGAAGTAAGAAGGATTTACTTCTAGTAAATGTGCATAGCCTTGGCCTGTAGTTCTAGTATTTTCTTTCTGAATAAATCTAGTTTCGCAGTCTGCTTTGACAGGAAAATGTGCATTAATATTACTGCATTATAGCAATAAGCAGAAACAAGTCACCCAACCCCAGTAAAGACTCCAGCTTTAGTGGTTTATCATCAAAAAGTTATTTTGGAATGGAGCACTCTCACAATCATTACTTATTTTCCCCCTTAAAATTTAGACATAAATTTAGTCCATAAAATAAGAGGTGAGCGACTTGTTGCCTCTCTCCATTTGTTGTTGAACTCCAGTTCCCATCAATTCCAGCCATCATGGTCAATGATCAGGAATGATGGGAGTTATAGTTCAGCAATATCTGGAAGGCTGTAAATTCCCACCTCTGCCGTAAAATGTTGGATTAAACACTTGACTTTTGCAACACAACCCAATGTACGTCTACCCAAATCCCATTAGTTCAATGAGGATTATTTCTAGGTAAGCAGGTATGTATAGGATTTTGGTCTCAAAGTCAGCAGCTTGCTACCAGAAAACATTGTAAGTGAAGTTCCAACTTAAATTTTGGTTTGACTACATTATCATTTCTCTGTCCTGTTGAGAAGATTGGGAGTTTTTGGACAATGTAAACAGATGTGTAAAGAAAGCACTCACTAAAAAACCTCCTGCTGCAGCAGCACCAGCAACGAGCAGATAATAAATAAAGTTCTCCCCAGAAGATCCAGGAACGCTTCCAGATGACATCTGGCGGAAAGGTGCTTCAAAAACGAAAGCTATAATATTAGTGATAATACTAAAAACACAAAACAAATCAGTAAGCTCAACATGCTGTAATTGAGATAATCTAGAGATCTTTTTAAAGAAATATATCAGCAACAAATCTCATAATCTAAGATAAAGACAGGATCAATAGTTCTTTGGATCATACAAATCCACTGTTGCACTTAGCATTTTCATAAGTTATTGGTAATAGATCAAACTGACCTATTAACAGGAGAATCAGTTGTTAATGCTGTCCAGAGCCTTTCCTAGTCCTACCTGGAGACACTCAGATCTTCAGCATGCAAAACATGTACTCTACCACTGAGCTAGTCTTTCCCCATAACAACAACATGATGCCCTTTCACATGAGAAGGTGAATCCCAGGAAAAGTTTCTGCACCTGATGATTGGCACAGAATAACCCGGTAATACAAAATGAAAATATAATTTTAAGACATTCTTAATGTGGACTTGAATATGCTGACCAGAATGAAGTTTAAGCCTGGTGTTCATTTGTTTTTTTGAATGGGGCATGATAAATCAGTTGGTTAGAGCATGGTGCTGAGAACACCAAGGTTGCAGGTTTGATCCCCGTATGGGATAGCTGCATATTCCTGTGTCTAGGAATTGAACTAGATAGGGTTGAACTAGATGATCCTCAGGTTCTCTTCCAATTCTATGATTCTATGATAACGCAAATGTTTTTAAAAGGATGGACATGGATTTTTCTCCCTTGCTCCAGAGAGTTTCTCTAGTCTAACCATCTTGTCTTGAAATTAATAATGTAAGATACCTGAGGGCCTCATCACACAGTCCCTACCGAAATGCCCCATATAAGCACTCCTGTAGTGTTTTTTCAATCAATAAATGGTGCAGATTTAAACTACGTTGTTTTGGGAGAATTGTGGCATCTTTCAAGACAGAACTTCTGCTACTGCATTCCTACATTACACAAGTCATACTATTATATAACTAGGAAAAATGCACAGTCATGTGGAATATGGCCATACACTCCTATTTGATGTCAGTAATGGGGCTACAACCTTCCCCTATCCCACTGCCCAGGCCATTTATTAACGTATGTTTAGCATTTTAAGTATATGCTTGTCAAACCTAATAATAAACAAACAATGGAAGCACCAATCTGACTCTTGCCAGTTTACAAAACTTTCAGGGAAGAAATCATACTGCTTGGACAAAATATCCTCAAACACAGTCATCTGTCCCACTGACACCCTCGGTATTAAAGAGCAGTGTGGCTATCTCACCTGCAGCACCGCTAATCCGAATCCATCCCCTGAGGGCAAAACAGACTACTAGACATAGATATGGGCTAGTATAACCAGTGTACAGTCCTTAACTAGCAGGATCCATCTTTCTAACCTAGAAAGGCCCAGATCGATCCTCGCGGATAAGAACGTACACTGTGCAGATAGAGGACGGATTATTTTATGAGCAGAATCAGCAAGTTCTCGCCAATTTGTGCTACCTCAGCCACATTCACATGCCCAGTAAGAAGGGAAATCACCAGCCCTTTATTCATTTTTCCCGGACTCTCCCTCTCCAACACCCTGCGCCGTTTTCTCTCCCTTCAGCCTGAATTTCTGTCAGCTGCTTACACCCTGGCCCGGGGTATGTGTGTGTGTGATTCTGGCTGTCATCTTTCCCCCTCCGGTAAACAGTCCCACCCTGTTCTCCGCTAGCCAAAATAACTTCGGAGGGGAAACAGAAAAACACAAGAGGCTCTTGTGGCTTTCTTCTCCCCCCACGCCGGGCTTCAGATGCTGCTGCTCCGCCGCCAGGAAGAGCCTCCTGGGTCTCGCTGGCGCCGAGGGGCTGGGCGAACGCGAAGCGGCTCTCCTGAGCGCCAGGAGCCGCGTCCTCTCGGCTCCCCTCCATTGCCTCAGCGCCGTGACCTTCGCGTCTCCTTTCCCAGGCAGCCAACGCAAACACCGGCGCCCTCAACCTCGGCGCGCCCTCCTCGCCCAGCAGAGCCACGCGGCTCGTCACCAGCCCCCGCTCCTCGCCTCGGCGGGCTTCTGGGGGGCTTTTTCGACGGCGCAGCCACGCGCGCGACCCTTCCTCCCCCCCCCCAAACTCACCGTGTCCGCGGACGAAGGGGGCAGCCCCTTGCGTGAGGCGGCGGACCAGAGGACGCCACGCGAAGCTGCAGAGGTGCATGGTGGTGGCGGCGGCAGCAGCAGCAGCAGCGCAGAGTGGGCTGCCGCGCAAGGGTTCGCCTCGTCGCCTGGAGAGCTTCTCCTGTTCGGACAAGAGTGACAGGCGGAGACGCGGGAGAGACGGGGAAGAGCGAGGCGAAAGGCGAGACTTCGGCCAATCCAAGCGCCGCGGCTCCGCCCTGCCTGCCTGCGTGCGTGCGTGCGCTCAGCTTGCCCTGCGGCTCTCTTCAAAGCGGGAGCCTTTCCGTGCTGGCCTGGCCCCCAGGGCGGTGGGGACCTGCGAGGGGGCGGGAGCCTTCCCCGCTGCCCCCTCACCTTCAGCGGAACAGCCTCGACTAGGACAACGAGAAGGGCCTGCAGAACTGGGGAAGTGGGAGGTGCTGGAATGTGTCTGCAGCAGGAGGCTTTTGCCCGACGGAACGCACACACCACATGCATGCAAACCGCGCCCCAGGACGCCAGTGGCGTTACAGTATTTGCAGAATTGGAGCTTAGCTGTGTTTTGTATGTAACCTGGGGGGCATTTAAGACGGATGGGTAAGTGCGGTTTCCCACGCCCACCCCCAAACTGGCTGGAAAAGGGGGCTCTTCCTGCCTGAACAAAGGTGCAGCCCCAGAATTTCTTCCCCTTATTACAAGGAAGTAGCTGCAGGCGCTCACACACCAATTTTGGTACCTCAATAAACTGGCAAGACAGGCCAGTGCTGTTTAGCTAGGATCATGGTAATATAGGTTAATTTGAGGTAGGACCGAGCTCTAACCCATTTGCAAAGCTGAGTGTTGTAATGTAAAGGATTAATAAACAGTAGTGTCTCTGAGCACCATGTTTTCATCACCCCGAATGAGCAATTTGAGCTGCTCCCCCATCTTGGCATTACAAGGGTGGGCCAGGCTAATATAGCACTTTTCTTGTCACTAAAAATAGGGGGAAGCTTGCAACCTTGCTGCAAAGTTCTCTGTGTGACCAGGGTACCTCTGTTCTGTTTTAAAATGCCAATGGCTTATAACAGAATTTCATAGTAAATGAGATTCTTTGTCTCAGGGCCATGGATTCAAGCCCTGGGGTTGGGCAAAATATCCCTGCATTGCAGTGGGTTGGATTAGATGATACTATGAAATGTCACTTATGTGCATGGCCTTAAATTCCAAGCTAACTTTCCCAGGTACATGTGTCTGTCTGCAGCAGCTTTCCTGGACCCCTTCCCCCAGTGAAATTAGGCTTGAATGTGTTCTGTTGTTGCCAGTCAGTAGAACGGTGAGTGTAGAACCCACAACCATTTATCCAGTTTCCAGATGAGCTATAAAAGAAACACATTTCACATAATGACATTTTTCATTTAGTTGGCTTTCGTTCCCTCCACTTCTTCAGAGGCTAGTTGTTTTATCTATGTTTTCAGTGGTTCTTATTTTTATCTAAGTGGCCTCAAGTCCCATCAGGGGAAAAATGTGGAGTATAAATAATTTATTTATTTATTATTATTTATAATAATTCTCTTACTTTAATAATATGAAAACATCTCTTATTTATGATTTTTCACACTCAAAAATATAGAATTTGAACAGTCATACTACAAGAAGTAGGAAATGGGAAGAGAACAAAAAACATTGCAAAAAAATCTGCTAAATGCCTGTAAAATAACATGTGCCTATAAACCTTCTAGGAAACCTTCAAATGAATCAAAATATATTCTTAAAAGTATTGAGTGTTTGCATTAAGTTGCCATCCTATGTATGGTAATCTGGGCCTCAATTAACTGAGGATTTAATTTTGCATAAACATGCATAAGATTGTTTTGCATAGCTTCTACAGGATGGCATGACATGTACAAGGAGCAACACACAATGCTGCAGATAAATGAATATAAATGAAGTTACAACTGAATAATGTGACTAAGGCTGCAATCTTATGGTCTCTGGGGAGGTTCTGGTGGACACAGAATGCTGTGGATCCCCGTCTGCTAGAACTGACATGCCTTCAGAACAGAGGGAGTGGGAAAGTATTCCTACCCTAGAGCTGGAATACTTATTTTCTCTCCCCTTGGGATCAATGAGAAGCAAAATATTTTTAAAAATAACCTAACAAAGGACAAATAAAGAAAAGGAAGCATCACATTAGGAAGGGCTGTTAAATAAATTTGGAAATACACAAGTGAAATCTAGCCAATTTATTTTAAATTACAATGCCAGTTTGCCTTGCAGTCTTTGAAGATATAGTAGTGTGACACAGCCAATTATCTTCAGCTTGAAAAGAAGAGGCGCAGAAATGTGCTGTAGGTGAATCAACCTTGAAATATAACTTAATTCAAGAATCCACTCTAATTCTAGAAACAACTCTTGAGAATATGAAAGAGTAGTGTGGATGATCCATAAGGGAAATGAATCATCCACTTGCTGTGAAAGTATTATATGTTGAAGAAATATTTAGGAATACCCTCATAAGATTCTTATACATTTTTTAAAGAGGAACAGAGGAGTCCCACTGCGGTTGACATGAAATGAACACGGAAACTATTAAATAATGCAAAGCTGAAGAGTTGAACCAAATTCCAATATATCCCATATATTCTCCTTATGCTCTTTATTACTGCACTGTTACTCCGAGTAAACAATGTAAACACAGCAGCAGCATCTTCTCATATGATCTGCAATTAAGCCATAGCTACAGTGGCAGTAGCCTCAAAGTTTTGATAGTAAATATAATTAGGGTTGCTGTTAATGAACAAAAAATGCTGAGAAGGAATACAAATGCTAATATGCACAAGTGAAGTCAGTAAATCATGTTGCAATCCTACACACCTGTGAGACAAAGTCCTACTGAGTTCAACATACAAGATTGCACTGTCATACGTTATTTTTCTATACAAAATAGGGTCAGAAACTTTTTTTCTGATGGAATATATTTTATTCATAGCCTTTAGAAGCAACCATGTGAAGCATAGAGATTTCAACCACCTTCCATGCTTTCTTTGCTTTATTTCAGGAAAATTAGAATTAGTTTGGAGTTAATCCAACAACCAATGGGTTATCTACTAACACAAAAATATCCTTGTAGACTATGCATTGGCTGTAACAGTTTCTATGGAGACCATCTTCAACCTAGAAAAGAGAGGAGGTAATTAAGTCATACTATAAGACTGTACAAGTGCAGTCTTTACATGGCCCACAGGGTATTTTCAAAGTCAGGAAACATGACAGTCTTACGGATTTTGATGCAAAATTAACAATGGGGAAAGTGATTGCCTAACCCTGCCTGAGTACTCTTTGTACTCTTGGTCTGTCTCTTTTGTCACAGAAAACTAATAACTAAGTGCCTAATGTGACTAAGTGACTGATGATAGTTAATCAGATAAACAGTATTTTAATCAATATTTAGTCTGTTAAATAATCACAAGCTGCTAAGGTAGAATGTGATTACTCCAGTTTAAAAGCCAGGAACATACTAATAGGGAAACAATGGACAAAATACCAGGATTAATGAGTTTGCTATAGAAACAGTGTAATGCTGAACTGAGCAGCATGCTATGCCTCCATCCATTCCATGCTGTCAGCAGAGTACAGCACAGGGACAGTGCTATGTGAATGTCCAGTAGGCAATCTTTAATGAAAATAGCAGTGTGTTTGAGAATTTGCAGAATGCAAACCGTATCACAAAATCAATCATTTGCATCTCCCAAAGGTGCAGCAATCATCATAGCTGTCCTGCTTTCTGCTCTTTAGTGGGAGATGACAGAAGACAAGGCCAAGAATACATATTTACACATCTATAATTAGCAGCTGCATGGCTGCTAATAATACAATGAAGAAGAGACTCACTTTCTGTCTTCTACTGTCCTGTTATTTAAAATAATGGGGAACAGGAGCTCTGAGCAACAATTGAGAATATAATGTAGCCTACATTTGGATAAAATGATACACAATTACTTTTTATTGTAAGAATGAGCACAGGTGAGCCTCAGGCTCGTGTTCTCCCACAGGCACAGTTGGCAAAATCTAGCTTCGACTTATAATTTTGACTAATCATAGGTTAGAAAATCCTGAAACATGGTTGATCTTAACTCTGGTTAATTGAATCAAGCCAGGTTCATACCCCGTGGTTTAAAACTGGTCTGCTTCAACTAACTACAATTTGCCATGGTTTAGACATATTGCTAAGCTGTGATTAACCAAAATCAGAAGTGAAAGCTTCCAAACTCCTCCATCTCACATGACCAAGAAGGGTGAAAGGAAGAGTAGAGGAGCCTGAGGCTTCCCTAGGCTCATTTTCATAATTATAAACCATTAGCATGGTTTACCATTATGCTGGAATGCAGTCATTATATTTTACTGTAAGGACAAAGTCTTGGATGTGGAACTGAAGAGTGCAGGGCAGATGGGGAAGTCAGCCATTAGTTGGCACCATAAGAAGTAACTTGGACAGATCACTTAACTTAAAAACAGCAACACAATAAGCAGACCAAGGCACTTATTTTGAAATATAGCAGAAATGTAATACTTTTAAAGAAACGAGTCAGCTAGGACATTAAAAAACTGAAGAAAACAGCAACAGAGTATTAATGACAAAACTGCAACATTTGTGATCTCTGCTGTTCATTACAGGCAACAATCTTACAAGTTGGATTATTGTATAAAGAAGAGCAACCATTTCCAGAAAAAAAGTGAGGTTTAAAGCTTTATTCAGATCTCACCATAATTTTAGCACCTCCATTATGAACCTCTCTCTGCTTTTCGCCTTTCATATTCTGCTTGATGTTCATTATGCTGCTTTAGGAGCTAAAAAATAAATACACATGGTTTAAGAGCATGAGACACGCAGAGTCAAAATTATTATTTTAGTGTGGACAGGCATTAAGTGATCAGTGTTAAGGGCTGATCTGAAACCATTTGATTAATTATACATTCAAAATTAAATATTTATTATTGCAGGGGTAGGCAACCTTTTTCAGCTGGAAGAATACATTCCTTTGTGGGGAACCTTCTGGAGGCTGAGTGGGAACAGAGTGGGTGTAAATTTTAGTTCCCAATTTGTAAAGCTGTAGCAAGAACAGTTTACTCATTCTTATACTTTAAAATGCTGCTAAATAATGCATTTCCACTCATATAAACACTTACAGTGGTCTAATTTGCACATCATAAAGCTAAACCACACTTTATTAAACTACGGGTTATGATTACTGTGCAAACCTTGCCCAGGTTTAACTATAGTTTGCCAAGAAAACAAGATCTGAAGACATGATTTATTGGTTTATAACACTCATCTTGTTTTAATTATGGCTTGAGATTTCAGCACTATGGTTTGCCTGGCCGCTCACCAAACAAGAATAGCGGGAAAACAAACCAAACTTTAGAAGAAAAAAGTAATGGTTTGACTGATCATTCATGGAACAACTTGTGGTTAACTTGTGATTTGTTAAACAAACAATGACTTGGTATATGTGCAAACCAAGCCAATCAACAATGTGCCTTGAATGTGGAACTGTAATTTTTCAAATGACTAGTAATTAGTGGACCCAAACTAAGCATAACATATTATCACATTTCCTTTATTGACAAAAGTAATTGACTAAGGAACAGTTACTTTGAAAACACTGCTAATCACATCCACAGTGTAATTCTTACCAGCACCCATATTGCTACTGAGGCACCAAAAGTCAGGCCAACTTTAACCCAGTTCGGTCTGCTTATATCATCAGGCTGTGCCCTGAATGCAGAACGAGATGGTTCTGAAATAAAGGAGTTTAGAAACATGTTAGTTCTGAGACAAAATTTTAGAGGAGAGAGCGAGCAGTTTACTTATGAAAAGGGGTTTCACTGCATTCTGTTGGAATAATTCTTCAGTCAGTCACTGATCACCTTGACTTATAAGAACAGTGGCAGAAACTGTACAAATTGGAAATGTTTATTCCGTATGATGAATTGACATAGCAGTTACTGTATGAATTAATATTTGTAAAGAATTGCACAGCAATGTGGTAACATTTTGTGTTAAAGGAAAGAATACATAACAGGGTTTTTAGAATGGATTTTGTCTAATGGGGATGGAAGAGATAATAGGAAAGAGTTCTTTTAGCAATATCAGGGCAACGAAAGAGACAGTATTAAGCGCTGATATTTTAATATTCAGTATTTCAGGAGACAACTCTTGTTGTTCCCTAATGTCTCTGCTTCAGTCAATATAGAACAAGTCACTGTTCTTTTTGACTCCTTCGTTATGGCTTGCTTGCAAAAATTATTTTTTGTTCTAATCTAGGCTATGTTTTCAAAAACAATCTACTGCTATTCTGACAGTTTCAGTATTATGCTACTTTGTTCCCACTTAATTCACCCAAACCCTGAAAAGATTTTTTTCTAAGCTTTAGGTTCTTTTATAGACAAAGCACCAATACATGCTTTGTTCCAGTCACTTCTTATCTCCACACAAATCATAATCTAGAGGAAAAGTAAACATTGCAAGGAAGAAGAAACACCCATAGAGAGGATTAGGGAAGATGAGAGTAAAAACAGTCCATGGTACTTGGGAGCAGGTGCAGGGAAGATGTGACTAAGATAGTTTATTGTATTTTTAAATGGCTGTCTAATTATCAGAGAGGAGAGGTAAAGAACTGAGTTCATTTTGATACAAAAAATTGGCACATGCAAATACAACACACAAGAACTGCTTTTTAGCATCAGACCATCTAGCCCAGCCTTCTCCAACCTGGTGCTCTCCAGCTGTTTTGGACTACACTCCCAACAGCCTCTGCTACTGCTGTATCATTAGTTACTTCAAGGATCAGCAGATTTCAGACAGGTCAGATACACTTTCTTTGTTTACTGGAACCCAAATACATACCAAATACAGCCAGAAACAAATGATGTATCTATAGAGTTACAAAAGGGTGCCACTTGAGCACATTCCGAGGTTAGGAATTTGTTTTCAGTAAGAGACTAAACTGAGCTAAGAGCCCTTTCACACAGAATTCTGCTCCTGGTTAGCCACCTTGATTTTAGCAGTCTAGTTTAGATGCAAAAAGTGTTTTGCTATTACTATTTTTAAGACAGTTGACAGGTAGAAAGCCTTGTCAAATACTGCAGGTCACCCAGACATCTACCAGTAGATCCCAATCTACCTTCTACCCATTTTGCCCTATGCCGACTCTCTTGGGCCGTGGTTCCCAACGTGGGGCACATGCCCCACAGGGAGGCAATTTGATTTTTTGGGGGGGGCAATTCGAGAATGAGTTATAAACAGTTAATGGCCTTTTAGGCTTCCTCCACGTGAATAGGAGTTCACTTGTTGAATAAGAATTATATGGGGGAGGGGAAATCAGGATTTTAGAGATGCTTAGATGGGGCATGGCAAAAAAAAAAAAAAAGGTTGGGAACCACTGCTCTAGGATCTCTGGCATACATCTTTCTCAGTCCTACTCTTCGAAGGAGACTCTCGGGAGTCGGGAAAAAAAGAAAAGAGTAAAATGAAACAACGCGTGCATTGAACCAGCTACTAAAGAAATAACATACTGTACAAGCTTCTTACAAGGAACTTGTAAGAAACTGAAAATTGGGCAGGGTGTGAAAGTTTACGGAAGGAAAAGGGTAACTGATGTCCATTCAGCTCATCCACAGCAACCCTTCTCCTTCCCGCACAGCGATATCGCCGATGCTGCAAGGCGATGCTCTAGCCCGCTGCTATGGGGCGCCACTAGCAGTTTGGGCACGAAAGGCCCAGCCCATCCAAACTCACAGCAAAGAACGGAGAGTGGGAAACAGATGGGGCAGGAAAAACCAGCAGACCCTGAAGGTTACACGTAGGAGACTCGGATGAAGCGCTCCCACGGTCGTTCAACGAGGGTGGTATTGAGGAAGGGCAGGTGGGGAAATAGCGCATTCCTCTGTCCTGCCCAGGTTAGGAAAAGAGAGGGAGGTCCACTGGGGCCCCGGTGACTCACCTCGGATCGGGTTACCAGATAACCGCAAAAACCTCCGCGCAACCTGCAAGGGCGCCGCCATGTTGTTTTGCTTCCTCCTCCTCCACGCAGGTTCCCTGAGCAACAGTGCGAACACGCCAATCAAACAGCGCTAGGGGCGGGGCTTCTTAACTGATCCGGAAGGAGAGAACTCAGGCAGGGAGGGCGCCCCCTCCTGGTCACATGGCCGTAGGTAGTGGCTGCTTCGGAACGCTCTCCCCTATAAACATACAGTATTAAGCCAGACGCTGGCTCAGCAGCTACGAAACTGCCTTTACATCAATCAGTCATGAGAGTTGTGAGGAGATAGTAGAACATAAAAAAACTCCGTGGTTTTGTGTTTCCGTGACTTTAGAACACACACTGCGGAAGCAGCATGCTAACGTTAGAATTTTCATAAATAAAAGTAGATATTATTCTGCCTTTATCATAGCATTCCTTATGTAGGATACATATTGTAATTAACAGCAGGAAGGCTGTGCCAATCGGCCACTTGTGAGAATTTCGACAGAAGCAAAATTGTACAATAGGTTATGAACTTTAACAGGGGTTGTTTGAGAACAAGTGCTGTAGACTATGCAGACAAGTAGTCCATATCTCAAATATACAACACTTCCACTGAAACCCGCTAAAGATGAATGTTTCTGTCAGAAGTTTTGGAAAGTACTGCAACTGACATGAGGGTACTCAACAGCCCACTTTCAGTATTACTGTCTTAGATCTTACTGTTGTGTTTCATACCTTAAGAGTGTAATCCATACAGGTCTACTTAGAAGTGTTATGTTCCATTGAGTTCAATGGGACTTACTATCAGGTAAGCACGTACAGGATTGCAGTCTGAGACAGTCCAACTGCCTGGAGTGCTATTGCTATTTATGCTGTATTATGCACACTTGCCTGACAATAAGCCCCCATTGAACTCAGTGGGAACTCTGACTGAACATGCACAGGGTTGCGCTGCAAGGCTACATGCAATTATATGCACATTTATCCTTGGAAAAAGCCCCACAATAGGACTTACATTGAATAACATTGGCCACACTTAATTTCTAATTAAACAGCAAAGACAGAAAAGCCATTTGTCGGCGTTACATGCAAAGTTTCATGTCTATGAAAAGGCGGTTGCTTACAATCTGAAAATTGTCTGTCATCCTCAGACCAATTTACTGTTTCTTAATAATTGCAATAATGTGCCAAAGGCTAATGAGGCATTGCCATTGTTGCAGGAAGGCAGTATCACAAACTGGTTCTTCCAGTGTGCTGAGTTTAACATTGCAAGAGGTCCATCAAGAAGCATGTGTAGGTGTGGAAGCAGAACTTGGCTCTTGCAGGGATGACAAAAGAGGAAGTAAGCAGACAGAGGTGAGAAAGAAAAGAAGTGTACAGCAACACATAATTAAGTTATGGAATTCACTGCCACAGGATGTGAAGATGGCTTCAAAAGGGGATTAAACATCAAACGGCTTTTAACATTGACAGCTACACAAAATCTTCAAGTCTTTATACCTCTAAAGGTATACAACTATGGACCTTCCTTGTATTTAGCTACTTGGGGCAACTTTTCTCCAGGATGCAGAACTCATTACTATATTTTCAGAAAATATAAGAGGAGGAGGAATCTGAGGACCTCCAGATGTTGCTGAACTACAATACCCATTACCTCTGACCACTGAACATACTAGTGGGCAGAGTTGGAGTCCGGTAACATCTGAAGGGCCACTTATTCCCCATCCTTGATTATAATGTTTTAAATAATATTCTAGAAGTGTTTACAGTAGAAGTACAGGTCCTTGTGTTTGCTTTTGATGTACCATACGTTTTCAGGACTTCCCAGAAGCATCTGGGCTGGCTACTGGTGGAAACGGGGCAGTGGGCTCTATGGGACTTTGTTCTCCTTGTGTTAAGCATAATTTAATCCTAACATTAAGCTTGCCATTGTGGTTTTCATTTGTGTAGCATATCCTGGATGAACATGAAAATTGGCACTTAGTGCAGAAACAAATATACAGAGTATAGATCATGAATGATATTTATTTCATAGAATCATAGAACCATAGAATTGTAGAAATGGAAGGGATCCCAAGGGTCATCTAGTCCAACTCAGGAATCTCAATCATAGTGCGATGATGTCAACAACATTACAACGCTTGTGACTATTTTGGTTTTAATGGGCTGATACACAAAGCCAAGTTACAAGGCACAGCTTTTTGGATACAATATTTCCAAACCACTTCCAAACGTACTTAAAGCCAACACAAACAAAATAAATGAACAGTATACTTGTTTATAAGAATAAATGTAGAGTATTTTTGTTTATAAAGAAACCCCCTTGGGTTACAACCACCACCATGTAACCACCAAAGTAAAACAAATGATAAAAGTTTAAATGACTATACAATTACTGCCACTGTGGATTTTTGGACTAATACTATGCCAGCAGGTATTCGGATTTCTGTAGTGGTGCTCAGAAATCTGCCTCGCGCCACTCTAGAGACCATTCCCTTCGCCCCTCCTGAACAATTCACAGCACTACCCATGTCTATGCAGAAGCTCATGGGGGACGTACTCTGACAGTAAGTCCCGCCGAGTTCTCAGCTACCGTAAGTGGCTGCAGGACACCAGCCCGGGCTGCTGCGCTCCTGCGCTCACCTACCTGCTGAGCTGCACGCGACTGGCAAGCTTAGTAAGCATCCCGCTCACGCGCCCGCCCCCCGCCCCCCAGCCCGCGCAGGCGCACTCCTCCAACAGTTCCCAGCGGGAGGGTGTTCTCATTTCCCAACTTACCTTGTAGGGACTATTAAGCCTACATAGAGAAAAGAGGGCGAAGACGTGAGGCAGAGGAGGAGGAGGAGGAGGTGGCGGCGGCGGCCGGGGTCGTGGCGCATGCGCGCGGGGCTCGGTGACCCGGCTGGGGAAGCCCTCGGCGGCGGCCATTTTGGCGGCGCCTCCTCTCTCCGGCCTGTTCAGTTAACCACGTGAACCGCCCGCCGCCTCGGGCTCGCTGCGGGGCCAGGGGTAAAGTGGGCGCGGGCACGGCGGCTGCGGAGGCCGCTTGGGAAGGAAGCGCCAGGAGGAGGAGGAGCAGCAGCAACAGGCGACGGCGGTGCTGCTGCTTCTGGTAGCCGCGGCGGCCTGGCGGGCAGTCCCTCCCGGGAGGTGGCGGCGGAAGCAGCGGCAGCGCTCAAGCCTCGGCAGGAGGAGGGAGCTGGTTCACCGGCCCGGTAGCAGCAAGAAGGGCGGCGGCGGCGGTGGTGGCGGCAGCAGCGGCGGAGACGATGCCGTCCGTGAGCCTCCCGCCGAAGGAGAACGCGCTGTTCAAGCGCATCTTGGTGAGTCGGGGTGGGGGGGACAGGCGGAGAAAGGCCGCCCGGCTCCTTCCCTCACGGGCTTGGGAGGCGGCGGCGGCGCCTCGCTCGCTGCCCCTCGGAAGCGGGCCCCGGCGGCGTTGCCCCAGGCCGCCTGCCTGCCCGCCTCTGGTTCGGGCCCCGGGTGCCCCCCGCGCCGGGCGCCGCTGACAGGTGCCCCCTGGAGCTCGAGGGATTCCTCGTTCCAGAGCCGCCTGTGGAACGCGCCGGGCATCCCCCGCTCCAGGCGCGGCCGGGAAGAGATTCTTGTCTGGCGGGGGCTGGGTGGCGGCGGGGGCGGGGGTCGCGTGCGCCAGCAGGGTGTCCTAAAAATAGCATTGGCGACCGTGGTGGGTGGGGGAGGAAAGGCGCGCGGCTGGGAAGGGGCCTTTATGCAGCGGATCTGCGGGGAAGCTGGAAAGGCAGCGTTTATCATTTAAGTTGGGGAGAGTTTCTCCAACTTGGGACGCGCGCTAAGGTTTTGTTCTGCCCTTGCCCTCCTGAGCGCGTGGGGCTTCTGAAAAGTGATCCGCGCAGCGTCTCTCGGCGATCGACTTCAGATTCCCGGGGAACTGCACGCTCCTTTAAGAGGGTTGAGAATAGACCGGTGACGAACAGGGAGAGAGCAGCGGCTCGTGCGCGCTCTGCTAGTTCATGCCTCCTAATGTAGAATAGGCTTAGGGGACTCAGTTGTGCCACACGCCACTGAAAATAATCCTGTGTGTTTGTGTACTTTAAAAAGTGCAGAGTTAGAATGTGCATTCAACGAAGTAGTGGTAGGCAGAAACAATCCTACTAAGGGCTACTTTGAAGTAAGCCTCATTGCATTCATTTAAGGATACCTAGGATGCTAAGCCAAGTTGTCATAATAATGTAGTCCATACTACAATTCCAAAATAAAATAAAGCTGATTTGTATAGTTCTTTTAGTCTGTTTAATCCTATTATTAAATCAGTAAGTAAGGGGGGGAATACCTCCACCAATCTTTTATAGATCAGATGCTTTACAACGCAACACTAATGTCTGTTCAGATATAAATTCTATTAAATTCATTGGGGCTTACTCCCAGGCAAGTGAGATTAGGATTATACTCTTAATTGAAACAACTGGTGAAGTGGGCAACTGAAAACATTGTTTATTAAGAAACTGTAATTAAGGGTGCCCTACATTTTATCTATTAAAACTTAAAAGCAAATGGATTTCTTTCTTGAGAATGTTAATCAACGTGTTGGTTGGTTATCTGGTATGCTTTGCATTCCTAAATTATTTGATTGTCTTTGATGGCTCTCTGTTAATAATACCCTCTGTGGAACAATCTGTGCTCAAGAAACAACTTAGGAAAAAGAAATATTGAATTGTTCCCAAGTAGTTATAAGGCCTTGATATTAAAATGATAATTGTAAATAATACAGGGTGCAATCTAGCCATTGATTAAAGTGTTTTAAGTCCCATTGACTAGGGCAGAATACAGTTGAACACATGCTAGATTGTGTCCAGAGTATTGTAGTGTTCAAATTGTGTGGTTGCTGAGCCTGCGGACTTGCATGAGTAGCACACTATAGCCTCACTGAAAGTAATTGGGGTACAATTATATTATGGACAACATGAAAACTGATAAGGAAAAGGATTGTGTTATCTATGTGATCTCATAAGTTATGCAGGTGAAAACTTTTATGGAATACCTCTGGTTGCGAATGGGATCCGTTCCGGAGCCCCGCTCGCAACATGAGCAGAACGCAATGCACGTCTGCGTGGGTCGTGATTCGCCGCTTCTGCACCTGTGTGTGACGTCATTTTGAGTGTCTGCGCATGTGTGAGCGGCGAAACCCAGAAGTAACCCTTTCTGGTACTTCTGGGTCACTGCGGGACGCAACCTGAAAAGACGTATCCTGAACCAAACGTAACAAGAGGTATGACAGTACTTAATATGTTATACGTATACAAAGTAGCAATTTTATTTATTTGTTTTTATCCTACTCTTCTCTGAATTGTTTAGAGTGGCTTAGTTTGAGTGCTTCCAGTGGTTTCTTTTCAGGCACCGATCCAGATCCGCACCTGCTTAATTTCAGTAATGAGGTCAAGTACTCCAGAAGTGTAGAACCTAGAAATTACCATGACTAACATGGGGCTTTGAGCCATAGTAAAGCATGGAGTGATTATTGCTTCATTGTTGCAATTGGACGCATGCTTTTGGAACAACCAGTTCAGCATAAGATGAGGAATTTAATTCAATGTTCCTTGCTTGCCCCAGCTTGCTTGTGTACATTTTAACACTGTTATGCAAATGAACAGGTCTGTAAAATGCTTTTATCAAGCACATTTAAGGGACTCACCCAGATTAGTTGTTATCCTCAGAAAGTGCTAAACTTGTCTAGTTTCTTATGCTGAGGTTTTCAGATGCATGGCAAATCAAATAAATGCAGCTATGCAGCTACATCTTTAGAACAGTTACCACCATTCCAGTTTACAGCCAGCTAATGCCAGTTGCTTTTTCCCATCTAGATTACTGAACCTGTAGCTTTGCTTTCTAGGACTTTCTTTTATCAGTGCAATGTATAGTTAACAACTGGGATGAAAATGCATGTGTGCTCAGCTTCAAGAAACTGATGTTAGCCAATCCAAGTGGTCTGCTAGAAAGTGGAGCATGCTGTGCGTGTGGGATGTGTGGCATAGTATGCTTACCCCACCTCCAAAACTTTGGCATACCTAAATATGATCAGCACACACCCCATAGCATGTATGCTTGGTATGTGTAATCTTTACCACTTCATATTTTCATAAGGTAAGCACTGCATATTTCACATGCATGCGTGTTGAGATGCACTTGCTATTGCCACGAGTAGGCATTAAAGCAAAGGTAAAGTGGTCTAGCAGGGCCCACTGCAGATTACTAATGAAGGTTTAAATGGGTTTTGAAAAGTATGCAGGCTATTTACAAAATAAAAAGGGCCGTGTTAGCTTTGGAAATTTTATACATGTCCCCATTTGCGTGTCACAGTAAGCCATAGTTAGAAATAAACTATGACTTACTGTAAATGTGCAGTGTGTTTAAACAAGTTTCTTAAATTGCACCTGCCCAACTCTGCCTTTTGCCAGTTGGGGGGGAAGGAAGGCATAGCACTACTTTAGTTTCTGTTTCTCAAAACACTCCATGAGAAGAAGCCATGGTTTGAGGAGAAATAAATCACAAGCTCTTGTTTGCACATAAACCTAAAACAGAGCTATGGTTTATTGCATTTCAGCTCATCAAAGGGAGGAGTGAGGTATATGCCAATGGCTCATTCACAGTAAACCAAAGTTTGTTTCAGACTGTGGCTTACCATGATGTGTGAACCAGGCCAATGGTAGAAACCTAAGGCAGGTGGGTGACCTTTAATAGGAAAGGCAAATATCCCCCTAGTGTCCTCATAATTTTCTTTTGGTAGGCATATTTTCAATTTTTTAAATCTTAAATGAAAACTCTGGTATTTGGGGTCTCTCTAAACTTACCTGCTTGAATGGTGATAAGTTAATGAGATACTAACTATTCATTTCCCATAGATAAGTAAGGATTATATAGGAATTTCACCTTTGGGTCATCTGTAGTTTAAGAAGCCTTATTGCTTTTAGAGCTCTGTATCATACCATTTATGTATCATTAATTAAACCAAAATCTCAGTTATAATTCCTTGCCATCAGATATCACTTCCAAAGTAGTATATCACCAGTTAGCATCCTCTGGAGAATTTCCAGTGTAAGAAGAGACTGTGTGGGCATTGGTAGGGTTGCCTTACACATTCAGAAGCTGAAGAGGCTGTTCTGCAGCTTACAAACTGATTAATAATCTTTAGCAACTTCCGTCTGCCTCCCTAGAGGAGATGGAAGACTCCTGCTTTCTTTCTGCTCTGTTTCCACAAACCATTGTTGAGATTAGTTTTGGTTAAGAGATAAACTAAACTGTGGTTAGTCTAGAGCAGAAGCTTCTAATATCCTTGAAGCTGTTCTGAAGAAAGGGTGGTGGATATGATTTTAAGGTTTCATTGTTAAACTGAACTGTGATTTAGCATTACATGTGAACCTGGCCAATGAAAACTTATTGTGATTGGAAAACTTTGGAAAGAATGATTGAGACATTTGGCCTTCAGAATACAGTATCTCTCTTTTCAGTTTTTCTCTAAAAACTTTGTCATCAAGATACAAAACTACACAAATAAACTCCTGCATAGCTTTCCACTGATTTTGCATAAATCCTTTATCGGTGTCACTGTGGATGCATGATTATATGCCTACTACAAGATACGTATTGTGTGTCACTATAGATCATGAATTTGCCAATAGGTTCATGGTTAGCGTTCTCTATAACTGATCATCTGCATTAACATTTCATCTTTATTGCAAGGAATTATATCTGTACTCTATTACTTGCTTATCCCTGTACCCCTTCCGCCAGTAGTCTTCGGTTTTTCAGACCCAGCATGCAACATATGTTCTGCTTCTCATTTTTCTGATAGATGTCCATCTTTCTCTTGGATTTTCTCCTTCTCTATTCTTTTCTTGTTCTCCCCACTTCTCCATGCTCCCTGTTCTCTTCTTTCTCCTTCTGAGATAATAGCATGCAAAACAAAAAAGGTAGTAGTGCTGCAACTGGTACAACCCACTTCAACTTGGATGTAACCAAATCCTCAAGCCACCAGTTGGTAGATTAATGCTTTAAATAAGTTTAGATTAGCTAGAATCAAACTGGTAAGCAACCAGTATAGTGAGCCTATGCACTGTGGAAATTTGCACTAATTACTAAGTAAACTTCGAATGTCTTGTTTTCAAATATTGCCTGTAGCATCCTTCCTTTCATAATAGCGCTGATAACTTAAACAATTTAGCAGAAATAAGCTACAGTCACTTGGTCACTGCATGAAAAAATGTAGAATTTAAAACATGCTTCCCAGTGCATATATGTAAAAGGGAGTGTGGCACAGTGGTGTGTGATGTAGTGGTTAGAGTGTAAAACTATGACACTACCTTGAGCTCCTTGGAGGAAAGGTGAAATACGGTAAAAAATGCAATAATTAAATTAAAATGTTTACTCGCATTCAGAGGTAACAATAACCATAGGGAGAATCAGCACTATTTGTATATTTAGTAGTTTGTTTATTTGCAGAATGGTTTTGAACCCTGGAGTTAGAAGTAAAATGCCCTACATACAATATATACCGTATTTTTTGCACCATAACACTCACTTTTTTCCTCCTAAAAAGTAAGGGGAAATGTCTGTGCGTGTTATGGAGGGAATGCCTACGGGTGGCATGCCTACAGATTTTCCTCCTCTAAAAACTACGTGCATGTTATGGTCAGGTGCGTGTTATAGAACGAAAAATACGGTATGTATGAGGCAGCCATAGACTATGCTGCATAAACCTGGTTGTGCAACATTGTGCTAGTACATTAAATGCCTGGTGGTCTGAATGACTTTTGGAGTTAATTATTGAATTGAAGGGCTATTTATATATATGGAGAGCAAATTAAGTTGATGACCACAGTTATCACTAGCCCAAATAAAGGTGACTGTTCGCTTCTCAGTGTTCATATTGCTCCTTGGTATATCTGAAGTGAGTTAAGAAGACAGTAGTCTCAATGTGGTTGTTATCTTGTGTAGACATTTGGAAACACGGGGCTGTTTTTCCAGCTCAGCATGACACTTTAGGACACACCCTGGAGAGTCACTGATAGAATCTGTAGGATAGCTCCCTACTCAACAGAGTAATGAAGCATCTTAACTAGATTCAAGTTATTGCTGTTTTGGCAAAGCAAGATCAGTCATAGGCAAGACATTAAATGTTTATGGATGTAATTATTATATAGGTCAATAGGAGTGAAAGTACATGGAATTCAGCCACAGAGTATCTGTATATGCAGCCTAAACTGCAGGTTTGGCTTCAGCTGCAGCATCAGTTCACTATTGCCCAGATGACTTGCGCTGCTGCAGCCAGAAGTTCTTAATAAGGATGGAGAGAGGTGGTTCAAAGGGTACTCTCTTGGGAAAGTGACCTTCTGAATTCTGATTGTGTAAACAAGTTTATAGCTAAGCTACAGGAGCAGCTAATGGGCTGTTCTTAATTTAGCAATGTGAAGAATAAATGACTTCCCCCAGCAATAAATTCCTTATTAAAGACAGCTTATTAGAGAGATGATGCTCCATGGGGTGTTATTATTTCTTTTTCTTTTTCTGGCCTTATATCTAAAAAGACAAAATTGAGTATGGGAGAGAAATCACAACACACCATTTCCCAAATTTCAAAGGCAGCTTGTGATGGAAGAAACCTACTGTGCCAAACTGTTGAGCATTGAGCACTGTAGATCTTTTATAAATTAATTCTAATTTTTATAATACATAGACAATAATGTTCCTTTTGGGCTGAAGAACTATTGATAGTGCCACAGATGGACTTCGATTGATTCAGAAAATGTGGAGCTTCAGAATGATTTTGAAATTACTTATGGGTCTCTTAATCTAGTCAGAAATGAATGTTAACGAACATACTTTCCCAAGCATGTGTATGTAGAATAACCTAAGTTCTTTAGTAGCATCCTCCCCAAGAGTAAATTAGTTTTGAGGGTTGTTGTTTAAAAAAAAGAAAGTTGGTTCTTAAGATAAGTTAGTTAACATTCAATATGGCTGCATACTACTTAGCATGCAGCCTTTATGGCTGTTTTATCACTCTTATGTGGACAGTTTTATTTTTACTGTGAAACTTATACAATTGGGATGAGCCATAACTCAGGGCATGTGCTTTGCCATATATAAGTCCCAGTTTTCCCCATGCCATCTCCAGAGACTGGCTGAGTTCACACTTTAAACCATAATTTGATGTGATGTGAATTTCAGGCTCACTTGCTTCTACCCTACCCTCCTGTTATATAGCTGGGAGGATAAGCTCAGAAGCTTCATTTCTGCGGAAATGCTGTTTGTCATTCCACCTGAACTGACAAACTGTTGCTAATAGTAACAATGCTTTGTCTGAAACACACTAACTTCAAACTCTGATTTTCTGTGATGTACAAATGTGGCCAAAGAATCTTGAGTACCTGACACGTTGGACTGACACGGGCTCTTCAATTAGATGTTGCTGTGCTGGATGCACTGACCAATGGTCTCACTTAAAATGAGATGGCTTCTTATCTGTAAATCAACAGATAGAAATTATAAATGAGAAAATACATGATTTCTTTGCATAATTTGCATTTCAATAGCAATAGGGAATTTATTTCAACAAGAAATGATTTTTCACTTAACTATATTGTGAACAATGAACAAAAATTTGTACGGAAGGGGTTAAAACTTGCAAAAAATTGGGGGACAGGAGGGCAATTAACAACATGAAGTTAGGATTCTGGCGGTGACTCATTCCCCCCCCCCCAATTCCCAGGTTTCTGATTTGGACTTTGAATGGTGAACACTAATGCTCTAGAAGATACTTTGCTTATTTTGATTCTCCTTAGTTTTCAGAAAAATGAAATCTTCAATCACATTCTGCGATGAAAGCAAAACTTGTGATGTAACTGTCAAGAACTTTATGATATACCACCTGTGTAATAAATCATTGGGCTTTTAACAGTGAATTGCAATGGGGCAAGTCATTTTCAGGAATAGACTAGGAATAACTTTCTTCTTACTAATATCTATTTATCATTTTGCTGAAGAGTTTGGAAGAATCATGTTCTTTACTCCTGAAATTTGTTTCTCCCAACCTTTAATTGTATACAGAACACTTGTGCTAGGAACTGTTAACACATGCGACTAATGGGATCCCTCATGTTTAAACTTGCCACCCACATATCCCTTCAAAACTAAGTTATATCCAACAAAATATTTCCATGAATTAACAATTTTAGCTCACACAAAGCCACTTCCCTCCCTCTCCTGTCCCTGTGAACAACCCCAAATCTGGTTTTCTTAGCCCACTCCCCAAGAGCAAATTGTGGCTGGATGTAGAGGTGCACAGGGGATGGAGGGGAAGTTCTGCCGCGTGAGCAAAAATTGCTCTGCTCATGCAATGACTTGGTTGGTTGGATTCATTCTTGCTTGATAAGGTGAGGGGTTTATGAGTGTAGCTTATTTCTATCACATTTGTTACAGTTGCTTTGGATTTTTTTTGTCTCTACAGAGGTGTTATGAACATAAACAGTACAGAAATGGTTTGAAATTTTGCAAACAAATTCTTTCCAATCCAAAGTTTGCAGAACATGGAGGTGAGTCTTCAGACTTCTACATAAACAAGTACCGGTTCTGAACATGTTAAGTTTTAAAATTGGCTTATATTTATAGTTTGCCTCTTCCTTATGGTTTGGATTGGGTAGCAATATATGTCTACAATTCAGTTTGAATTATGAAATTGAATTTTAAAAAAACTTCAGCCTCATTCCAGTCATGAAAACAAAGCCCAAATCAAAAGACCTTTTGAAAAAATGGCCAAAATGATTTTGGCAAGTATACAAAGGTCTGTAATTGAAGGGCAATTATTCTCCTGTGTATCCACATTCATGATATGTTGGAACATTTCTTAGACTTGTAAACTGCTAAGAAAAACTGAAAGTGGTAGTAGATGTGATGGTGACAGAACTGCCTTGAAACAGCATTCGGCACTGAAATACAGAAAGTGGAGTGGGTGATTGCATATGGAGACGAGACAGGCCCTGAACCCTTCTTCAGTCTTGCCTACATCCCCACAATCCCTTCTCCCTGGCTGCTATTCTAAATGAACTCATTTCTGTTTGCAAGGCTTGTGGGGTTTGGGGAGGGTGACTTTGGGAAGAGGCGGTATGCTAAGGTAGAACATCCCACTTTCTTAGCTTAGGAACATAGGAAGCTGCCTTATACTGAGTCAGAGACCATTGGTCCATTATGCTCAGTATTGTCAACACTGACTGGTAGTGGCTGTCCAGTAGTATGGGCAGGGGTCTCTTCTGGCCCTAACTGAAGATTCCAGGGATTGAACCTGAGGCCTTCTGCATGCAACAGGTCATGGTGTACCACTGTGCTTAAAGCCCTTCTGGCTTAAGATTGCCCCACGCAATCTTTGTGTGTGTTTGAACACACACAAAGCCAGGAGGGAGGCAGAAGAAACAAAAAGAATGCAGAAATTCTCAGTGCCAGCTTTGAATGTTTATTGTAGCACAACAAGGTTTGGAATAAGTTCGTTCTTCAGGAGTTATCTTAAACTTATTGAATCAGCTTATACAGATGCTGTTGCCTATCTGGCACTACCTGAAGAAGGAGTCCTCTCCCCCACTCCCCATCCCTAATGTCGATTCTATAATACAAATTGACCCTTTGCCCCAAGTTGTTATTAGCTGCAGAGAAGAAAATGGGCACTAACTAATTAAGCACAGCAGGTTTAGGGATGGAGGGAATTGTATTGGGAATCTATGCCGAGGAGCACTAACTTTATTTATTAACTGAATTTACCATCTCATGAAATAAGTTCTCTTGGTGGCTCACAAAACAGATACAACAATTAAAATGTAATATAGAACAATAAAAGCAATTAAAAATTAAAAGCACAATTAAAATACAGATTTAAAAACCTGTGGGTGATATCCAGAATTGCACAAATAGACTCTGATCAGGCATAGGATTTCTCCTTTCTCTATTATCCGCTGTTTTCCCAACATCTGCTCTAGATAGTCTCCCAACCTTTCAAAGCCGACTTTGGGGTGTATGGTTCTACCTGCGGATGGACACTTTGTTGTTTTCATCCTAAAAAGATTGGACCATAAATAATCTTATCCCATTCTTCTCTTCCACACAAAACATGCCCCATCCCATATCCCACTGCTTTTAATAAAAGAAAGGTATGGCACGACATCCAGTCACAGATCTCTTGCGGAGAGATAAATTGGTCCTGAGATCCTGTACATTTGAAACAATTAAGATCCACTGAAACCTGCCAGTCATAGTACATACAGTTACCCTTCTGGGAATCTACTACAAATAAATGTTCAATCAGTAAGGAATTATTTGTTTGAACCAAAATTAAGGGCATCTTCCAACAGAAAAGGGATTTGCTCTTAAAGATGCAGAAGCACTTCTGTGTAATAGGCATATCCCTGCTTTCAGATTTATAGACATGCTGCTTGGAATTTAAAACAAAATCTACTGATAGAAGTCTCTGCTACCAGTTTTTCTGTTCATAAAACTTCAAAATATGCATCACTATTACTATGGCTTGGCACAGCTGGTAATGATTTTTTTCTTTTTCTTTTTAGAAACCCTGGCTATGAAAGGACTAACGCTAAACTGCCTAGGTAAAAAAGAAGAGGCATATGAATTGGTGCGAAGGGGCCTACGAAATGACTTGAAGAGTCATGTCTGTATCCTTTTCAACGTGCACATTAGATTGACAAACAAAGGAAATGATAAAAAATAAATAGAAAACATTATATATAAACTAGAACATAAATGTAGCCTCTCCCTTCGTATTATGTACCTTCTAAAAGGCATTTCTTGAAACTTTTTGAACAGTTATATTACCGCCTTTGGAGCAACCATCCTAGCTTTTAGTCCGTAATGTACCTTACTAATTCTATTTACAGACCAGATTCAAGTGAGTGCCTGAACAGCAGAGTCTTAGAAATATCTGGGCCACATAATTAACTGTATTTAAGGGCTGACTTCTAATACTCCGAGGAGCCTTACACATATTTCATTGTATTATGCTAGTTTGTATTGGTATACTAGTTAAAGGTTTCTCTACCTGAGGGGCGGGGGGAAGCATTTACAGACTTCTTTCATGGAAATAGTTGAATGAGTTGTTTCTCATTTTCAATTGTTGCAAAATGGATGACCTTAACTGAGGTTTCCAGGTTGGCATGTCTATGGCCTCCTCCAGCGATCAGACAAGAAATATGATGAAGCCATCAAATGTTATAGAAATGCACTGAAATGGGATAAGGACAATCTCCAAATTTTGAGGGACCTTTCTCTGCTACAAATTCAAATGAGGGATCTTGAAGGCTACAGGGTAAGTCAAGAACAAGCCTCAGGAAGGTTTTACAAGCGCAGTAACTCTAAATAGTTCTTAAACTATGAAAAGTATGAGAGAGCAAAACCTTTTTGCCTTGCTTTCTACCATAATAATTTGGTTGTTGTTGTTTAGTCGTGTCTGACTCTTCGTGACCCCATGGACCAGAGCATGTGGTAGGGATTTAGTTGAGTACAAAATGATTTCACATATAGTGCTTTCTTAAGTGCTTAGAATAATGCACATTTCTGCTTGCTGACTTGTAGAAGAACTAGGTTCAGATTATCAAAGACAGAGTCATAAAATTGTAGAGTTGGAAGGGATACTGAGGGTCATTCCATGCAATGCAGGAATGTCAGCTACAGCATCCATGACAGATGGCCATCTAACTTCTGCTTTAAAAAAATCCAAAGTAGGGGAGTCTACCATCTCTTGTGGGAGTCTTCCACTGTCAGAAAGTTCTTCCTGATGTTTAGTTGGAATCTCCTTTTTTGTAACTTGAAGCCATTGGTTCAGGTCCTGCCCTCCTGAGCAGGAGAAAACAAGCTTGCTCCATCTTCCATGTGGCAGCCCTTGAGATATTTGAAGATGGCTATCACATTCCCCCTCAGTCTTCTCTTACCCAGGCTAAACATATCCAACTTTTTCAACCATTCCTCATAAGGCTTGGTTTCTAGACCCTTGATCATCTTTGTTGCCCTCCTCTGCACACGTACCAGCTTCTCAATATCCTTATGAAATTGTGTCAGCCAGAACTGGACACAGTACTCCAGCTGTGGTCTGGCCAAGGCAGAATAGAGTAATACTATTACATCTCTTGATCTGGAAGATCAAGATAGTTGCACTGGTTCTGCAGAAAGAATTGTCCACCTTCTCTCTTTATAATGCAATCCTAAAATAGTGATGGCCTTATTTTGTCTGGATTGTTTGATTTCTAAACTGGTTTCTGAGTTACATTTCTGTGTTGTAGTTCAACAGCTGTTCTTCCTAGTGTCTTTCTTCTTAGAAACCTGAGATGGTAGTGAAGTTGTCAAGTATTAGTATTTTGTGCAAGTTGCAATTAACTCATCTCATTGTTGAGTTCCACACGGATTTAGTCATTATTATCCTTAAGTGTGTTGATGCCATAGTTGATAGTGCTCAGGATTTACTACAAAAAATATACTAGTTCTATATCAGCACCATTCAGGTTTCTTTAAAAACACAGTCTGGAATAGTCACATTGATCAAATTGTTTTTCAGAGATTCTGTACAACATGTATATGAAGGTTTTTATATGTTGAAACCTTAAATTTTGAACTCTTGTCATTGATTTCTTGATTAATACTGTTGATTTAGTTTTGAATCCAGTAGACTGGAATGTGAAAGCTACCATTTTATTACATTTATGCAGGAAACTAGGTATCAGTTACTTCAACTTAGACCTGCACAGCGAGCATCATGGATTGGCTATGCGATTGCTTATCATCTTCTGGAAGACTATGAAATGGCAGCAAAGATTTTGGAGGAATTTAGGAAGACTCAACAGGTATCATGAAAAAAACAAAACCAAGTTTGTATATAACTAAAATAATCAGAATCGAAATGGAAGAATAAAATATAATATTTTGTGTGTCTAAGGGGCTAAGTAAAAACATTTACTTATCAGACTCTCCCTATGGAGCTGATGGTTGATGTCATCTATCATCCAAAAGTAGAAAACATGCATGGGTTGAGTATTCCCATCCTTCCATAAGTGATCATTTCTTTCAGAACTACCAATGCCAACCATGTGTTTGGCTGGTACATGTGCTATCTTGATTCAGCAAAGGGCAATGTTTGGGAGATTGAAGAGCCACATACAGGTGGCATTACCAGTTCAAAATCTCCCTCTTTTTTCTATACATACATGGGTCACATCTGACAATCCAGATGGTCAGCCCTTTTCTCTCATACAGGTCACCCTGATCAGTTTATGTGGGGTTTTGGTTGCAATGTTAACATTAAAAGGATGAATACTGAAGTGTTTTCTTACCTATGCAGACATCTCCTGATAAAGTAGACTACGAGTATAGTGAGCTACTCTTGTATCAAAATCAAGTCCTCCGGGAAGCAGGACTATATAAGGAAGCTTTGGACCATCTTAGTACCTATGAAAAGCAAATCTGTGACAAATTAGCAGTTGAAGAAACTAAAGGTAAATGAGCCAATAGGATTCTTTTGTTCCTAAGCCTGTTCTCAACGAGAAATATTAAATGAATAAGAAATAAGTTGCCTTACAATTACTACATAATTGGTAAGTTCAAAGTGTACTATATATTAATTTGGTAGTGCTATATATTTTTCTACATGTTAAATTAATAACAGAGTTGATTCTTTTAAAGGCTGTCAACAATCTGGTAAGTGGGTGTGACTTTGTATTGTAACCGGGAAGCAAGAAAAGTTGGAGGCAAGCTGGCCTTAAGTCTTGAACTTAATTGAATATATTATACAGTGGTACCTTGGGTTAAGTAGTGGGAGGGACAGGGGTGAAGAGAGAACAGAAATGCTTGCACTGCTGGAATGATTTGCTAGCTCTATGTTGACTATCTTCCGTAGAATTCTTGATGAAAGAGCTGAGTCTCAACAACAAAGGGCAGATGTTCTCATACAAGTGCACTTCTCACAGATAACATACACAAACAATAGCTATATTTTGCAGCAGAGGCCATCCTGCAGATAACCATCTTATCAGGAGGTCCATTCCACATGCTACAGGCATTGAGACTTTCAGTGTGGCAGTGCCTGCTCTTTGGAACTCTCCTATTTGCATATCAGACAGGCGTCTTATCTGTTTATTTTTTGGTGCCTGCTAAAGACATTGCTCTTTCAACAAGCTTTCTAAAATCTTTATCCCAGCTGGTACCTGTCCTGAATGTGAATTGATTTTCCATATGTGGTGGTGATTTAAACTTTCTATATTTTTTAATGTTTTGCTGTTAACTGGTTTTATATATGTAATGTGTCGTTTTATTGTAATTTGCTTTGAGATGCCCCAATGGAAATGATTCATAAATGAAATTTAATAATAATTGGCTTAAACCTTAGCAGGACTATATTATATATTGTTGCTGTTACTTTCATCTCCTCCAGTCCTCAAAAGTACAGAATTCAGCATCTTCATATTCCTTGGTTGTATTTTTATTTCTTTTTAAAGCGTATTTCAGGCCTTTCTTGCTTTGAATAAAAATTTGGAACATATTGGTAGTCTGTGTGCCCTTCACACAAAAGTATATTAGGTTACATTGGTGCAAAATATGATAGCAAATCTTGGGGGCATGCAGGGGGTGAGGGGGAAAAGGTCTGTTCTGTTTGGACACTCAGAAGTCTGTTAGATATTACCCAGCAACTTTGTGAAGACTCTCTTTTTTTGTTAGTGACAACTGTTGTATCTTAACGCATATGATCTGTAGTAGCTTCAGACAAGTAAATCCCTTGCCTGTGGCAGTATATAGGCTTTGCTTGATAGAAAAGGGCTCTACACAAGTAGGAAATGTAGCACGTTGAAGGTTAGCTCCATGATACTTAGAAAAACATTGTTTCATTGGCACAATATATATAAATATGTATATATTAAATACCCTCTCACGATTGATTTATAACTCTGCATTTTTAACAGGCGAACTTCTGTTACAACTCTGCAGGCTGGAAGAAGCCACTGAGATATATAGAGGATTGCAAGAAAGAAATCCTGAAAACTGGGCTTATTACAAAGGTTTAGAAAAGGCACTCAAACCAGGTAACAATATAGCTTGCACCAAGTTAGGTGCGAACCTGTAAATAACAAAGCCCTTATTTGATTTTTATATGTGATAGGAGCATATATTTTGTCATAATCCTCAGTTACTTTTCACAGCAAGCTGAATTGCGGTGAATTTACTTTCCTTTTTGAAGAAAACTTGTGTATGATGGCTGAGAAGTGCTCTATGTGTAAGCGTACACACAAATTAGTGATGGGAGACGATTTCATTTTATGTAGGCTATGCTTCAGGAATTGCAGTATATTTTGAATTTCAGTAAAAGTGAGTTGATGTACATTTCTTTCTTTATCCATTTATGTCTCACTTTTCTAAGAAGTTCATAGTAGTATAAAACTGAGGTCAACACAACTTTTTCAACATTGCATATTTGAGTTCTTCAGGTGTGATCAGGTTGGTTCTTGTGTACGTTGATGATGAGGGGAGCACTTGGAACAATTCACTCTATGCACAATGTGATGATTGTATTCATAGAATTGTAGAGTTGGAAGGGACTATGAGGGTCATCCAGTCCAACCCCCTGCAATGCAGGAATCTCTTGCCCAGCGTGGGGCTAGAACCTGTGACCTTGAGATTAAGAGTCTCATGTTTTACCAACTGAGCTATCCCAGACTCAAAATTCACCACTGCTTTTTAAGCTCATAGATTTGTCATTCTTTGGAAGGGGGTATTCATATGCTAGTGTGTTATGAATTTAAGATCTTTTTCTAAAATTTGCAGTAGCGGAGATAGTGGAGGGCAGAGTTACTGGAGCGGATGGTGAACAAGACAGTTCTGCACTTGCTCTCCATCTTGCCCACCCTCCAATCTTGGTAATCAGGAAGGTTTACCTGCTTTACCCTCAAGCATGCCATTGCTGAATGCCAACTCAGTCAAGACAAGGAGTCAGTTGTCACTGGCCCCCTTGTGCAAGAATAGATCAATCACGCTTGTGCCACTGAAACCTGGTTGGATGAAGTGGGGTGTAAGTTACTTTTCCCAGATATATTCTCTAGGTTTCAAGACACCAGTGTACACTTGAGGGACAGCAAGGTTGTTTGATCCTTAATGATTTGCTCCCCTGCTCAGCTGCCCTATTGAGCAGGTAGCCAGGATAAAGTTTCTGCAGCTGGTGTTGGGAACTCGAAACATGGCCACTACCAAACACTCTTCCTGCTTCAGCTCTGAGTGTAGTATAAAGGACCCCAAGGCTGATTATTTTAATAGACTTTAGCATTCACACTGAAGATACATCATTAGGAGGTAGCTCAGGATTTGATGGCCTCCATGACAACTTTGGGCCTCTTTCAATTGTATTTGGACCAGTACACATGGCAAGACACATAGTGGACTGGTTTTCTTCATTGGACTGGGAAAGGGTGATCTGTGGGGTAAGGCTTTTGTCTGGATCCCTGCCCATCCTGGCTGTTGAACTCTGTCAGAATGGACCTGTCCATGTGGGCCTTGGAGGTTGTGAATGCCTCCTTGAGGGATGCAGTTGTCTCTACTGCCCTTAAAGCGGGACTTGTTGAGAAGCCTAATTTAGATCTTTTGGCCTGAGAGATTATTGCATTCTTTGGCAAGGCGGCAGAGCAAGTGGTGATGGAATAACTCCAGTCAGTGTTGGAAGATCCTATTCAGATCATTTCCAGTCAAACTTCAGGCCTGGTTTTGGAACAGAAGCAGCCTTTTCCCATTGGAAATGTAGGGAGCAAGTGTGATCCTATCAGTTCTTTTGGAACTCCTAAGTACCTTTCAATACCATTCGGGGGGGGGTCCATGCCTGCGGATGGACGCTGTTTGTGTCAAGGGACGTTATTCCTCAGAATAAGGTTGCACTGTTAATGTACTGTTGATGTACCATTTGTGTCAGAGGAATAACTTGAAGGCAGCACAATCCACAATCCCTGCATGATGGCATGCAAGCCAAAAATTATTTTGGTTTCTTCTTTTCAGTATGTCATCTGTCACTTGTACAATATGTAGTAATGGCTTCCAACTTGGACTGCTTTGAAGGGGGGTTAAGACAAATTCATGTGAGAATGTCCCCCCCCCCAATACTCTCATGCAGCGTAGGAACCTGTTTTTTAAATATTGCAAGAGTGGTTTACAATTCGGCATGTGAAACCTGTGTAAAGGGGAAAAAATGCTACTACTCAAACACCAGGCGTATGAAAAGGGACACTCTGGATTTTGTCCATGGAAGTTACCCAAGTGAATGTAGTTTCAGTTACGTTTGGAATCATGAAAATTATTGGCCACCTTAAATCCCAAATGACATGTTTTTGTTCTTTTAGCCAACATGTTAGAACGGTTCAAGATCTACGAAGAAGCCTGGACTAAGTACCCAAGGGGACTAGTTCCAAGAAGACTACCATTGAACTTTTTGTCCGGTGAGTTGCATTTTGGCAATTAGGAGAATGAGTTACAAGATTAGAGTGCTTCCTTTTCTTGCTGCATCACCTTGTTATTAGCCACCTAGAAATTGCATCAAATTTTTGCTTTCTTTTAGCCAGCTTTAAACATTAGAAAGCATAGTTCCTAATTCCTGGTGACTTGAGCCAGAGCCTGAGCCAGCACTGCCATAAGTCATGGTGATTTGATTATTTAATTTCTCTACCACTTAATAGATTAAAAATATCTCTAAGCGGTGTACAAAAAAATGAAGCAACAACATATAACCCAAACAAAATATTACAAAAATACACGGTTACAAAATGTTTACATATAAAAATGTTACATTAATACAGAGTTACCAATATATAGAAATCAATGCCAGCTCATTTTCCTTCTTACACACCATCCTTCTCGGCCTCTGGGTTCTCACCCAGGGCCTAGCATGATGGGAGTTGTAGTCCAAAACTTCTGGAGCATACCAGGTTGGAGAAGACTGATCTGTTGTTAGAGTCACAGGTGCTTCAATTGGGGCATTGTTGAAGTGATTGGCAGAGTTGTGTTCCGGTTCTCCACCCCATAAAAACGTAGAGGCAAAGAGGGATGTCCATGCACTGCAGGAGATATTAAACTTCACCCTAATTTAGCCTAAGAAAGAGAGTGATTAATGTAGCACTTCATTTGACTTAAACTTTTTTTATTTGCCAGCATGCAAAGTAACATTTGTGACATTTTTCTTGTAGGTGAAAAATTTACGGAATGTTTGGATAAATTTCTGAGGATGAATTTCAGCAAAGGCTGCCCACCGGTCTTCAATACTTTGAGATCACTATACAAAGATAAAGAAAAGGTCATTATAACATCTGTGTGCTTTGCTTTTTAATGTTCTTTTAGAAAAGTCCATCAGACACTAAGTGTGTATCATTATGTTTTCTTATGCTGAACAGGCCTATCTGGAACCTTAAAAACTTCTGTAGAGATTCACAATAATGTCCTTTATGAATGTTAATTTTCATAGAACCAGGTTAAGGTTGTAAATTTGTTGGGGATGGAAAAACTCTGGGTGAAGCAAGAACAGATACAACAATTTCGTTCCAGGATCCCTACAATATTCATGGGCTAAAATCTCTTTACTGCCAGTGTGTTTGCAGTTTCCCCAGAGGTCCCTGAATGCATTCCCAGTCTGGGATGTAATCAAGCAGTATATGTGTGCATCTGAAATATGAGTACTTGTGAACTGACTGAGCCCCTATGTATAGGGAAGTAGAATATGAGCTATAAAACAGACCTCTTACATGCTGAAACTTAAATGATGATTATGATGGGCTAGTTTCGCAAAGCTATATGTGTTTTGTAGGTCTAGGTAATTTATTCTTGGGTTACAAGTTAGGCTTCTGTTGAGGGTCTGTGGTAAACTATTGATTAATGTCATACCTTGAAAAGTGCAGTGTAATGTTATATAAAGTAACTGCTGTTAACCTATTGGCTGCAATTAAACCGTGAAGTATTTTCGAGAATTAGATTCAGGATCTGGAAGCTCCTTTGTCAAATATGGGGTCCTAGTTGTTAGCCTAGTGGCAAGAGAACGATTTAGAAGAATCTAGTCCACTTTGTGGGATGTTTGGCTGCAACCTAGCCCATCCATCACTTCTTGAGTAGGAAGTAAAGCAACCCTCCTGTAAAAGTAGTTACTGACCAGACTCTTATGTGGACAGAACACTTCATTCTTCCAATTCTGATTTATACTTCTACAGTCATACCTCGGGTTGAAGTAGCTTCGAGATAAGTATTTTCGGGTTGCTCGCTGCGGCGACCTGGAAGTAACGGAGCGCGTTACTTCCGGGTTTCACCGCTCGTGCATGTGCAGATGGTCAAAATGACGTCACGCGCATGCACAGAAGGGGCGGCACACGCAGACGTGCGGACATGGGTTGCGTTCGCTTCTGGAACGGGGCTGCGGAACGGATCCCGTTCGCATCCAGAGGTACCACTGTACTTATTAAGTAGGACTTCATGGAGATGGGTTTGATTCTGAATTTGCAGTCTGCTGAATTAAACTACTAATAGGTACTTTATTTATTTGTTGTCTTGTGTCTATAGGTGGCAATCATAGAAGAGCTAGTGGTAGGTTATGAAACCTCTCTGAAAAGTTGCAGATTATTTAACCCAAATGGTGAGTGCCACATGTTATATTATTATTCTGTAGCTAGGAATATGCTCCTCAAGAAAACGGTTGGGGTGGAGAATAGGCATCAAACAATCCATGTAGACTGGTTTTCACCTGCACCTCCCATACCTGTTCCTGCCCATAGTTTCCTCTATCACAGGCTTATCTAGTCTTAGGATCAATTGAACTCAGGGTGTGCCATAGCCGACAGCCTTGCATCATATGGGTAGAGCCATATTTGGGCAGCCAAGCTCATTCTGCTCCATGCTTAGACGGCAGTGGCTTAAATGAAGGGTTGTATCACTCACATATACTCACATTCAGCACCCTTTCTCCATGCTGCCGTGATGCAGCTGAGCCGTGGAGCTGCACCTGGTGACTTGGGCCTGCCCTTCATTCCTTTGTTAGAGCTGCAGCTTCAACACAGAGTCCTCAGCCCAGCTCACATTAAGATGTGAAGTGTACTTTGTAGAATACCTGGGTACTTTGTAGAACACCTCTAGTTAAGTTATATAACCTGATATGCGATACTCTTAAAGGGAAAAATGAGAGCATGAGCATGAAATGGAACAGTTTAAACCATCTGTATCTTAATAAGCTTCACAGACCAGTCCACCCCCTTTCTATATAATAGCTTCTCAGCAGTCAGTAGCAAATAGCATGCCATTGGGTTTTTCCTTGTGCAGCTTACTATAAAATGGAAAGGAAAAAAAACCCTGTGAAATTTCCTCCAAATAGATGACGGTAAAGAAGAACCTCCAACGACTTTACTCTGGGTCCAGTACTACTTGGCACAACACTATGACAAAATTGGGCAGCCATCCATAGCTCTGGAATATATAAATGCTGCAATAGAAAGCACACCCACCTTGATAGAACTCTTCCTTGTGAAAGCTAAAATCTATAAGGTAACTCTTTTTATTATTGCAGCAGGCTTTTGCCACATAGCACTACCCTTCTTGATTCTTTTTCATCCTTGTATTTGGAGAATGAACAGATGATTTGGCTGTCGGTCAGGGCTCATAAGAGCATAAAGAACCCTGCTGGATCAGCCCCAAAGCCTCTCTAGTCCAGCTTTTGGTTTCCCAACCTGATGCCTCTGGGAAGCCCACAAGCTGGACAATTGGGCAAAATTCCTCTCCTGATTCTGTTTCTCAGCACTTGAAAATCAGGGGCATGTTACCTCTGCTCCTGGACGTAGTATATAATCATCATAGCAGTGTCTGGCACAGAACTTCAGTATCAGGATATCTGGGTTGTTGTTTTTTTTCCTCTTTTAAAAATCCAGTCTCTGCTACCATCCGTACAGCTGCTGCTAGCACCAGTTGTTCTACTCATCATGGTTGTAGAGAAGAACTTGGAAATGTGCCTGACAGGGATTGCAAGTCAGAAGAGAACTTGACTGCTCTTTGTTATAGAGTGGGACTTCAGTGTATCATACAGCATGCTATCTTTCTATTACTCTTTTGCTCTATTGGCCAATGATACCCAGTCTCCTGGTACTTAAGCCATGCATTCAGATACCAATTTTAGAGGATCTGGATGCATTTCTCAAAAAAAAGGGGGGGGGAGGAGGATAACTGGTTATTAAATAAGAAAGGATAGCTTAGATGATCTAGACCAGGGTTTCCCAAACTTGGGTCTCCAGTTGTTGTTGGACTACAGTTCCCATCATCCCTGACCACTGGTCCTGCTAGCTAGGGATGGTGGGAGTTGTAGTCCAAAAATAGCTGGAGTTTGGGAAGCCCTGATCTCAACCAAGGGTAGCCTGTGTGGTGCCCTCCAGATGTTTTAGAATACAACTGCTGCCGCCTTCAGCCAGCATGGCTGGTTGTGCATGATAATGGTTGAAGTCCAGAGCATCTGGAGGACGCCATGTTGGCTAACCCTGCACAGTTTCTTGGAAATAAACTCCCTTGAGCATTGTGACCTTTGTTTCAGAGTAAACGTAATTGTATTGTTAGGGTTGGGATTTGTTTTCGGCCTGTTGAGAATGAGAAGCAGTACTGAGTATGTTACTTGCCCCTTTCATACTTTTATCTTTGCACTGAATTGAACCTGGCAAACTAGAGTTTACTGCATTATCCAGCTTACTTTTGTCTTGTCTTCTCAAGCATGCTGGAAACATAAAAGAAGCTGCAAGATGGATGGATGAGGCTCAAGCTCTGGACACAGCGGACAGGTTTATTAACTCCAAATGTGCAAAGTACATGTTGAAAGCCAACTTGATAAAAGAAGCAGAAGAAATGTGTTCCAAATTTACAAGGGTTTGTTTGACTTACTCTACTTTTTAGCTTACTGTGCTCTTCGTAGGCCATTGCTTTGAACAGTCCTGCATATTCAGTTATTAAAAAGAGTTTTAGGGGTTACGTGGATGCCAAAGCATAGGATAAAAGTATGTAAGTAAATCAGTGTCTGAATTGGGGGTAACTAGCCCCCTCCAGGTGGTTTAGACTGCAACTCCCATCAGCCCAAGCTCTCATGGCCAACAGTCAAGGCTGATGGGAGTTGTAGTTCACAGCATCCCGAGGTACCCAGGGTTGACTACTCCTGGTCTGAAGGAAGCTGTTATTGTCATTAAAGTAAAGCATTACAGTTTCTAGATGAGGTTTTCCCTTTTATGCACGTTGGCTTTCCTACCTGTCCCCCAGTCACAGCAACAAAGCAGTCAGCGTGTATTAGAATGCCCCTTTTGACTTTTTTGCACATTCAAATTTTTGAAACTCACATTTGGACACAGTATTGATGTGTTGTTTCTTGTCTGTTGCACTTGTCTGCAATGTTGGCCGTACTACGTAAGCATGTTTTTCTTGCTGTAAGAAAAACTTAAAAGTTTTTTAGAAATAACTTTCAGAGTCAAAATATTGCATATCCTTCTTAGTTAACTGTATATGTATAAGCTGAATATTTGTAGCAGCTTGCCTTGTATTTATTTATTTTTTCTAATTTTTCCTTTCTAGGAAGGGACTTCAGCAGTGGAAAACTTGAATGAAATGCAGTGCATGTGGTTCCAGACAGAATGTGCCCAAGCTTATAAAGCAATGAATAAATTTGGAGAAGCACTTAAAAAATGCCATGAAATTGAGAGAGTATGTACCTGATGACCAATTTAATATTTCTTAGTGGTCCGTTCTCAGGAATCAAGTCTGACGAATCTCTTAAGTGTATTGTTCTGAACCTCAAGAGTATCTAAACATGGGCTGTGCTTTATCTCTCATTATACTGCTTAAGGCCATAATTTATAATGCGTTCAATTCAGACATAACACCAAAACATAGTTTGATGATGGAGAAGAATCTGTGGGGCCGTACGTTCCATTTCCCTATTCCCCTGTCACATTCAGGTTTCCTTCCCCATTTTTTTGGTTTCGCTAACCCTAGCTTACCATGGCATTTGAATTAGCAAAGTACGGTTACCACAGTTTGCAGACCCACTTCAAACCTTGTTTGGAATCAAAGACATCATTTAGATAGCATGGAAAACTACAGAAAAGAAGAGGAGAGCATGTGAGCCTATAGAGAATGTTCCTCATTTGCCAAACTGTTATTCGGAATTGCCTCTGATTTGACACTAGTTTTTGAAATATGTTCCAATGTAAGACTGCTGTATGCAGTGCTTGCATAATGCCATATCTAATTTGGCCTTCAGAGTTGCAAAGGTTCAGTCCTGGCTTGCTACGAGAGAGCCTTTTGAACTAGAGATACCAAGGACTGAATCATGACTTCCTGTCTGGTTGTTGTGCATGATTTATCACTGAATTATGGCCTCTTTATGCTAAATTTTGGGTTCTGCTTGATTGTGTTATCAGTGCTTCTGTTTGTGGTTCTGAAGTTTAGTTTTGGAACTTTTCTCGTTGTACTTCCCATGCTTACTAAATAACATGATATTTTGTTAGCACTTTGTAGAAATCACAGATGACCAATTTGACTTCCACACATACTGTATGAGGAAAATCACACTTCGATCATATGTGGACTTGTTGAAGCTAGAAGATGTACTTCGACAGCACCCATTTTATTTTAAGGCAGCAAGAATTGCCATAGAAATATACTTGAAGCTTCATGATAACCCTCTGACAGATGAGAACAAAGAGCATGAGGCTGACACAGGTAGAAGCTGCTTCTAGTATTTTATGGCTCGTTTCTCACGCAATGTTAAACCACACTTTAAAATAAACTATGGTTTAACACACTCAAGCTCCATGCTCCTTCCCTGCTCCTCACTGTGCCATGTCGGAAAGGAAACAAGCCAGAATCTGGCCGGTCATAATGCTTGTGGTTGGTTTGGAGGAACAAAGATTGACCTTTGCTCATGGTTTGTTGGACAGAAACAAACCATGAGACCAAGTTTGCACATCGCAAAGCAGTCTTGTTTCCCAGCTTGTTTCCTTCACAGAGCAGCATAGCCAGGAGCAAATGAGGAGTAAAGGGCTTTTGCAAGTTGAACCATAGTTTATTCTAAACTATGCTTTTTGTATATACTGAGCCATATTGTCCTTTTGTGTCATTTTCATTGCCATGAGACACAAAATTGGTGGGGGGAGTTGTGATGCTGTAAAAGGTGAATGCTGTGCTATGCTTGCTTGTTTTTTGTATTTTTTTAATAAAATAAACCAGGTCAAAAATTTAAATATATAGTTTACAGTTTAAGGAGTTGCAGTGTTATATATTGGCCTTCCAATAACTTTTTTAAAACATCCTAACTATACATTCACATGGACTTCATATTCTGAAAATGTACAAATTAAGGGTTCTGCTTATTTTCTTGATCTTCTGGGATAAGTTACAATCCAAGTAGTTCTGGGTGAGGCTGCATTATAGATAAGCCACTATGCCTTTTCTAACGGAAGTCATCCAGGTTTGGGCCATGATTTGGAATTTGAGAAGACTTGTTTAGGAAATGGTATTAATAACCTGAGCTGCAAGAATCTAGGGTTTGTTATTTTTAAGGAATCGTTCTATTCATAATCAACAAAGTATTTTTTATGTATAGCAAATATGTCAGATAAGGAGCTAAAGAAGCTACGTAATAAGCAGAGGAGGGCTCAGAAAAAGGCTCAGTTGGAGGAGGAGAAAAAGAACGCTGAAAAAGAGAAGCAGCAACGAAACCAGAAAAAGAAGAAAGATGACGACGATGAAGAAATTGGAGGACCAAAGGAAGAGCTTATTCCTGAAAAACTAGCAAAGGTATTGAAACTTCGGAATGTAAATTGTGTTTGAGCAACCATTTACACAGAACTATTTAAAGAGACTCCCATACAAAAGCATATCACTCTAAAAGTGACTCTTGCATGCTGACTCAATCACAAGTAGCAGCTTCTGTCAGGGCATTTTCACAGTTGTTGTTCTGTTGCACTGAAGAATGAAACCAGAAACAACTGAATCATTTGTGCTTCTTCAAGTGCTTTGAATATGAACCGCTTCTTGGGGCAGGTGAGACTCGCTTTGACAAAACCCAAATCACTTTATTCAGCCCCTTCAACTGCGTTAGGGAGTTCCCAAAGGGAACTGATGTTGGGCTGTGCATGGTGCGCTCCAAGCAGCGGGACTTCAAAGCTCCTTTCAAAGGGTATTGCAGGCAGCAGCTGTCAGCTGATTGGTGTTGTCTGTAAACTCCTTTTTGGCTCATATATAGCATCATGTAAGTGGGCATGCCTCTGTGAAGATGAGTTTGAGGGCCAAATGTTGTGCTTTATCAGCATTTGAATTGGGTCCATATAAGGACACATACACCTGTTTTATCTGGGATGTATGAATGAAGGCCTTATATATTGCAAGGAACCCAGTATAGAGATAATGCACATTTGCTCCACCTGTGTAGCCCAGACCTTAGTGACAGGGATATCTAGTACCAGGAGGCCAGATTTTGCTTAAAACCACAAGATTTGTATGCAATGCTTTACTTTTGCCTGTAGAAATGAATAGCAGCCACTTATAGGGGATATGGACTGTATTTGTGGCCAGGAGTAAATCTGCTCCTTGCCTCTACTGACATTGGGCACTAAGAATGAAAGAGTTCTAGTTTCTTCATTGGTGTTTGTCAGGAAAAGCAGTGTTTCTGTCTGACAAGTGTTTTTCTGAAAAGTCCTCTTGCAACTTTTTCTGTTTTGTCACCAAAAAAAATGCATGTTTAGGTTGAAGCTCCTTTGGAGGAAGCTATTAAGTTTTTAACTCCGTTGAAGAACTTGGTGAAGAACAAAATAGAAACCCATCTTTTTGCCTTTGAAATTTACTTCAGGAAAGGTAAGTGGAAGGTAGAATGAAGTGGAAATACACCAGTGTACAAAAGCAAGACTCATACAGATGTTAGAAGGAGCAGGAATCTTCCTGTTTTCTTCCATTCCAGACTGGGCCTTAGGATGGAGTGTTCAGACACCTTCCCCACTTGGGTATCAGTTGTATTGAGTTGCTATTATTTTCTTAGGAGTTCTTTTTATAAACAAAGAATCCTCTTGTAAGTAAGTTGAGAACCCTGCACAAAAGGAAACACGTGTTTCAGAAGATTACAAATTTTTTCTCTTGCAGAATTGTTTTATGCATTGTTTGTGATTGCCAAGAGCTTGAGGACTCCGTGGTCTATATCAACAAATATTGATTGTCAGAACTGACAGTCTGGAAGAAATGTTGACGTCCGGTATTTAGATTACATTTTTAAAAAATCTAACTCTCTCACTGCTTGGCATTTGGTATGCAAGCTAAAAGGCATTGCTGCCTCTTGCAGTATGTCAGGTTTATGAGAAAAAAATAGTAATCTTTATAAAACCAATAACTTTCCAGTATTAGCCATATAAATAAAAAAAAGAATTTCCTAAACATACCGTAGCATAGTTAAAATATTTCACGAAGCTAAGTCTTGATCCAAAGGCCCTGTACACATGGGGACGCCCAGCCAGATGGGCAGGGTATAAATAATAATTAATAATAATAATAGAACGTTTCCCCCCCCCTACATAGCTTTCCAGTCCAGCAGCTTCTCACAGTCGCTAAACAAATGCCTTTGGGAAGCCTCCAAGCAGGATCTAAGTGCAACAGCACTATCTGCATTATCAGACACTGCTTATAATGGTCCCCCAACTTCTAGGAGAAGCCTTTAGAAGGCAGGAGTGCTGTGCTAGAAAATCTTCAGCTCACTAGCAGAAATGTTTTCCACTTGCACAAGAGGCTCTTTAGGTCCAAGCCAGCTTATTTCGTTTCGTAGTTCCCAGAACTCACTGCATTTAAGTTGAATAAAACTTGTTATATTGGTATATAGGTTGCATGACCATGGCATACCCCTCTGCTGAAAATGTAGAACATATAAACATAATGACCTTCATCTCATTTATTCTAATCATTATAATTTCAAATGTAATTATCTTGATCATAACATCTAAAGTATAATGAGGCTTTCTGTTGTATTTTTTTTGCTGAGTCTAATTCCCTAGTACATTAGAACATCTTGTAATGTGGTGCCAATTTATTTTGTCTCCTGCAGAAAAATTCCTCCTTATGCTGCAGTCTGTGAAGAGAGCATTTGCTATTGACCCTAGTCATCCATGGCTCCATGAGTGTATGATTCACCTCTTCAGCAGTGGTATGAACCTAGCAATCATAATTCCAGACGCTGTTATAGTCAGTCATACCTTATACCTGATAAGGACTATGAGCAGTTTACTCAAATACAAACAGCAAAATTCATTATATTTTCTTATTTGTTTTGATACTTCTTTAAAAGGAGTGCATGGATCTGTCCAGTTTCTCTCTCTCCTCCCTCAGTTTAATCTTTCAGTTACTGCATAATACTTGCAAGTTTAAAATGCCTGGTTCAGTATGCTACCTTTTATCATTATGGTCCTCTTCAGAAAAGGGAGGAAATTGCACAATACTAGGGTGTTGGGGTTTTTTTAGAATCAATATGTTGACGAAATAACATGAGCAGTAAAGAAAAGAATGGCTGGGATTGGGGTGGGGCAGTGTTCTTGGAGATAGACAAAATGCAAGAAAGCTCTGCCCACAACCCTGTTTGGTTTCTCATTGTAAAGCAGGGCTTATCTACTTCCAAGTGATTATCAAATTTCACCCTGGAGAACCAAAACTTGTAAGAATAAACAGCACTGAACTAGACAGACCATTTCTGTCACTCAGTATAAAGTACAGTGGTACCTTGGCTTAAGAACAGCTTAGTTTATGAACAACTTGGATTAAGAATGCTGCAAACCCAGAAGTAGGTGTTTTGGTTTGTGAACTTTGCCTTGGAAGCAGAACATGTTTCGCTTCCTGTTGAGTGTATTCCATTTGTAAATTGAATCCCCCGCTGCTATGGGAAAACATGCCTTGGTTTAAGAACCTTTGGATTAAGAACGGACTTCCGGAACAGATTAAGTTTGTATACCAAGGTACCACTGTAGTTCATGAGTTTAAATGATTGATTTTAAAAAAAAATAAAATAAAGCAAGCATATTGAATTAAGCGAGATGAACTCCACAACCCCAGAGTCGGCCACGACTGGACCTAATGGTCAAGGGTCCCTTTACCTTTTTTATTCTGCTTTAAATTCAAAACTACTATTCATTTAACTCACACAGGCCATCTTGGGGCTTTAATAGAAGAAGCAACTACAATCTTTAATAAGTGTATTAAAGCGTAACATATTCTGCAGCAATTAACTGTGTTTTCTAACATTACAGTTTCTGAAAGCAAAGATCTACCAGAAACAGTCAGAACAGTGTTGAATCAAGAAATGAATCGGCTTTTTGGTGCAACTAATCCAAAGAACTTCAATGAAACTTTCCTTAAACAGAACTATGATTCACTACCACACAGATTATCCGGTATGTAATTTGCTGCATATTCCAAGTTTATCTTGGCAGTTTTTAATTTTGCTGCCTAGTAATGTACCACTCTTGGTCGTACACATGAGATCTTGTCTACCATACCGATTGCATTCATGCCAGTTTATGGCAAGATGGCTTTGATCAATCCAAAAACATTAGAATGTATTTCTTTCAAAAGTCAAGAGTCAGGATACTAGAGACAAGGTACGTGTTCAGTTTTGTGAGAGGGATCAAATGTTTGAATGCTCTCTCATATTAAAAATAAACATCCCTGTGCAATTTTTTTTCTTTTTAATCAAGTTTAGACATTTGAAACCCAGTATTACACTGCTGCTTATTTCCATCTTAGAGCCGGGATGTCTTGACTGTTCCGTTGCATAACAGATATACAGACTCATAATATTATGATTCTAGGGCTTCAGATTTTTTGAACTAATTCTTCGTAATGAGGTAGCTGAGCAAAGGAGGTGGCATAAACAAATGACTTTCACAGTTGCTGTCACAGGCTCAGCAAAAGTAGCAGAAAGACAAGCTAGACCTTAAAGTAATGCTATTAAAATCCTACCTTTAGTAGTTAAGCATAACTAGTTAATGAGAGGAGTGTTTTGTAGTAGGCAGTTATCAAAGTAATGGGATATTGGTATTATGATACTAGTTTTACTAAGATAAGTTATATAGTCTTACCCAGTAGCAGGTTGATGATTCTTTCATAACATATGTAAAGGAGGCTTTGAAAGCATCGTACAGGGTGGATTCTTAGACTGTGTAATGGTAACAGTTTACCATTGTTTAAAAAGGCTGCCTTAACCTTTTCTATTACTTGACATTAAGCCCTGGGTAGCAATCTGTGATTGATGATATTACAGTTAGTCCCATTTATAAATTTTCCAAACAACAACAAGGCAAAATTAGCAACTTTTATAGATTTCTTTGATAGATTAGCTTATCTCTTACTGTCAAGTAAGAAATTGTAGTTAAAATGTAACCTTTCTAGGTTGTGATCTTGCAATGCTGCATGCACATTTCCATATTTACAAATAGAGGCTTGGATCCTGAATTTCTCAAAACAGACAAATCCAGTTGGCAGAAGTGCACCCCAGCCCATGGAGTCCCTTGTGCTACGAAGACTTCGTGCAAAGTTAGGACGTAGGAAACTGTCATATACTATTGGTCCATCTAAGCAGTTGCTCTGCCATTGAGTTAAAACCCTTCACCTGTGGGATCCTTCTGCGGGAACTTCTGCCACTTCAGTCAGTGGTTGCTCCTGCTCAATTGAAAGCCATTTCATTCATAGAACACTTCAGATACAAGTCAGGGTTTATAGAGCAAAGTGAGAGGGAGAGTTAGTAAGCACTTCATTTCCCATTCCATATGCCAGACCAGGGTATAAGATTCCTATCTTGATCCTAAACTCATTGGCCTTGCTGCAATTACCCACATACTCAGGGCTTATTCTACCCAAAGGGCACATCTAGTTTACAAAATGGAAATGCCCACTTGCAAAAAACAGCTTGGCCACATCTGAAAGTAACTTTAAGAGATCGCAGCCTTTTTGTTTCAGTTTTATGATTAACTGAATGACTTCCCCTCTCTCCTAGCTGCCAAAATGGTGTATTATTTGGATTCTACTAGCCAGAAAAGAGCTGTGGAGCTGGCAACTTGCCTTGATGAATCCCTCACAAACAGAAATCTTCAGGTAAATATGTCTGATATACAGAATGATTTGTTATCTTAGCATCAGGTGTACCTTTTCCAAATGATACAACAAACCCTTGGTTAAAAGAGCTCCGCAGTTAGTGGAACTTGTAAATCTCTAGGGAGCAGAAAAAGCATCCTTTTCATAGTATTCTAATGTAAGGTAAGAAACATGTAAATATTAAACATTCAAGTAAGAAAATAATATTTTAAAATAATGAAAACAGAACTAGCAGTAATGTGAATTGATACACAGGATCTTTTAAAAGGATTAACACTGTGTTTTCACATTTTAGACTTGTATCGAGGTATTGGAAGCATTGAATGATGGTAGCCTTGGAGACTGTAAAGAAGCAGCTGAAATGTACAGAGCAAATTGTCATAAGCTTTTCCCTTATGCTTTGGCTTTTATGCCCCCTGGATATGAAGAGGATATGAAGATCACAATTAATGGAGATATATCTGCAGAAACTGAAGAACTGGCCAATGAAATATGAACTTTTTTAAAGGAGTGGAATGATTTTGGACCGTATCTGGTGTATAATATTTTTGTCACGCACCTGCTGAATTGTTCTAACCTACACAGAATGGAAGGAGTAAAAATGGTTGCCTTCAAAGTTTTACTTTTTTTATCCTGCTGACGAGTATATAATATAAAGTAACGTATTACTGGATATAGGTGGCTCAGTTAAAAGAAAAACTAAGCACTGCTAAAATTGAAAAGTATCCTTTATCTACATACCCCATTTTAAACTAATTTATATGGAATCTGAAGGCTTAACACCCATTGGAGCAGGTGTGTGGCAGAAATATTACTTTAAATTTGTCTTGTTGAGATGACTATCTCAGACAGCAAAAACGCTGTTTTAGCACTGGATCCTTTTCACTGAGCACAAAGAGTTGTTGGGGCTTTAACATCTGACTGATTTTGATACAGAGATGATTCTACCCTTTGGAAGTATGCAATGTGAATCACTATTTGCAGACAAACCTGCAATACATATATAATGCTGTTGTAGAGACTGGGATTTAAAATATGAAGCAAAATAACGAAACATAAGGTGTTCAATTAGCTTGTTGTGTCTCCGAAATTCACTGCACGTGATCAGTTTGGTGTTCTTGCACCACAGTTTTTAAATGAAGGAACCAGTTAGAACATACTTTGTTTTTATTAAAATTTGAAAAGAAATCAACACTGCTGTTCAGGAGATGAGCATGATGACAGCATCATTTGGCTGTACATGTTAAAACTGTAATGCAAGAACCAAATGAAATTATGCACTGTGATGTGGCACCAACTCATTAAAAAGACAGCATGTATTTTTCACGTACAGTGAAAATATAAATGAACATAACTATGGCTTGAAAATTCAAAGAGTGGAACTCCTGACTTCCAATTTGTGACTGATCGAGAGACTAATTGTTTAAAACCTCAGCAGGCCTTGTTCATGTTATGCAGAAAAAAGTGCTGCAGTTTAGATACCTCTGGAACTTTTCCACAGTGTCACAGGTTTGTAATACTTGAAGCCCTACATTTCTAAGAATATATTTCTTGCTCAGTTGTTTCAGGCAAGCCCATGACTTTGTAACTTTTAACGGGCCCGAGATTTTTTTTCAATAACAGACAAGCTTCTTATTCCTGCAGTTACAGATGTAATTTCCTTTGTCAAACATAAGGTACCAAATATAATGCAATAAAATGTTTTGAAAAAGAGCTGTGTGGCTATAGAATTTGCAAACTGCTGTCGAAAGAGATGTAGTGCAAGATCAGTGTAACATGAATTACTTATAATAGCTTTTTGTTAGTGTTGGTGAAATCCCACAATGCATAATGCAGCAGTGCTTGGAGACACTATTTCCCCTTCCTGCCCCTCTTCTCCAATAAAGCTAACCCACAATGGCTGCTGTTGTGAACAGTAATTTGCAACTTGGCAGTAATGGTTCCGTTCCTAGAGTTAATAGTAAATATCTCTGCAAAATACAACATCTTTATGAAGACTACAAATTTAAATGAGAACTTTTATAAGCTATGAAGTTTGGGATAAGAAATCTAAGGCACAGTGTAGAAAATGATAAAAATAATTTGCAGTATGAGAAACTTGACAGTTGACACTTCATGGTTTTCACTGTTGTACATCTCTTTAGAGAGATCATTACTCTTTCTGTGATAAGAAAAAAATGTTAAAGGAAATATTGACTTGTCATTCATCCAGAGCCTTGCCCTTTTGGCATATATACATCTCTGAACAAAAGAAGTTTGTCATAACTTTGTGTTAACTGTACTACAATATTTTCATGGACTAATATTTCCAAGAAAATAATTTTGCTGTCTGCTACTGAGACACTCTGCTACATTACATTCAAACCAAGAGCTGAACATCACACCTAGTCTGCAAATATTCAGTGTTATCTATCTGGAAACCTTAGTATCCTACGTGCTTGTTTTTCTTCCCCTTAACTTAGCCACTTTATTATCCAGCAACCCTTCAGGAAATACTTGCTGTAGTCATGATGTTCCATGGAAACTACTCTAGAATTAGCCCTATTGTCTTTCAGGATGCCACATTATTTCTAGAGTGCTCTGCTAAGAGGAGATGGGCTTGGGTTAATAATTTACACCTTTCTTTTTCCTCTTCCAGTGATAGTTGGTCAACTAAAACTCTCTTAAGTGCTGAGATCCTACAACATAGATCACTCATTTGTGGCTTTTGTTTTTAGCAAGGATAGTATGTTTCATTATAGTTACAACTGTGTGATCTTGCAGTGACATTTTGGAGGTAGGTATATAGTGGGCATCATATACACATAAAAACTCACACAGTAATCTGGTCATTACTATTTAAGCAGCACGCATGCACACCTTTCGTAGTGGGTCATTAAAAAATGATCAGTGTAACCTATAGGAAGGCAAAACCAAGGCAGCCCAGAGGCATAATAATCATATGCTGGTCTACTTGGAAACACATTTCACTGATTTTGGTGGTACTTGCTCCGTTGTAAGCAAATATAGGGTTGTGTTAGGTTTTTTAAAATATATTGTCCACTTAAGCAGGCAGAGGAGCTGAGCAAGGGGTGGTGCTCCATTGCACTTTGCACCCCCTGAGAAGCAAAATTAATTATGCAAAACAAGTGAGGATGGACAAAGTTGCTGGGTTTTTAGAAAAAGGAATACAGTGGTGCCTCGCAAGACGAAATTAATCCGTTCCGCGAGAGTCTTCGTCTAGCGGTTTTTTCGTCTTGCGAAGCAACCCTATTAGCAGCTTAACGGATTAGCGCTATTAGCGGTTTAGCGGCTATTAAAGGCTTAAAGGCTTAGCGGATTAGCTGCTAAAAGGCTATTAAAGGCTATTAAAGGCTTAGCGGATTAGATAAAGGTGGGGGAAAGCGGAAAAAAAATCTCAAGACTCGCAAGACATTTTCGTCTTGCGAAGCAAGCCCATAGGGAAATTCGTCCTGCGAAGCAACTCAAAAACGGAAAACCCTTTCGTCTAGCGGGTTTTCCGTCTTGCGAGGCATTCGTCTTGCGGGGCACCACTGTATGAGGTGTTTGGAGGAGGGTTTCTGCTGAAAAGCACTGGGTCCAGCAGGAAAGTAGAGAACAATATATAAATAGAAGCTACTGCTCAAAGGCTCATGTATTGCCCAGGACAGCTGATCTTTGCCATGAACTGGAACTGCAGGTAAAAAATAAAGACACTGTTCTGCATCTTTGCTAACTCTGTAGAAGGGCGTTTCAGCAGGTTGGCCTGAAGTTTCCTTTTTGGCAGCTGCCTACCAGTACCGAAATTCAGTCTTCTATCTACCCAGCTGTTTAAAGGCGCAAGAGCGCGGTTTACTTTTTCACCCTTTCCCATCTGTTGTGGGAGCAACAGATCTTGGCTAGGAAGAGCCCTGTTGGTCCAGTGCCCAGCCGGAAGCTGATGTTCACGGCTTTCCCCACAGCTACTGCCAGAGGCGCTGAAAGTTTGAAGACTTGGTCTGGGGAGGGGGATTGTCTTTCCTGGGAACTTCCTGCCCATCAGTCTCGCCGGGTGACTCCCGCTTGTCGTATGGGGACGAGAGAGAGAGCCAGGGGTGTGAGACGCTCCTGTACTGAGGAGACTAGCAGGAGCTTAGCGCCGGCGAACAATGACAGCCAGATGGCCGCTGCCGCCCCAACCCGCCATTTAAAGACGCGTCCATAACATCCCACTTCTCGCGAGCTTTCGTGTTCCCGTCGTCCCTGTTTCCCCCCGCTGAGACGAGCGGAAACGCCCCCTTCCATGGCCTCGCCTTCTTCGCCTATCAGGCCCGGCCTATGCCGCGAAAGGGGCGGAGCTGCTCCTCCTACGTGGCTTAACACGCGCGAAGCGGCAGCCGCCGCCCTCAGGTGCGGAAGCGAAGCGGCTTGTCAGGGAGCGGGGGGAAATGAGCGCGCGCGAGCGAGCGACGGGGGCGCGCGGGCCTTTTTCGCCTCCACGCCGCGACGCGAATCCCTCCGCCAGGTTGGGCCTCAGCGACTAAGCCGCGAGTGACTCGACGCAGCGGAAGGCGCCTTGGCGGGCCCGGAGGCGATGGCGGCGGCGGCCGAGGTGGAGTCGTCGCTGGAGCTGAGCCTGTCGAGCAGCTACGCGGGGCCGGGGACGTTGCCCCCCGCGCGCTCCCGCATCTTCAAGATCATCGTCATCGGGGACTCGAACGTGGGGAAAACGTGCCTCACTTTCCGGTTTTGCGCGGGCCGCTTCCCGGAGCGCACCGAGGCCACCATCGGGGTGGATTTCCGAGAACGCGCCGTCGACATCGACGGGGAGCGCATCAAGGTGCGGAAAGCCGAGGTCGCCTCCTCGGGCTGTTTTTCCCCTGCCAGGCTCGGGGGCTGTTCTGCCGGCTGCCTTGCAGCTGGCGCGTAGTAGATGCGAAGTGGCAGGAAGTCCGGGGCTGCTGCTGCACCTTTAACAGGTGTGTGCAGAAAAGGCAGGTGCTTTGCCTCGGCAAGCGACGTCTGCTGAGATTTCGTCTGCTGCAATACTGTTACAGGTGCAGGTGGCGAAAGATTCCCTCATTGCCACGGGTTGGACTAGATGATCCTCGTAGTCCCTTCCAACTCTAGGACCTATGACCTCTTTTACACCATGCCACCTGGCAGGACAGGAGTGGGCAACTCCAGTCCTGTTGCTCATCCATGCTGTGTGGAGCTGACACACGGCCAAAAATATGGAGGTCATTTGTTATACAGTGGTACCTCAGGTTAAGTACTTAATTTGTTCCGGAGGTCTGCTCTTAACCTGAAACTGTTCTTAACCTGAAGCACCACTTTAGCTAATGGGGCCTCCTGCTGCCGCCACACCGCTAGAGCACAATTTCTGTTCTTATCCTGAAGCAAAGTTCTTAACCTGAAGCACTATTTCTGGGTTAGCAGAGTCTGTAACCTGAAGAGTATTTAACCTGAAGTGTATGTAACCCGAGGTACCACTGTACTTGTATCTCAGCTGCTTCCCCTGAATCAAGATTTGTGTTTGCAACAATCTGAGTGCAGTAACTTGAGGAAGTCGCCCGGTGAGCTTCATCGCTGAGCCCCAGGCTTGATGTTATAGTTGCACCTGTAAACATGCTGTTAGTTGCACCTCTGAGCCCCTTGGTCTAACTAACTGTTGTTCATGTGCTGAGTGCTGAACATGTGTTAACATCACACAGTTTTGAAGATGTGCTCATATTTAGTCAAACTTGTGGCCTATTGCATCTCTTTATCCCAGTGTTTAAATAAGCTCACAAAAGTTTGCAAACACATAACGCTAGTTTGCTAGGGCCTTGCAGAATTCTTCATCCCACCTCTAGCAACATGTGGTTGCTGGGTGCAGAGAGGTAGAGCTTCCATGAACCCAGCTGCATGGAATTCTTGGTTACCTTTGGGTACCAGCTAGTGCTTAAATGGAAAGTTGTGTCATCCTTATACATGTGCAGTTATGTTAAGCAATGACACCTCTGCTTTTTAATTGAAATGTAAGCATGCTGATTTTTAAACCCACATAGATCCTAATTAAACTTAATACTCATGTCACAATGTGAATTTCTTGGCAAGCTCTTACTTCCTGCAATACCTCCATCTACAGTGAAAGACGCACAATTACTAATATTTAGTATAACTGTTTTTGAAAAGCTGATGTATAAAAAGGTATTTGCAGGAAGCTTCACAGCAAAAGTTTGCATTTATGTTTTGTTGCTGTTGCTGAGATATAAAACCACTGACCTCAAAGACCCTCATGAACAGAAATCATAGCAATATAAAAGTACTGTTGAGTTAAAGTTGAAATTATGCCTTTCCACCAGCATGAGTGAAATCATTTTTTTTTCTTGTTTCTCTCCCTTCTCTCCCCTTCTCGGTACATCTAGATTCAGCTCTGGGATACAGCAGGGCAGGAGCGATTCAGGAAGAGCATGGTACAGCACTATTACAGGAATGTACACGCAGTCGTTTTTGTATACGATATGACAAATATTGCCAGTTTCCATAGTTTGCCACTGTGGATCGAGGAATGCAAACAACACTTGCTCACCAATGATATACCCCGGATTTTGGTTGGAAATAAATGCGATCTGAGGAGTGCAATTCAGGTCCCTACGGACATGGCTCAGAAATTTGCTGACACTCATAGCATGCCACTGTTTGAAACATCTGCTAAAAACCCTAATGACAATGATCATGTGGAAGCCATATTTATGACGCTGGCTCATAAGCTCAAGAGTCACAAGCCACTCATGCTTAGTCAGCTACCCGATAACACAATTCACCTAGAACCTGCAGTAAAACCCGCCATGCCATGTTGGTGTTAGCTCACAGTATTTTTGCAGTCATCACTTTGGTCTGTTTGCCAGTGCGTTGAGAGTATGGTGTTGGTAATGTTCCAGTTTAGTAGAAATTACATTGAATCTGCTGGGCACTTTATTGTATGTCCTCTCATCTGGATGTGTGCCACTCTTATCTCTGCACTTTGTTAACTGTATCATCTAAATTACTGAAGATTTATGGAAGTTAGATTTGTGAAGCTTGACTCTGGTCCCATTGAAGTAGCTTAGTTCTGAGATCTTTTCTCCACTAAAATAGAAATGTGTAGGTTAGGTCAAATCACTGATGCCTTTAGCATTCAATTTGAGCAGATCACGGTTCTATAGAAACCCAAAGAGTAGTATGACTTGCTAATTTTAAGTGAATTACTTTTAGATAATTTGGTAAATTGATTTGTGAATTGTACTTCTATCACATGTCTTAATCATGCAATGGAATGAAGACTCGACTTGAGCACAAGTGTTAAGTCACCTCTTGCCTTCATCTCATTACTTTATCTAAACTCTAGGTTAGTTAATTTTGAAAGCAAGTGAAGCTCTACGGAGTTTACTTTCTGTGTAAAGTTATGTTTGATTGGCCCTCATAGTTTTGTATTCTTTATATGTGAGACAGAAATGACATTGGAAAAATATCTAGGGTTATCTTTTGCCCAATAAAATGAAATCATGTGAATCTCATGGAACATTGGAAATTGCATTGAAAACTGAAGCTGTAGTGGATTGTTTATTTCTGATGTAACCACAGGAGATCAGAAAGTATCCACTCAATTGTGGCATTGCTCTGGAGGTGAAGCCATCAATAGGAACGCCAGATCTTGTAGCTCAGATTCTCCCTAAATATTGTAACACTTTTTAAAAAGCTCTAACGCAGTTCTAAAATGTGTCATTTATATTCATAACATTATGATGTAACTTAAGGTGTATTGTTTGACTTTCATTATTAGCAGTGGTTATAACCTACACAACATACAAAATGCCAAAATGTGAGACTTGATTGGGGTATTTTTAGTACCCCAATGGAATACTATGAAGCAAATGGCCAAGGTAAAAGTCTTAGGAATGCATGGTTTATCCTACTAAAAACAAACAGTGAATTCAAATGTGGACTGCAAATAATATAGGGAAAATCATATGCTATTCTGTGTAGTTGACACACTATGTTTTGCTTTTGAAATAGCATAAAGTAGGAGCAACTGAACTTCAGAATCTACAATTTGTAAAAAAATAACAACTTGTGTGCCTTAGCTATGAACATATGGAAGGGGCAGTCTGTATCATCCCATAGTATCAAAAATAAATACATAAAATATGAAAGTGGCTGTTTTCCATAAGTAATATTAGCAGCTTGTTTTTAGTAACAGTTAAGAGGTATCTTCAAATCTATTTGCAGCACAGTGTGTCTATCTATAAAGTGTTTAGAGCTGAACTTAATAGATTTCTTGCTTGATGATTTTGCATAGACATTTCTGCCATAACAACTGCCCTCCACCTCTGGGCAGCTCAAGCTAAAGGGGTAAGGGATAGGTAGGCTTTCCTGTAGGTAGGCTTTCCTGTGTTCATTGTGTAACATGCACTACTGGCACAAGCGCCCAATTCAGCCTTCCAGTACTGAGTAATTGGCAAGTGGAGAAATCCTGGTGCCTATCTTCATCTCCTTGCACAAATATAGCTCCAGCCTTGTATATCTATTCTTGCTTAGGACCATCACCCATTAAAGAAATTTGAGCTTTTCTTGACTAATAAAATATTAAAGCTGCAAATATTGAGGAAGGGATAAAACAGTTCTGTAGAAAATGGCATAATTTGTGTGAATGACATAATGGGGGTTGATTTTAATTACGTTTAATCTTTGTACTCTTGCTCTTCCCTCCACTCGGAAAGCTCAAGCTGCTAACAGTAACGTGTTGTTAGAATCCTGTTAGCATTGGCTGCCACCTGGTGTTTCTTAAAAAATATTTTACAAATCAATCAATGTTAATCAACTAGGACAGCAGGAGACAACATGGTTCCCTCTAGATGTTGTGGACTACAACTGCCCTCAGTCCTAGTCAGCTTGGCCAGTGAACTGGGATGATGGTACTTGTAGTCCAAAACATCTGGAGGCTACCACATTGGCTGTTTTGGAAGTAAGCATTACAAACCTTAATATAAGTGAACCTTGTGTAGGAGTTGATCTTAACTCTGTTGTTCAGTACCATATTGTAACCTTTTTGATCCTCATTCTTCATTTATTTTACATGTGTCCTACATTTCACATTTCGTGTTAGCTTGCATATAAGTTTTGGTTACATAAAAAGGGAAAGCAATGAAATTCAAGATACCGTTACATATTATTCTAAGAGAATGGAGTATCAGTATTATAGGCTAACACTTAAAGAACAATTTACTTAATATTCCAAATCCAATTTGCTTATATCTACTGTGTGCTGCTTATTAAATGTCTTACTAAGTTTTAACCTTTACTGTAATGCTATTGAAGGCAGACATATTAGTACAATTACTGTAATTGTAATTGCCAAATACTAGGTGCTATTCTGTCGTACATTAGCATAGTGAAGTATAAAACACTAGCTTTTATGTTTAGGAAAATCTATTGATTGCACCTTAATCAGTAAAATGCAAGGAACACAATCCACTTGCATTGTGGGCCAAATGTGTGAGAGGATTGTGTCCAAGTTTATATAGGATTATTATTATTTTGCTTAGAACCAGAAGTGACAGGGTTTTTCTTGTTTAGTTTTTCTACAACACTTGAAAAAGGGAAGTTCTTTTTACTCTGTTTTGTGTCTTTACTTTTGGTTTACGCACTTTCTAGAAACCATTTATTTAATACGAAGACTCTTCAGTGATTTTTAATGAAAAAATGTTCATAAATGTATATTTCTAAAATATTTCTCAAATATAGTTTACACTCCTCTTTAGAGGACTCACCTGTTTACTTCATTTTCTTAACCCATTTAAGTAAAAGATAGCTTTTAATGCAAATGTAATTATAATGTGTGCATTAAATCATATCCTAAAGAAAGTAAAAAATAAAAACCAGGGTTCTATAATCAGAAGGAAGAGAGTTTTGAAGAATTAATCATGTGGCCACAACACATAGGACAACATCCCTGTATTGCTCCCAGGATAGGTCTGGTAACTAATGTTGGATTTCACCCATAAATACTGATGAAATGGTTATTTTGAAACTGTTTAAACTGCTATAGTATAGTATAGAATTGTTCTATCTTATTATTGCAAACTAACATTGAGCATTGTCATCTTATCGGCATCAGTTACGTTGATAGTATCTTAAACAGAGTGTTGTTAATCCAAAATGCTTCCCCATTTAATAATGCTTTACCTACAAAATGTCAATTGTTCTTTCTAAAAGCAAAAGGAAAGATTTATTTAAATTACCACAAGTACGTGCCACTGTCTTAAACTAATAAATACTAGCAAGTAAAATTCTGCTTTCGTCTCATTTTTCCCCACTGTAATTGCCTGTCAGTTAGAAACATTCACATTGTTATGAGTGCTGTGAAGCTTCCATGTCCTGAAAGATTCTTGCTTGCCTCAGGCAGCTACACCTATGGCTATTTAAAAAGTGTTTTATTGCTGGAGTTATATATGTATTTGGCTTTTAAAAATGAATCTGTGGAAGAAGACCAATGGGCAAGATTGGATATGTTCAAATTGATTTCTTTAGTTTAGGCCAGATAAAGCATATGATATGAAAGCTGATGCCTCTTTGATGAAATTTTGAATTATGGTGCTGGAGGAGACTCTTGAGAGTCCCATGGACTGCAAGAAGATCAAACCTATCCATTCTTAAGGAAATCAGCCCTGAGTGCTCACTGGAAGGACAGATCCTGAAGCTGAGACTCCAATACTTTGGACACCTCATGAGAAGAGAAGACTCCCTGGAAAAGACCCTGATGTTGGGAATGATGGAGGGCACAAGGAGAAGGGGACGATAGAGGACGAGATGGATGGATAGTGTTCACAAAGCTACCAGCATGAGTTTGACCAAACTGCGGGAGGCAGTGGAAGACAGGAGTGCCTGGCATGCTCTGGTCCATGGGGCCATGAAGAGTCGGACACGACTAAACGACTAAACAACAACAACAACAACTTCATACAAAATGCAATCCATAAATTCTAACATGGGGCATTGGTGAAATCATTGGAGTGGAGTGCATTGGCTAATATTCACAGTATTTGTCTGCCCACTCTTTGCTTTCTGTGCTAGCAAATTTCACACGGAATCTTATGATTTCTGCACACCATTCCCATTTGAACAAGCAAATTTGCATTTGGAAGACTCATTTGCCCATGACAATTTTTCTGGTTCAAAGGATGCTTGCTATTATTGAAGATTCTATTACACAGCAGGAGTCAAATAAACACTATGGGGCTAAATTAAAATTTATGAAAATAGAATTAAGTTTATTAACTGTACAGAAAATAGGTCACCAGTCTTGAAATTCTGAGGATCTCTTCAGAGTGGTCAGTCATTTCTTTTAAGAATTGTACAAACTTTTCAGTAAAATTATTAAGTTATAAAGAGCTTTAAAAAAAAAATTCTCCTAGAATTTATATTTAAGTCATCCTGATATATGGAGGTGGTTTGGGCATGTCATCATCAGCTTCCATATCTAAATCTGAAAGTTTTACAGGAGAATTAAAAATTGTATCCACTTGACCTAGAATAGAAAACACACACAGTGAGCATATGTAGCTGCAGAAAGCAAACTTTGCCTTGATTATGTGTGCTGATTACATGCAGACTAGACTGTTGTAATACACTGGTTATATATGGGGCTGCCTTTGAAAATGGTTTAGAAACTTTCACTGGTGCAGAAGGTAGCTGCCCCGATTCTTGCAGGGATCAAGCATTGGGAACACATAATACCCATATTTTACCAAATGCATTATCTGCCATTTCGTTTCTGGGCCCCATTTAAAGGACTGGTTTTGACACTTAACCTAGCCCTAGACAATGTAGGGCTTTATTTGAAGGACAGCCTACACTCTCAGAAATCTGCCCAGGATGGAACATTGGCTTCAGAGGCCTGGCCTTGGTCTACCATCAATATCTATTATTGTGGGCACCAATGACACAGATTTTTCTGTCTTCCTCCCAAGGAATATTACCAGGGCTTCTTTATTATCTTTTAATTTTTTCTGTTCTAACCCACTATTGATTAAAAGAGCTATGTTGGGTTTTACAGTTCAATATTGAACTGTATAAGAACAAATTAAACTAAAACCAGCAGTAAAGTAATGTGCTGGATTTTATTTTTAACCACTACTGCCTAGTTATTGTAATTGTAGTTAGATTGCTTTTATGGAAATGGATTTTAATTATTATGATTTTAAATAATATTTATATAGTCCAAATGTCTTCCTTACATATTCATTATTTGACTTACATATTTAGTAAATCTGAAATTAATTTTCAAGTAAAACAGTGAGAACACCTACGTACCAGATGGAATGCAAACTAATTCTGCAATTTGTAGCTGGTCTTCATTAGGTTCTAGCCGTTCCTAAGAATGAGAGCATGAGATTGCTAAAAAGGTTCACCTGAGAATAGCACTGATCTTAGAATGTGCAGTCTTCGAGACAAACACGGTTTCATTTTGTAATTTGGTTAACCAAAAGTAATTGCAATGGTATAATAACAAACAAGACTAAAAATAAAAAGTTCTGCAGTTCAAGAAAAAGAAGCTATTCATCATATAATGCCCACCACAGTTTACCATATTTTTCTTTACAAAAGTATTTCTTAATTTTTTTGCAGCTACCATTATCATAATTAAGAGATTTATTTCAAACCATTCACATTCAATAACCCAGATAAGAAGCTGAACAAACATATCTATCTAAGAGATGCATAAATAAGGCAGTTATCAAACAATGAGAAGTCAACGTTAGAAGTGGTAAGTGCTACATAATTGGCAAACCTTAAACACAAGGGGTGGTATTCACTCAGGTTACACTGACTGAAATTCATGGAACTTATTTAGTCATGTTCATTAATTTCAAAGGATCTACTCTGAATTAAACTTAGCTGAATACCACCCATAGAACTGTGAACCTAGTAAAAAACATTTTATGCACACACCTGTCAAGAAAAACATGCAGAAGGGGCAGTTATATACAATTTATACCCCTTCCTTTAGGAAGTGCACAGAAGCTTATATAAGGATGGCAGTTATTTACCATCACAGCACTGATGAGGTTCATAGCTGTTTAGTGTATACAATGCTATAATAAGAGGTGTCCACAATCATTTGTTTCCAAATGACAATTCAAAAAATTAGTTTTGTGGGCATTTTGGGCTTAACTAGTTGAAGGGGAGGGGGAGTTAAGGAAATATGGCAACCTCATATCAAACTGTCCAAAAATGTTTTTGCAGAATCACAAAAGGCTTTCCTTCCCAGTACAAGACAAGTAAACCCACCATATTTAATGGCAATGTTGCTACTTACAAGTCCAGTGACACTGTCATAGCATGAACAACATGGAAGACTTCGGCAACTCAAATAAGCAATAATCAGCACAATAAAAGCACTGAAAAGCGATGCAATCAGTAGTGTGATGTTGGCTCCTTCTACAAGTTTACCAAGCACAAATGCCTGCAACACAGAAAATGAGCACACACACCCTTTAACCAAAAAAAATGCAATTCAACCTTAGGAGTGGTGTGGGTATTGTTTTTAAAGCACCTGGAAATTCTCTTCTTTATATTTTAATTATTTTACATGAAAAGGAATAACAAGTGAAAAACAACAATAAATAGTAACTGATAAATAGTTGAGCAACCACATATATGATCTATGCATGTATACAAACTGATGGTGTCAATTAATATCCTCAAATTGGATGGATAAAATGAAAGTAATATATAAAAGGCAGGCCCAGCCCTGATCTGCCCCAGTGCCTGTGCCTGTGGGAGGCATCCTTTACTATGGAACTCCCAACAATACCTGCCATAAAAGGCATTTCAGGACCTAGAAGGGGGCAGAGTTGAGCCATCCAATGATTTTGCCTCTGCTGTGCCAGCCTGGACCTTGTTCAGTAAAGAAACACACAGAGAGATTTTCCTGCACCATCTTCTGCCCTAACTGATGTGAGTGACAGACCTTTGGGTGTGCTAGTTACTCTGTCGCTCCTAGACTGTGTGCAATGTATTCAAAAGGGCAGAAACTGGATAGTTTGATACTTACAACGGCTGGGTGATGGTAAGAGGACACATTGTCAAACTCTTCATATTTTTCACCATACTCTAATGTTATAGACGTATAGATGATTACAAGTAGAGTGACGAAGCAGGAAAATACAGAAGCAATTATCATTGCATTCACCTGTACAAAAGGTATGGGGATACAGAAGACCAGAGTTAAATTTGGGCTTCAAGTCAAAGGAGGAAAAATAGTTCCACATATGCCTCTTATGCAATCTTTGTACACTACAGTAATTTATTTTCCAGAGTGTCTTTGGGGGAACATGCATTCACAATACAATTTCCGAAATGTGGGCATGAATCAGTGAAAATCAAACCTTTCCTTTCCTAATTAAATGCTGTAAATGGAAATCAGCATACTTAACTGTGTTATATTTCATCCTGTGTTTTTAGGGAGTGTGTGCAGGTGTTTGCTGTTTTAAGCCCATTCCCACACATGCCTTTCTTGGAAGCAAGATCCATTTAAATGTATGGGACTTTCTTAGAAGCAATAAAGCTGCCAGAAAGAATACGTTTGAGCAAAAAGTACTGAGCAAAGATATCTGTGGCTTTGGGCAATCAACAGAAGAGATGTTACCAAGGCAGCCAAGAAACCAGATAGGTAGAAACCTTTCAGATTTTCTAGGAAAGCAGCATAGTGGATCAAAATAAGTTAAGTGGGGAATGTTGTGCTGCATTCATTAGAAAGAGATTGGCTGACCCAGCTGCTGGTCTGGTCTGTTCCGCTACTGAGTGAGCAAAGGACCCCTCCAGGAATCACACAAAATCAGACTTCCGGGTTGGCACCTCCAGGCAATGGCGGAGTTCCTCCGATCGGGAGGAATTTGCTCCGCGGAAATTTGGGTCTGACCGCCACGGCGAAGGCGGAGACCCACTGAAATCACAGGCGGGAGAAGCCTGTGAACTTGGGATTCGGCTGGCACCCTTTGCGCCTCCCCTACTCACGGGGAAACCCTGATTTGGGGATCCGGAGCGAAGTGGGGTGAGTGGCACGGTGCTTCGAATTGACTGCTTCTTTCACGGAGTGAAGCCGCATCGCTGTTGCCAGAGAGCGCTGACTTTTTCCTGTGGACAGTTGGATTTTAAACAACTACCCGTGAGTAGAATGGAAAATTAGATCCTTAAATTCATTAATTTGGCATTGAAACGGGAAGGTTCTAAACAGGAAGTCCGCCTTCCTTTTTTGTAAACAGATTGAAGCAAAGAAGTTGCAAGTTAAAGCCTTGGAAAGTTTATTTTTGTAAAGGATTAAATCTCCATCGGTTAAAACTATTAAACCCCCCTTGGAAGCAGGAGAAGAGGGGGGAAATTTTGGACCTAGTGAGCCTGCAGGAGAGAGTGAAAAACCAAATTACCACTGCTCTGAACCTGGAAACGGGCTGCCAGAAAGAGTGACTTTTTTGACAGCTAGCAATAAGAGAAATATATTGTTTCCATTGTACTCATCTGCATTTAAAAAGTAGGAAAAGAAACTATCTTTATAGTTTAAACTGTGTTTGAAAGGATTGATACAAGTGGAGACTGTTTCCCTCTAGAGGGAGCTTTTGAAACAGTTACAAGAGTGGAGCTGGGGTTTTTCCAGTTGCAAGGTAAGAACTGTGTGAAATAGAGATCGACTTTGGACTTTAAGAATGTTGACAGAAGGAGCCTTAGTGACTGTATTATGTAAGATAAGCTATTCATTGGAACAGCTCCACAAGAAGATGGACGCTATGAATACCAAACTTGAGAACTTGGGACAAAAAGTGACTAATTTGGAACAAAAAGTGACCATTAATACAGAAATCGTTCAGGATTTGACACAGGAACCTACTTTGACAGGACAAACTGGGGAGAAGACGAAGGAGAATGTTGGTGTTGTTAAACCTAAAATAATACAAGTGGAAGCCCCAGTTTTACAGAGGCAAACTGAGGACTATAAGTGGAGGCCTTTTATGAATGAATATAGAAAAAGTCAGAATTTGAAGATTGGAGCCCTGTTTGGATTGAAGAAGGAAGGTTGGATAGACTCTTTCATGCAGAGATTTACTGACCTTTGGGTCTTGAATCTTGGTCAGGAGGTGATTGGAGTTGTGGGGGCCTTTGGATCTGGGGGAGCCTTGAAACATGATTTGAGATATTGTATGGACACTGGTTTTAGCTGTGGAGAGTTGGTTGGTCTGTCGAGAGGGAATGGGGGCATGGTTGGGTCGGGGCCCCCCCAAGACCTGCGCTTCAGCACCCTCAGCATCAAAGAATATGAAGAAAAACTGCAGAAGGGACTTGGAAAAGATTTAAGAGCCTCGGACAGAAGATCTCCAGGTTGATGAACTATATGGAATGGACGGAAATGACTGGCAGAATCCGAGACCAGGGAGAAGAGATGGTGGTAGAAGATTGGGAAAGTTTAAAGTTTATATATAGAAATATTGTAAATTTAATGAGTGTTAGAAAATTGTTGGAATGAAATTTTATGGCTTTAGCAGAAATGTTATAAGGAGTTAGGTATAAATAAGTATTTCAGTATTAATGGAAAATAAGGTACAAAATATGTTAAGATATTCATAATGATAAAAATAGAGAAAGATGGAAAGGAATTGCTGAAACAAGTAATAGAAGTGGAATACAAAAAGGGAGGTGAGAGGAGGTCGATGAAATAAGGGAATGAAAGATAGAGTAATGAAATGGTATGATATATGTTTTTAAATTGTTGTTCTTCTGCTTTGTTTAGTTTAGTGTGTTAAGGTTGTGTTTTGTATTGTTTATTGTATTGTATTGTGTGTTTTTTTCCTCTTTTTTTCTTCTCTGCTCTATTTTGTCTTGTTCTTTCGCCTATTTTCTTCTTTCTTCTTTTCTTGTAAGTTTTAAAAGCAATAAAGATTATTTTTTTAAAAAAGCAATCACACAAAATCACACAATTTGACATTACCATCTAGTCTAGATTTGAGAAGGTGATGGTGACCAGTTGCAGCAGAAAAAAGATAGTCAGCTGCTGTGTTTTCCCAGCAGGTTTTAGGCCATTTCTACTTCAGCCATTACACTCATCACCCAAGGTCAGTTAATGCTCAAAGTATGGATGATGTGCATGGATCTTTTAAACATCCATGTCTGGGAACTCCAGTTATGGGTGTTTAAAAAGAATGCCCAAAAACAACCATTGTGCTTGCTATGTAAAGGGCATTGAAGGCCAAAGGTGGAAAAGGTGGTTAGGAATTTTATTCCCTCCCCTTTAACATAAGTAATAATTTTATATATGTATAGATTAAATTTATGCCGTGTATTCTAAAACGTGTATATTCTTACCTTTCAACTGTAATGTGTTACTGCAATCCAGCCATTTGGAGCAACACAGAGAGAATGACTGATGAATTTAGAGACAGACTGAAGAAATTTTGAACTGCTGTTAAAGTCCTTGAGACTTTTAATCTGTTGTGGATTTTAAACTCTAAACCCCAAAATCATACATGTATGATCACTTTAATTGTAGCCTATGATATATATCTCCAAACACTTCAGGGGAGAGGTTAAAGTTTGTTGTTGCTTTTTGTTGGCATCCATCTGTCTTGAGGGACAATGGAGTGCGCCTCTGGGGGATGAAGTCAAACCACCATGCAGCACCAAAGTGACCTCCCAGGGGTACAAGCCTAGGCAGTGTGTATAGGGGTCCTGGGCTACCCATATGATAAGAACCTCCATCTCGGCCTTGTTGATGTGGTCCCAAAGGAAAGTAGAGCAATATGTTTGGCACCAGCTTGGCTGCAGGAGTTGCTGGGTGCCATCCAACCATCTTAGGGACTTCACTCCGGATTTTTGTAGGGTTTACTCTTTAGCCTTTGCTTTTCCCAAATATACCCTGCAAGGCAGCAGGCATTTAGGATCAGAGATTTCCTTCTCCTAGATGGGCTACCTTCCCACATTGACGAGCCCCATCTGCCCCTCAGACGTGAAGTAAAAGTTGTGTAAATAAAAGGTGTATGTATTTATTACTTATAGAAAGTCGGCTGTATGATTTGTCCCCATCCACTTTAAACAAAATACAATAGAAACATACCAAAACAGGATTCTTTCTCAGTGAAGAAAACAAAGCCATAATTCCAGGAACAGCCATAAACTACAAAACAAAAGGTAAAGGTGATTAAATTGGGGAATGCCCAACTTTAGCATATAAAAAGAAGTGAAAAAACATTAACTTCAGGAAGATGAAAACAAACTACAGGTTTTATTTTATAGTTTTAACTGATTTTTACTTTTTTGTTACATCCTTGTAAACCACATAGATATGATTGTAGTTAAGCAGTGTATAAATATAAATACACTGGTTGGCAAGTGGTTTCTAAGACACCAGCTCCCGATCAACAACCAGCAGATCTATGAAGCACAAAGGCTGAACGTGGTTTATTCCATAATAAGTAAACATCTTTCCTTTAGGCATGATTTCAGAGAAGGTCATTTTGATACCAGAGAGGGAACGTAAATGTTCAGCTGGCTGTTAAATGTGGGCTCAAGATTCTTGGTCAATTTCACCAGATGCTTTTTCTTATACAGGTGAAAATGTGATTGACACATGAGGATAGTAATGTAATTGACGGCTATCAGATCACTAGGCAAGGGCAAGGAGTTGGGTATGTGAAACACACAAAGGAGGCATATTAGACATGCGCCTTTCTAAGTGTAAATCATACTTTCACCCATTGCATTTCTAACATTAGCTTGGGACCCAAGAAAAGAAAAAGTAAAAAAATTATTACAGCAAAGTGATTGTACCATAGTAAAATGCTGCCACTAAGTTATTCGAAGTCACTACTAACAGTCCCAGCTGCTTCTTGCTTGCAGCTTCACCACCACAGCTCCCATGTACCCCCAAATAGTGTTTGTAATTACTGCAATCAGCTAGTAGAATCAGAACAGTTCAGCTTCTGCAATGCAATTTTCTCCTGGAAATCATTCACTTTTCTCAGTCCTGTTCTCCCCTCCTGAAGTAAAGTATAGGTCCTACAAATATCATCCACTCTCCCAATTAGCCCCACCCACTCAAAACACCAGCTTTACCTATGGATGCCCCCTCCTAGCTAAATGAAATCTCCATGTTCAAAAGCAATATATTTCTGAATATCAAATGTGGAAAACAAACATGTCCCCCTTGTAAGTTCCTGCAGGCAACAGTGTAAGACAGGGCCTTCTTGTTATCAGCCCCACAATTATGGAATTTCTTCTAACTCACAATTTGAGTTTTCAGCCCCAGGTGAAGAATCACTTATTTGCCCAGACTTTTGGAGGCATCTACTACACTGTTGATTTGGATTTCTGTTGGTTTTAATGTAACCTGCTTAGGGATTGCCTTGGCCTTGAAGAACAGGTGGGAAATAGTTTAAATACATAAACAGAAAAAATTTCCCATTGGCATTTGACTGGCCACAGCTGGAAATAGAGCGCTGGAGAAGATGGAGATAAGCAACTAGCCTAAGACCACAAGCCATATGAAGTGCAAACACCATAAATCAATCCCCCCTTCCAGTTAATTTACCTCCAAAAAAACATTAAATTCTCCTATGCTTCCCAGGAGAAAGAAAAGTCCTCATTCCTCTCTCATCCAGACCAGTCCAGAGCATTCCTTCTGTGAGCCTGATCCTTAGCTCCCCCACTTCCAAATTAAGGAGATGCAAGTCAGAAATCAAAGGCAGCTGCAGTCACACTTGCTCTCTAGGCTAGGCTTCCTCAACCTCAGCCTTCCAGGTGTTTTTTGCCTACAACTCCCATGATCCCTAGCTAGCAGGACCAGTGGTCGGGGATGATGGGAATTGTAGTCTCAAAACATCTGGAGGGCCGAGGTTGAGGAAGCCTGCTCTAGGCTCTTACCACAAAACAACTAGGCCAGCACTCAGGGACGGCCCAAGGTGTTTCAGCACCTGAGACGAAATGCCCTGCTGTCACCCCTGCTATGGGGGCGAGACTTTTTAAGGGCTTCTTCTTAGCAACAGGGGTCTCCCAGCAGCTGGGCAAAGCCCCACCACACTGTCCAGCAGAGCAGGGAGATCTGCTGGCTTGTGGAATATAGAACCACAAGTTCTCTAGAACAGTGAACAAATTCCCTGTATTATACCAAATTGTACAACCCTCCCTGCTGTACTTCCGACATCTACTGAATACTTTTTTTTATTGCAGCAGGCATTTCAATTGAAGTTTCATTTTATAGCTTTATAGTTTATACATTGTTAATAAAAAGGGGTATGGGGGGTAGAATTTATATAGCTTACCACTCCAGCCCAGATGGGTATCCTAGATTTGCTCAGTGCCGAGTCCCTTCTGAAAGCACCATCAATTAATCCACCGATGATACAAACTGTAGCACAAGCTATCTGGAGGAGCCCCAACAGAACCATACTTTTCTGATTGAAGATGAAATATCTGTAGCGATCCATTTCAGCTAATCCACCAATTGCCACGTCTGTTCAAACTGGGAAGAAGCACGGAGGCTGTTCAAGAAAAGGCTGCCCTTGTGGCTTTTCCTGAACAGAAGATGCAAGAAAACTCATAAGCACTTCAGCAAGCATCATCTGACAAATTGTTCACATGCCATTCCATTAATAGTATGGACAATCTTCCAATATCCAGACGCATTAAGCTTTGGATTCTCTGCATATGGAGAGAGCTGGACAACTTTATCCAGTAAATATGTATTTAGAAAACAAAAACAAAAACTTAAATGGGCTGGGATGGTGGCATTTTTCAAAAAACAAAGACATATTTATATATTTAGGAGATCCCTATATTTGATATCAATATAGAAAACATGGAACTTTCAGGTTTAAAATATACTGATGCAAATTTCAAATCGTTCATTTGTGCCCATGTTTCCAAATAACAAAAGACACAAGTAAACAAAATTCCAAATAATACAGATTTCTTCCTTATCTTCACATTTCCATTATATGCAATAGATATCACCAGAAAAATACATTAGAGTTTTAAAAAATGAGAGAATCTGCAGATACAAGACTGTCAAGAAGAAATAGTTCTGTGCTTGCTGTGTGTTCTTGCTAGAGAATGGCTGGAAACAGATTTGCAGCTGAAAGGTCAGAGAGCACTGTGAGTTGGCTGAAGAATCTTGAAGTACAGACTCTCATGGGAGATTTGATGTAAGATAATGGATAATGCTATGAGAGAGCACCTGTTTGCCTTCATTTCTGCTTTGCTTTTAGCTTTGTAAATAAGCTAAATATTATGAGGGCACCCTCCAGAGCTCTCCTGTCCCAACAAACCCAGGCACTGTAGCCATATCCTTGATACTTTTTTGTGGGATAACCAATCTCATATAATCGACATGCTTAAGTCTAATTAATGCATGGAGGGCTTAGCTCACCTTAGAAGCGACTAGGTAATCAAACTTTTGTTTCCCTGCAGTCTACTTGAGAAGCTCACTATGTGAAGAGCTTGTGCTGGTCCCGCTCAGCCGCATGGCTCTTTCAAGACACTCATATTCACATATTAATAATTTAGGAACTTTCACCACTGCAACTAAGCCAAGTTTTACTGCCTGTGCAACCTTTTCTAAATGCTATATGGAAAAGCACATGAATCTGACCTTTGGAGAGTTTGTAAGTAAACCATTTTAACTTACCAAACATGTGGTAGTTTTCTATGCTAGGAGAAGAGGGGTGTTTTAGAACTCCCAATCACCTATTTTAAAGGTTTAACAGTCTATATTTCCACGTTTTACTTAGCAGCATATTTTGTTATTTTAAATCTGCTGGGGTTCTCTCACCAAAGAGTATTTGCCCTAAACTTTATCTTGGCATCCAGCAATTCTCCATTCACATATATGTATTTTTTCCTAGCACCAACACTTCTCACCACGCAGCAGTGGTGCAGTTAGATAAAGTCTTGTCCCAAGGGCACCACTGCCACTCTGGGAAGTGCAGTGCCATTATCAATTTTGAGGAATAGTCATTGATCTAAGGAAAGTAAAGCAGCTGTACTTATCTTCCTGCTCCCGCCCCATACAAGTGAGCTACTGGCAATGGAAATATCTCTGTTAGTCTGTTGCAGGAAACACAAGAGCCTTCTGACACCTTAAGTATTACCTAATTGACCAAGAAGTCCAATTTCCCCACACGTGGCTTGAATTGAAATAATGGGCTTTTATTCTTCTTCAAGTGTCAATTAAAGCAAACATTATAGCACAACTAACTTGCCATAAGGACTACTTTGTATCTAACCATTTTATATATGTTTCCAGCATTAATCTTGTCATAGTGTGTATTTTTTGCCATTTCATTTCCCATTTTAACCTGTCTTAAAGTTTTCCCTCCTCCACCATGCACGTATATAAAAATTATACCTATTCCTGCCAATTTAGGAGAACACTTCATGCATCTGATGAAGTGGACTTAGGTCTGCAAAAGCTTGTACCATAATATATCCATTAGTCTCCAAGTTGCCACAAGACTGTTGTTTTGGCACTGGGATGTGAAACTTGCCAGGAGAAAGGGCAGCTCCACACTCGAAGGATGAATTGTGTGTTGCATAATAGGAGACTGTTATTGCTGATCTCTCTTACAGAAAGTCCCCACCACCACCATCAAAAGCTAAGTTTGTGAGCAATCCTTCTGTTTTTTTGTTTTTAAAGTGTTTAGATATTTCAGAGTCTACAGCTGCAGAATTATTTGTTATGGAACGTGGGAAGTGGAATAATCTAAGAAAGTTCTGTGTGTGATTGCAAAAGGAGGGGGAAAGTCAGTGGACTTTAAACACTTCATGCAGGAGAAGCAGATGAGAAAAGGGAAGGAGCACTTCAATTTCAGGTGCACAGGAAGGGCAATTTATCAAAGCGGAATTCAACTCGTTTGCTCTCTTTGGAAAGTACCTGGCTGCCTAACCTCAGCTCGCTCGCTCGCTCCCTCCCTCGGGCAATGAAGAGGAAGTTGGAGAAAGAGGAGACTTGAGCAGTTTGCACCTCAGGGCAACCACAGAGGAAGGAAAGCAAAACATACGCAATCCCAGAGTAGAAGAGAAAGGCACTTACTTACCTCAGCCAGCTTTACTTCTTCCTCTTTATGAGAGACCCCTAGACAGGTGCGCTGGGGTGGGGATGAGTCACCCAGGGGCTGCCTCTGCCTTGAAAGCCCCATGCAGTTCTCCCTGCAGCCTGCCCCACCCCTCTGTTGTCTCAACCAGCCCAACCCTCTGCAGGTGACAACCTTCCTTGTTGCCTCCCCGCTGCATGCTTTAACTCCTCATGTGCCGCCCTGTGGAAGTACTGGCTCCTCAAACAACCTAGCTTGATGGAGGACACTTGGGAAGTTCCCCAAAGATGGCTTTTAACCGCTGTGTGTGTGTGTTGTGTTAAGCAGGGCTTACCCTGCTGGATAGTAAATTCTTATATTCTTACAATTTTGTGTCAGTTTATATAGACCTAGGTTACCATAGCCACACCCTTTTGCTTCATATTTCAGCCTCATCTCTAACTATTGAAGATAAATGAAAGTGAGATGGGATGGATAATAATAATAATAATAATAATAATTTATTAATACCCCACCCATCTGGCTGGGTTTCCCCAGCCACTCTGGGCAGCTTCCAACAAAATATTAAAATACCGTAATGCATCAAACATTAAAAGCTTCCCTAAACCGGGCTGCCTTCAGATGTCTTCTAAAAGTCTGGTAGTTGTTGTTCTCTCTGACATCTAGTGGGAGGGTGTTCCACAGGGCGGGCGCCACTACCGTGAAGGTCCTCTGCCTGGTTCCCTGTAACTTGGCTTCTCGCAGTGAGGGAACCACCAGAAGGCCCTTGGTGCTGGACCTCAGTGTCCGGGTAGAATGATGGGGGTGGAGATGCTCCTTCAGATATACTGGACGGTCCATATAATTGGTAAAGAGAGAAGAGCCTGTTTATCTCTGTTACCTGAGAGATTTCTTCAGTAAACAGTTACGTTACTCATGTGCATGCCTTATGGGTCAAGATGAACCAGGAGAGAGGTTTGCTTAACTGTTTCTGTCTCAGTCAATTTGTCTGTTCAAAATCAACCAGAAATAACCAAGTGCTATTTTGCATGGATTTAAATGAAAGTGTGGGCTGGGGGGAGGGGAGGAGAGAGATTATAATGGCCACTCACCCTTCTCAGGTGGGTGGCGGTTGCAGACCTTTGCCCCACCCACCATCCCCAGCAGCAGAAGCCCACTTGTCGGCTGGCTATTAAGGAATGCTCTGGCCACCAGAAAGTCAAGATAAAATCAGCCAATTAGAGGCCCTGCTAGAGGGGCAAAATAACACAATTGTGTACTTCTGCCCTTATGGCCAAACAGAGGGAAAAAAAACCTATGAAAACCCCCCAAAAGAGCAAAAAGCAACCATGCTGGCCCATTAAGAAGATCTCCAAAATCCATGAGTCAAAAAGGAGCAGCTGCTTGAACCATACCAAATCTGCCTTATTTGCAACTAAGTGACTTCACATCAATGGCAATGTTTGTTCTGGTGCATTGAATAAGGATGCTAGTTCAGTATTTAAATATTAAAGACTACTTTTAAAGGAGAAAAAATGGTTCAGAGGCAAATAGCTTCATTCATGTAATGCTTTATTTTCATAACGCAGTTTAAAGCAAGTACATTTTTTGCACCATAAACATTATCCCTACTTCCTTGTACATGCATTCATCATATTCATAAAAAACCTCATTCATAACACAGAAAGTGCAACTTTCATTCATGTAAACTTTTCTTTACAGTTATCCATAGTTTTAGAAGTCATTTGTAAAATCTATGGATGTCAATAAGGCTCATCGTTCTAGTAACTTATTTTATGTCATCAAGTACTCAGTACGGCATACATGTTAAAATAGTACGGAATTGCCTGTCAATTGTATGGAGGTCTCTTACCACACCACAAAATGTGGTCTCATCTGAGGAGTAAAGAGCTACCACACCAGGCCACACAGAAACATCTGGATCCATAGTTTCAAATAAACCAGGAGCGTTTCTTTTTGCAAGAAGCTTAAAGTGAGTAGCAGCTATTTTGAAAACAACATTTAGTTATAATACAATACAAAAATTTCACACATCATACAGGAATATAGAGAGAATAATTTTTGAAACACATTTCATAAAGCAAAACAGATCCTAATTGAAAACTGTGAGAAGGCAGTCCTCTTTTGCAGGACTGTAGAAATTAATGTTCTATTGCAGGTGTGGATCCATCTTGGAAAATGCATATTTCAATATGACAGCTATGCCAAAATGGCAGCTCTCTCATTTCTGTATATAAATATCTATATATCATATATGGGAATTTCTGTAGCTGAGGTCAATATATTAGTATGGAAACGTTAAATGCACAACAATAAACAGAAGTGGATCTACATATTGTACTGTAATGTGTACTATTTCAATATAAACAAGCTACACACTAGCAGAGTTTATATGCACCACTAAGCTGTAATTTGTTTAGCTTAATTGTACTTTGTACCTCTAAACACACCCCAGTCAATAAACCTGAATATGAAATCATGGTTTAGCAAATCTCAACTTGTGCTGACTGATTTACATGACATCAAAACCCACTATCCTGGTTTAATTATGGTTTGTTTTGGCACATCACCCCACACACTTGCCTTGCCACAAAAGCACAAAGCAAGGTCAGCACCAGCAGCCAACTTCTCATCAGCAAGACACAGCCGGATCTGTTGAACAAACCATGGTTAAAATAGACAATGGCTTAACATTATGTGCAAGAACAACCTAAGTTACTGTTGGCTTCAGTTTACTAAAATGGAAATTTAAAGATTGACAGAGGACAGAGTAATCCAAACCCCCAATCTGTCCTTGCACCTAGCCCTGCGCCACCAGCCTCTACCAGTGGGGGACATTTGCCATAGACAGTAAGGAGTGCTCTGGTGTGCCTGCCCAAGTGGTTGGCAGGCAGTAACTACCTCGAGTGTTATTGCTGCTGACAATAGACAGAACTCCCCCAAATGGGATGTCTCTGGAAGGGCTGGGCCCGCATAGCATCTGCTGGCTCTGGTGTGGACCCTGCTGCCTTCATATGATGGTGACAGGCCCAGTCCAGGTATCTTCAGCGCAACAACATGGGAGCAAAAGGGCATTTTTCTCTTTCCTCCCTCCCCACCATAACTTTTGTCTCAGTCAGTTCAAGTGCTGTTAAAGGCGGCATTGGTTGCACTGCTGCATCAAGCCCTGTCATTGCTGACTAGCGGGGCAGGATCGCACCCTAAATCATTTAAAGCTGTAACTGGTTGGCAGGTGGGTGTGGTTTTTGAAAATGGCCTCACAGGACAAACCTGGCCTGTTGGCATGAACTTTCCTACCCCTGCTGTAACAGAACTAGGCAAGCAAAGGCACTGAAGCACTTAAAAGTTCAATTCTAGTTACGACATACTGTACAGCAATACGGCAGGTGCTCTTTTAATATATACATTGAAGAGTTCAAGAATTCTACATTCTGAAATGTTCGCCAGGTGTTAGGCTTGTGTTTACCAAGAGAGAAAACAATATCAAATTCAGTCATTTCCTTTGCAGTTTTCATATTTCAGTCTGGATTGCTTGCAATAGGTTTTCATTGTGCGTTTTTTTCCCTGGCAAGCAGAGTTCAACAGCTTGAGACATGCATCTAGTTTCTAAAAATTGTGACTTCAGCTCAATAATAGGTTCCAAAAATCACCCCTATTCACCAGCAGAGGGAACACACAGACTGCAGCTATGTCCTTGCCTCCAAATAAGGCCATCTCAGTAGCAGGTCAGCATGCAGCAATTAAAACATCCTCCCAAATGGAAGAATTTGGGAGTAAACATCTGGATAAATAGTGCTGCCTCATCCACAAAATGACTTGCAGATTATAAAACAAACTGTACTGCAAACTGAAACCTCGTTGGTACTAAAGTTATGTGAACGCCTTATCAATGTCCATACTTTTTCCATAAGAATTTTCTTTCTACTGACAACTGTAACACCAACCACATCTTACAAGTGCATGGGATCTTCTTAGAGCATCACACGTATCCCTCCTGATGACTTCAATAATAGTGTGTTACAGCTATAGGACAGCTGCATTGGCATTCACTGTACATATTGCAAAATGTTGAAACCATATGCTACTAATGTCCCTCAGCTAAAGAACTGTTGCTGCTGAATTTGCCTGCTCCTTCATCACCTATGCAAGTCGCTCCACAAGCGAAGGCTGTGCATTCTTGCTACCTGAACACCATCGTCCACAGTAGTTATTACAACGCAATCTACATTCCAAGTAGCTGAAATAACTCCTCTTTGTGGAAGTCCTCAAATTCTGCAAGTTCTTTGGCACAACAAACTGGAAGGACCAACATGCTAAACTATTGTGGATTTTTTTAGGCAAGTGTGGCGTTGACTCTCATGAGAGTTTGCCAAAATTGAATGCTGCTTATTAACTTCCTTTTGTGTCCAAGTTCCTTTAACTTGTTCCTTCCAGCTTACCGTTTTACTTCAATGCATATTTGTGCTCCAGACTTCTTCGTAGAATTTTCCCCACTCCACCATGATTTTTGCAAGTTTTGCCAATAAATGTCTCAAGATGGCACATCAGCATTTTCAAATTCTGAGCTATAATATAACCCAAATTATATGTATTATTAGCATTATTTGTAAGGAAGCACAAACTGCCATCATTTGGATCCTGACATAGGATATACAATCATAATATATGGGAATCTACTACTGAAGTGTTAGCAAAAATATCTAAATCACCCCATAACTTTGACATTAAAAACTCACTTTTATGGGAAGAATGAACATACATTTTAACAACAACAAGAATCTATAGTCTGGTGTCTGCACAGCATTTGAATACCCATAAAACACTGGGAAACTGTAACAAAACTGTCATTCAACATTTAACCCTATGGCAGCTAACACTGCTAATATTCCAGAGAAATCTCCTGTTCATATACAGGGAGTACAAGTCGAAAATCCCTTTAAAACTAAGTTCTGAAACTTACATACTTATGTTTCCTGCAGAAAGATTGCATTGAATTTGTACAGAAAAATCTCAAATTCCAAGCCATATGACTGACTTCCAGCAAGACATATCTCAAGAGAACAAACTAAAATCATGTAATACCACCAAGGAAATATACAATGGCCTATTACAAGCTTCCCCAAATATTTTCCACTATAATGGCTGTGCTGGCTGAGGCAGATATATTTTTTTAACAAAATTTATACACCACTTACCCAAATAAAATTTCTAAGTGATTTATGAAGAGCAATTAAAAAGTAACTATTAGAAAGAAACATTAGAAACAAATTGAAATTAATGGAAGTTTTATTCCAAAACAACTAAAAGGCACCAAGCTGAGAAGGCTGGCTTATTAAAATGAGCAATTACCTTTTTAATAGTCATAATCATACAAATTACAAACACTGGAAAAGTTAAAGATTTTACTAAGTTACTGTGTATAATAGCGATTATCACTACTCACATATTCTATACTTGATCCCAGTTTTCCAAATAGCTTCCAAAAGAAATGGGAATCATTTTAGGGTTCTCATAATTATTCAGTAATGACTTTTCATTGGTTCCTGTCTCTGAGGCATGGTAAATCCTCACCTTCTTACTCCTAATGTGGTCTATCTAAGTCTTCATCACACTTGAGTCCCCAGATGTTTTGGTCTACAGCTTCCATATCACTGACCATTGGCTAAGCTGCCTGGGTATGATGGGAGCTGTTGCCCAATAGCATCCAAGGACTGATGGTTGAAGAACTCTTGTCTGTATAAGTTGTTCCTTATGACAATTTCCAGAATAAACTAATTTGGTGTCTTTTGCATTATTTTCCTTGGAGGATTATGTAATCAACAAGTATATTAAACACCAGTAATAAAATATGTTAAAACTGCTCACACATGAACATCATGAACCTCAAAATCAAAAGCCAATATACCTTCTCATATGCAATACTAAAACTTTTGGATCAAAACAGAAGAAAAGACTAGGAGGTTTGCAATGCCATCTTAGAATCCATGCATTTTCCAAAATGGCTGCATACCTGAAGCCGGCTGTAACACTACAATCCTGCAGAACTTGACCTTTTTATTTGCCTTCTCTTTGCCTTCTGGCACCCCAACAAATATTGTTTCACTTACTGTTGACATTGGATGTTAAATAATAGGAAGCAGAGTTTATAAGAGTCAGGGGTGTCCATATACTTTATTAACATTTGATGATAAAAATGCAAAAGCTTTATATATGTGCCTTATCACCTTGATGCCTCCTTTATTGTAAGATAAATTCTGCTTAAATTTAAATGTATTTTAAAATGTTCAATCTGCTTGTTTAAACTTCTACACTGTGCTTTTTTAAAATAAAGTTACTAGTGTAAGTCTTCACTTCCATAAAAATAATGTGCATACAGCTATGATATATATACTTGTACAGTTAAAAAAACAACACAAAAACACAAAAAAACAAACCCATCTTCCTGCACATGATTTTATGGCTTGGATATTTCATTGCTTTTAAACTGATAAAATCACAGCCCACCCACACCTCCACATAGCAGTTTTTAAAATTACTGTATGCTCATTTTGGTTTTTGATTAAAAATTATAATGCTGCAGAAATTCTAATGTTCAAAATCTTTAATTTATGCAAGCATGTTCTTCAGATAGTAAGTTATCTTTTCCAAACAACAGTACTATTGCTTTTAACATAGCTAGGGCCAATTTACCATGGACATAAAGATTAAAATATTATTGCACAATTCTACCCTCCTGGTGACAATGACATCCAGTTTTCAATGCTCGACTGCAAGTGGCTTGAGCACATTTTAGTTTTTGGGAGGAGGGGGAGAAAGTTTGCAAAGAAGCATAATCAGTAAAAGGGGAAAACCTAGTTATTAACCCATTACCAAAGACTGATTTCACCAGATCAGTGACAGGCAATGAAGAATGCACAGACTAAGTTTAGCTTGCCTGGGTATTTCCATTAAAGACTAATTTCCCATCTTATTCAGAATAATCAACACTTTGTACAATTGCCATATGGTACTAGCTTGGGACCAGTGAGGAAGTTGGCAAAACATGGACTTTGTACCTAGCTATATGTACAATAAAAATAGAAGAATGTCGTCGCACTGCAGTTTGATTGGTTACAGCCAGGGGCCACTGCAAACTACAGCACGATAGCCATTGCAGCTGCATCAGAGGGTGAGAGGGAGGGAACCAGAGGTGGAAGCAGGCCAACCAGCAGATAGCCTAGCAAGTGGCAAGGCGGGGGGGGGGGGGCAGCAAACAGGCTTCTTTCTCATGCTTCCCACAGCAGACTGGAAGCAGTGAAGGGGACAAAGAAGTGCCTTTCTTTCCTCCCCGCTGCCGGCCAATGGAGGGAGGTTGTTGAGGGAAGTGAGTGAGTGGTCCAGGTGAGTTGGGGAGTTTTGGCGAGTTGTGATTTGGGCAAGGTCTAGGGGGAAGCAGTGGGTGGCTTTGGTGAGAAGCATAGGAGCCAACTCAATTATTTACTGCACACTGCCATTCAAATGGTGTGCATGCACCATGTCATGTGATTGATTACGTGGGGCAGAAGAAGAGGAGGAGTTTGGATTTGATATCCCGCTTTATGACTACCCGAAGGAGTCTCAAAGCGGCTAACATTCTCTTTTCCCTTTCTCCCCCACAACAAACACTCTGTGAGGTGAGTGGGGCTAAGAGACTTCAGAAAAGTGTGACTAGCCCAAGGTCACCCAGCAGCTGCATGTGGAGGAGCGGAGACACGAACCCGGTTCCCCAAATAACGAGTCTACCGCTCTTAACCACTACACCACACTGGCAGAGCTTATGTGGGCCTCCCAATATTTTATTCAAGTTGACACCCCTGGTGAGGGGGTCTGATGGGGATGTAGGTGGGTTTGGTGAACAAAGCAAGCTTGGCTGCAGTCCTTAGCTATCTACGTAAGAATGTAAACAGAGAGTTGCTGGATCAGACCAAAGGTATAACTAATCCAACATCCTGTTCTCATAGTGGCCAATCAGATGCCTTTGAGATCACATACATGGGAGGAAGCACGTTGCCTCTGACAGGACAGGCAGAACACAGCCATTGTGACTAGCAGCCATTGATAGCCTTATCCTTCATGAATTTGTCTAATCCCCTTTTAATGCCATAGAAGTTAATGGCCACCTCTACATCTAGTGCGAGGCAGTTCCATAGTTTAACTATATGCTCTTTGAAGAAGTCCTGTCTGTATTGAATCTTCAAAGTTCCAGCTTCACTGGATGGCCCCTGGTTCTAGGATTACAAGAAAGAAAAGCTCCCTATCCACTTTCTCTAAGCCATGCATAATCGAATACACCTCATTTTTGTTTGTCCCCATTATTGGCCTGTTCTCTAAACTAAAAAAAGCCCCAAGGGTGTAATCTTTCCTCACAGGGGAGGTTCCCTTTTTCAAAACCTCTTCCACCTCTACAGTGTTCCTTTTGAGGCAACACAGCCAGAAATGTACACAATATTTCAAGTGTGTTCACACCACAAATATGTAGAACAGCATTATGATATTAGCAGTTCTATTTTAACTCCTTTCTCTTATTATCCCTACCATGGAACTCACTTTCCCCCCACAGCTGCTGTCCCCTGGATCACTACTGTTACTGAGCTATCTGCTTTGACCCCAAAGTCTTGCTCCTGGTTAGTTCACTGCCAGTTCAGAATACTTCTTAACTAGATTAAGTTCAGAAACCTCTGTGTCAGGAGACAAAAGCAGAAGATAACCATGGTTATTGGAAAGCAAATATGATGTTTCCATCTTGTATGTTAATAATATGTTTGGAACAGACAACAGCAGCCATTAAAATTGATTATTGGTGCTTGCTACAGGACTTTTTATGGGTATAACAAAATATTCTGAATTCTAAGATCCTAAAATAGACACACACACTATTCCATTAGGAGCAGTAGGAACTATCTAGGCAAAATCTTCTGAATGCAGTAGATGGTGTGCATAGAAATTTCTTGGTAGAAGTCACAGGAGATACCAAGTCACAGTCTGTAAAGCAAAGGGTAGAGTTCACTCAAGTGCTCTCTTCCCCCAATCAATATGTGAAAAATAATAATAAAAACCTATAGCAGCTGCTACCCTCAAGCACATATAAGGACATAAGTTATCAAGTGACTGTGAGAAAAATTACCATGTTTAACTTCATTCATGTGAAGCATCACAACATTTAGATTAATTCTATGCCCACTCACTTTGAACTGACTTTCCTCAACATGCAGGTAGCTCCCTGTACATATTCCATACAGAATTTCTGATCACTTGCAGGAGAAAAGTCTGCAGGCAAGAAGAAGATGATTGTGTTCTATATTGAAACCCAGTAAGTTGCCTTGGACTTGGTTTTCCAAACCTAGTTCTAGCATATTTTCTCAGTTTTACTTCTGTAGGCTAACTTAAAGGTAAAGGTAAAGGTACCCCTACCCGTACAGGCCAGTCGTGTCCGACTCTAGGGTTGTGCGCCCATCTCACTTAAGAGGCCGGGGGCCAGCGCTGTCCGCAGACACTTCCGGGTCACATGGCCAGCGTGACAAAGCTGCTCTGGCGAGCCAGTGCAGCACACGGAAATGCCGTTTACCTTCCCGCTAGTAAGCAGTCCCTATTTATCTACTTGCACCCGGGGGTGCTTTCGAACTGCTAGGTTGGCAGGCGCTGGGACCGAACGACGGGAGCGCACCCCGCTGCGGGGATTCAAACCGCCGACCTGACGATCGGCAAGTCCTAGGCACTGAGGTTTTACCCACAGCGCCACCCGCGTCCCTCGTAGGCTAACTTCCTACCCCCTAATTCATAAGGTTGATAGAATACGATGCACTTACAAGACAGTAGTTGATATTTCTCTCCCTCTGTTTTAAAAAAGTGAAGAACATGATTCATTTCAGGGGTCTAACAGATGCCCCTCCCAATCCACAACCCTGGACGTTCTGTGCTACCTTTTTGCAATTTGGTGCATTCACAAAAACAGTCCACCCAGAAACAAACACACACACATGCACTTTGCTGGCTACATTTTTCTCCTGTGCAGCAGCAGCAGCAGCCGCCGCCACCACCTCACCATTGTGATTGGCAAAGGCACAAGGCAGGATTCTTTGAGGGCAGGAGGTCTGAAAAATGATAAACTAGCCATCTCCCCCCTGCTCCTTGCTCCGTTTACTGCAAAACACAAACAATGAAGATAAAAATGGCTGCTACCATTTTCTTCAACAGTTATTGTAAGTACAAGTGCAAGAATCTATTTTTTGTGATTGGATATTGACAAATACCATCAAACTTTACACCTCCAACAAACACAACTATAGTCAAGTTTGGCCACTGTTAAGAGAACACAATGCTGGATGAGACAGCAAAGCAATTCTTATTAGAAAGTCACCACAACTACAGGAAGATCAGCAAAACAAACAACTTCCGTGTGTCCTGTTTTGGAAAAGTATTGTGCCGATTCAAACACAACAGAGTGAGAATCCAAGCCACATGAAGCACCAGAGAGTAAACACTTGTCTTGCTCTTCAGATTTAAAAAGGCAAGCATTAATTCAAATAATTATTTTTGTCCTTTCTCTAAGTGCTATTATTGCCAATATTGTCAAACCATGTGTTTTGTGGGGTGGGTTTTCTCTAGAAGTAACATTAATAAATTCGTCATTTTTCTGAATGCAAAGTTAAGACTGCGCACAAACCACAGAAAGGGCAAGACCTCTCTGAATAGGATTCTCATATGTATGCATCAATGTATGACTAAGCCTTGCATTAAGACAAAAGGTTAAAGCCAGCGGAGAAGGAAGCTCAACAACAGTTGTCAAGTATCTAAAAGGCTGCCATAAAGCAGAAAAACAACAATTTCACACAAAAATATGTGGGGTTCAACTTGCCGCAGAGCAGTTTCAGCTTAACTTATCAGCCAATATTTCCTATTTCTCAAAACAGGCAATGAAGCTGGCAAGACAGCTGCAGAATTTATTTCCCTATACGGTTTTTTTAAATGCAATGATGGTTATTAGTTAAATGTGGTTTATGTCTACAGAGTCACATTGCTTCAACAAGTATCAGCAGAGTTTTCCAAAGTACTCTAACTCTCTTCACAACTGCTTTTAAAAATGAAATGTGAACCAAATGGAGCTTTCCAGAATTATCCCCATCCCTCACCTTAAGAGACCATGCAGATTCTTTAGCAGAGCTTTCAACAAACTGGTAACCTCAGATGTTGTTGGACCACAGCTCCCTTCAGCCCCAGCCAGTTTGGCTAATGGTCAGAAATGATGGGAGTTGCAATCAAAACCATCTGAAGAGCACAGGGCTGGGGAAGGCTGTTCTAGCTCAATAGTCACATCTCCTAGAAAGGAACTCTCTTTTTACCAGGAAGAAAGTGCTCGGCTTAAGTGTTAGCACTTCGCATGAACAGCAAACTGCTTCTGAAGAAGAATTAAAATAAAAATCACAAGCAATACCAAAAATCATGAAGTGAAAATTAGCCGGAACACATCCCTATCTAAATAGACCACAGAGTGCAATGTAGACATGCAGAGTTCCGGAGCACATAACAGAAAACATTTCTTCACTACTAGAATAGTAAATCAGTAAGAATATCCAAGAGGAATCTTTCTAGCATTTCTGCATCTTAACAGACAGCATATGCACTGTGCTCCTAAGCATGTTTATTCAGAAGCAAGTGAGCTCAATGGGGCTCTCTCAAAGTAGTATTTCAAAAGAAACTCCATGCAGGCAAACTCAGGAAGGATATTACAAATAGACCACGCCTCCTCTCAGATGGACTAATTTCACTGAAACAATACCCAAATAGTGGTCTATCAACTTGAATAGTATTTATCTACTAACAGCAATTGGTGTTGTGCTTAAGTGCTTGTGCATTTGCAAAACAGACTTTTCCTCTTCTGTTTGCACCAATTTGTAGAAGCAGCATTATAACATTTCAGCCTTTTTTCAGTTCACTTCTATAAGTGAGGATCAGTTCAGCCTCAAAAAGCCCAGTTGAGCCAATCAAATCTCATCTGTGTTAGCTATTTGCTATAATTGAAGGAGCTAAAAAATACATTCTATAGAGTAAAAAGCTGGGAGTGCCACCAAAGCTTCCATTCACTGCTCTTTTGCTATGAAATCACATAAACTGCTTTTGATTTACTCATTTAGAAAACAAATCTAAAAAACAGTCAAACTTAGTAAATTGCCCAAAACATTTTGGAGGAAACCATCCTTGTTTAGTTTGGTAAGGAAAAACTTACTAGACCCTCTGAGAAAGGTTTCTACCAATGTGCAATTTACTATTTTATTTTATACATTTCATTGCAATTTTGAGGCTTGCCTTTTCTTCTCTTGTATTTGGTGCTTCCCGTTCTTTCCCCCTCTCTCTATAAGCGGATGTTCAGTGTGCAGGTAACAAACATACACAAGGAAATTTTCCCATAGGAGAAACTAAAAGTGTAATCCAATATATGTCTACTCAAAAGTAAGCTGCACTGAGTACAACAAGGCTTACTCCCAGACACATAGCCACAAGACTGCAGCCTGAGAGCCATTTCCCCCCATAGGAGTATGTGCACATTTTTCTAGTTACAAGCATTTTTAAGCAAGTGATCCACTAACACTGCAGATACTGATAAATCTGTTTTAAAAGGTAAGTGTCAGTATTGCAGCTGACCTGCAGAGCCTTGAAAGCTCTTTTTTTTGATTATAATATTGTGTCACCGATCACAGTTAAATGCTAGTTAAGAATTATAAAATGTATTTATTTTCTAATTTCCAAAAAGCTATTTGACATGACATGTTCTACAGCAGAAATTGGGGTTTTTGCTATTAACCTTTAAATTACTCATTTTCTTCCAGTTCTTTGTTTACCTATGTATCAAAATAAATCTACCCTGATGGATTCCCACCCAACCATTTAGAGACAGGAAAGGGGGTGAAAAAGAAAAGGAAAAAAGTTTAGCAAGCAAAAAAACCTCATGGTACAACCTTGATTCACTTATTTTTATGCTGATTATAATCATCAGCATATCTTTATAAATTACTCTTTCACATTTCAACTTTATATTTAAAAAAGTCATCTAGAAATTACCCAGGTGCGAACATCATAATTAAAATCATACTAGCTCTGGTTTTCATAGGCACATTTCTTAAAACAGTTTGTCCGCAGAGTCATAAAAACCCACATCACTGTTTAAACCTCTGTGCAGTCTCCTAAAAGTATTTGTCTTTTAGCGAAATGACAGTGTTAAGAGAGAGGGAATCTACAAAGGACAGCCTTCTGTGCACCAAAGATAGAAATTGTTCTAAAGCAATATTCTCAAAGGTTTTTTGAGAGCAAAAATTATGCTCCTTTTCTAGAATATTAAAAACAGCACAGTTCTATTACCATCACAAAATGGCATGTGTACAAAATGCAGCTGCACAATAACTACTAGGTATTTTTTTGGTGGGGGAGGGAGGACTCCAAACACCCTATTCCCCCCCCTTCCTAGAATTTGGCAACTTTGCATATGATACAGAATGGTTGCCAAATAATCACACTGCTTTGTATGGCATATTGAATAGTTTTTTACAACACTAGCTAAGTTTTTAAAAATTGCTTGAACTTAAAGGTTAAAACTTGTTATTAGGGAAAATAAACCCTCTCTGGCACGGAGTGAAGGGTTGCAGGACAGCCATAGACAAACCCTGGCTGTCCTGGTTTTCAGTATCAGTATCAAGGGTAGTGCATAGATCCATTGTGAGGAGGGAAACTGTACGTTTGTCACTTCTTCTGAGTAGCCTGGAAGGCTTTCAGTTCCACCTGATACCAGCCTGGAGCTTCCGGCCCATTTTGTCCAATGGGATTGTGGTCGTATCCATAAGCCACTGTTAATTCTTCATCCTTCTCAACAGCCCTAATAGTGCGGATACATTTAATCAACCCAAAACGAGGATGAACAAACCTAGAAAGGAAGGAAGCATACACAGTCAGAAAAAGGAAACTCAGCAAGCCCAAACGATGTATTCATTTTCTTGAAAGCTTTACATATATCCTGTGTGTTTTTTAGATATAGGTGACGCAGCACTACCAGAGAACACTATAGGAGTGTCGCTGACCACTTTTTTTTCTGCAGCAAAATATTCATATCGTAAAACCTTCATTGGCATCACATACAACATCCAAAACAAATCAATAGAGAATTGCCACTTCCCCAGTGGCACAAAACATTTGCTAAAAGAAAGGAGGCAGAGCAGTCTATCGTCACATCTCTTGGTCTCCAGGGAGATCAGACGTCTGCAGTGTATTTCAACGACAAAAAACCAAATAGAGATATTTAGCCAGCAGCAAAATATTGTTAAATAGCAACAACAAAAGTTTTGGAAAAAGTTACAGTTAAGCAGTCCGTCCACTGTGGATAAAACAGGAGAGTGGATGGGACTAAGAACAGAGGGCAGCGGAAACAGCTCTCTTGACTCATAGTAGGGCCACCGCTGAACACAGAGGCAAAACTATGAAGATACACCTCAGCATCTTCTTCAACGAAAGATCCTGCCACCTACCTCCGAGCAAAATGTTTGTGGCTCATGCAGGATTTTCCACTTAGATAAGGGGTGCCTAACCTTTTCTGGACAGAGGGTTGTATTCACCTATTATCAACCCTCGGGAGTCACATGTTAACGTGGGCACGAACAAAGCACACAACTGGGCGCAGTTAATGAGTCTGCCTTCCAAAAGGGTCTCCCAACAGCAATTCTACACCATTTAAAATAATTTATCTTCATTCATTAAATTCGGTTAAAAACCATTTAATTAAAAAAAAATGACAAATTTGGTAGGTTTTTTTAGGAGGAGGGCCCCAAAAAATCTTCAGGAGTCGGTGGTCAGGGCTAGCCACCCCTGACTCAGAGCATGATGGATAAGTGCCATTTTCCAGGAATGCTTCCCTTGCTTTCAACTGTATTTTTCATCAGTTTTTCCCACCCACTTGATATAGTGCTGTGGTTGCAGTGATCCTTTGATATCATCTGCTATCGCATTGGCAGATACAGTTCTGACACCTGAAAAGCAGCACCTTCATAAAGCACAAGTTTAATACTTACGAGTCATAGACACTATTTGGTGTGAAAGAATGATTTGCCTTGTGCCCCAATGAGGCACAGTATTTGGCTGCGTGGTTGTAGGGTTCCGGTACGTCTATGACTGTTTCGTCATCAAGGGATATTGTGTTTCCATTCAGAGCCCAGTCCCTGCCATCCACCTAAAATAGACATTGTTGCAGTGTCAACTTTGTGTTTTTGTCAGACTGAAGATACAACGCAGATTTTTCTTGTGTTATATGCTTTAAAGGAGAGAGACCAGTGGTATTCAATCACGCTTGCAAGTACAGTCATACCTCAGGTTAAAGACGCTTCGGGTTAAATCTTTTCAGGTTGCATCCCACGGCAACCCGGAAGTACCAGAAAGCGTTACTTCTGGGTTTCGCCGCTTGCACAGACGTGCAAAATGACGCCATGTGCATGCACAGAAGCTGTGAATTGCGACCTGCGCGTGCACAAACGCAGGTTGCGAATGGGCCTCTGGAACGGATCCCGTTTGCAACCAGAGGTACCACTGTACTCTATTAGGAAACAAATTTAAGAGAAGGAAAACATGCCACTCCAATAGTCCTGACCATAGTAAGTTGCCTTAACTTCTTGCCCTTTCTGCTTCATTACCTCTACACAATAAAAATCAGTTTTACAGCAGACTTGTGGCATACCTACTGAAATCTGTAATCGAGTAAACAAAATCATCCTTAATTTTCTAAGGCTTGCTGGACTGATATTAAGGAAACTGAGAAGCAAGATACACTTTTAACAAGACAATTCTCTGTAGAGAACCTTTGGATGTTCAAATACTTGTGAGATCCCATAATGACTACAGGATCCTTGACCATGCATTATATGACACTTTTTTTACCTAATCCTGATGAATACTGAAGCATTTTTGAAATAACAAGGTGAACAAGCAACAAAAATGTTTCCAAAAAGGAGGTGTTTCAGAAGTAGCAATGAAAAGTTCTCACTTCACTTTACCTCCTGGTGTGTAATTCGTACGCCATTGTAAAAGGACATAACTGTGCCAGCCTCAGCAGATACTTTAGTAAATAACCCTTCTCCTGCGCTGGAAATGAGAGATGCATCTACATATACCCTGATGAAAGGAAAGAGTAAAAAGAAGGTACAGTGTCATTATTACTACTCTGTAATACACTAATATTTTTAGAAAACTATTTTATTAGTTTATGTAAATTTAAGATAATTAATTTTGGGCCATGGGAAGAAATGCTAGCACAGGTGTCAAATGTGACAAAGCCTCTGTGTTTAGAAAAAAGGAAAAGTGTATCAGCGCTTTGTCCAACAAAATGCAGAGTCCCATCAAGTTTCTGTCTCTGCCAAATCCTGATTATGTATATTGAAGATCATCTTCTGAACAGCCAAAGAAAAGTATTGCAATGTTTTTTTGGGCGGGGGGTGGGTAGAGAAACAGTTATTTGTAGCCACTGAGAGATATATTAAACAAAGAAATACTTTAGTACAGTATCACAGTTTTTCACTACTGTACTTAAAAATTCATTTAAAAATCACTTTTAGAAGAAATATAAAAGTTTCCTCTTAATAGTTACAGATTTTTCATACCAATTCATGTTTTTAGGAAAACATTTCAATTCAATTAAGCTCATGCAAGATAACCATCAAATTAATGAGCTAATATGATGTCATTTGCACACAAGTAGTTCTGTTTGCAATTCAAAGGAATAAAGTGTTGCTGAATGCTGTCTTAAAATGCAAAGCAGAACAACTAAATTGTTTCTTTGCAAATATTTAAGAAAGGGGGCAAAATGATACACATAAATTATTCTACCTCTCCGATTCATAAGGATCAGGAAGAAGTGCATTTGTAGAAATGCAAGATGAAGTAGATTTATCAAAACTGTATACTGGGCCTAAAAACAAAGCAAAACAAAAAAAGTACACAAATTAACGGACAATCAAGATGAAGATGCAGGTCTCTCTCTTATTAAAGTGTTATGCATTCAACACACCATAAGGAAATTAAGTTTTTAAAACAAGACAGAAAAGATATTGTATTTAGGTCTGTCTACTATATAATAAAACAGTGCTCTGCATAAATTTTTTTCACCATTTTCATTTCTCCTCAAAACTGCAAGCAGTATTCAGTCACCTTTGTAACAAATATGAGTTCAGGTTTATACATGCTAGAAATAACGTTTCCCAACAGTGCTTTAACATTATATTTCCCCCCTGAATATGTAAAACCAAGTTAAAAATGCATGCACCCCACATCAACGATGTGTGGTCAGTGCATATTATCACCAACACTTTTCCTTAACAAAATCAAAAGCAGCAGCAATTGATACAGACCTGGGACCCAATTTCATTACCTTTTACCAAAGGAAGTGGAAAGTAAAATGTGTCTCAACTGATATATGGTATTTATACTTTGCATACCAGGTCCAAATTCAAAATGTAATGTGAAGCAACCCTAAACTACCATCCCTTATATTTCTTCTGGCTCGGAGTGTACAACCCGCTCCAATCCATTTTGTCAACACACCATGGCAGCTCTAATTTTAGTAATTCTATCTTGCAGAGTGGAGGGCATTGGCACAAGAACAAAACTGGAGCAATGTGAAAAACAAACAAACTGAAAGCATCGTTTGCTCAAAGTTATCTTCAAAATGGTGTGTGGAAGCCATGCTACACAACACCATTTTGCACATCAAGGAGAACTTACTGCCTGGCAGCACTTCAAATTGTGGCTTCCCCTCTTCTACGGATACAAGAGTTGCCAGCTTTGCTTCCAACATTTCACCATCTATGAAGTGTCCATAATAGGCCATCTTCCCATCAGGGTACACATAGGCTATCTTCTCGCCAGTCATCTCTCCCTCTTCATTAACTTCTCCAACCAGATGTCCACCATCCTGAATGAGAAGCATTAATATTGGTACAATAAATGCTGCACCTTTTTAAGAGGGAAATGTTTATGTGTGCACACACATTTTTGAAACCTTTCAATAGCAACACAGATATTGCACTGCATCCAACTAACTTTTTCTCAGAGAAGACCCATTGAAATTAATGGACCAAAGCTAATCATGTCAATGAGTCTACTCCAGGTATAATTTAGATGGATACCCCCCAAAAGTAACAACTGTGCTAATCAAAATACATCTATCTATAATATTTTTGTTTCATAGGTACCAGCTGCAGCTTAGGTTCTTTAAACCTCACTTCCTGCTGACTCTTATCTTTTGCTACCCTGTACAGATCTCAGTGAGTTGTGTTTATTCCAGCAATCCAGTTCTGCTATAACAAAGCCCTGTATAAATCCAGGGTATTTCTACAAAAAAAAGGGGGTGAGGACTCTTCCAAACAAATTGCAGCCAAATTAACCATAAACCAAGTAAAATAACTGAACAGTATTATTTAGCTCTTCAATCCATAAACAGATAGATGGATAAATAAATAACTTGCAGAGGAAAGTTTTTTTTGGGTTTTGTGAACCAAAGATAAAAATCCTAAGAGCCTTGTTGGAGATCCATTACAGCTTCATCTCCAAGATTGTGACAGCCTGTTCACTATTTTATTGAAAAGCACAGAACAGACACTTCTCTGAACAGGTTCTTTGCATCTCTAGTCATGCCTAGTAAGTTATATATATATTTTTAACTTCCCAAGATTATCCAGTTAAATGCTGATATTTATAAACACACATTTTACACAGAAGTCACCTTGACCTCCCTCCTTTGGGGGGCTGGGGAGGACAGCAAAAATATAGATGTTTAAAAGCACACTGAATCCTTTTTTCTGGCTTCCGAGTTCAGAACATTTTGTTACAGCAGACTGATGTCTAAAGCATGTACATAGTTACTATTCAGTATTTATTTAGGCAAAGTGTCACTAGCTTGAGTGGCCTGAATAGAACTATTCATTTGTGAAAGCCAGAAGCAACCCTGCTATAATGGTTCTAAATTAAAGACAGTAGAGAACTATGTTCAGCAAAGTATTTATGAAGAAAAGCACCTCTCTTAGAATGGAAAGTAAAACCCACAAAGCCCCCCACAGGTTTGACTTAAATCTTTAAAAAGATGCATATGGCTGAGAAAGGCACATGGTGCGTTTTACTCTCATGTACACAGTTTGCACACAGCGGCAACTTGTGGAAGGCAAATGTATCTTACCATGCTGCATCTGCATCCAAATTATGAGAAGCCACAACCACCACAAGTGTGAAAAGGATTGCTAGGATTCTGGCAGGCTGACAAATCACAACCCTTTGCTCTCCTTTGCAGGTGGAAGTTATGCAGCCCAGCTGCCTCTCTCAGCAACGCAACAGGATTTGTCTTCCCCATGTGTCAGATATCACTTCATCCCCTACTTGGCTGCCACACCTCCCCATTTAGGTTTATAACTCATTTCCCACCTTGCGTATTTGAAAAAGTCCAACGTACTTACAGGGTAGTATATCCAACAAATCCCACATCGAATATTATCTTTGTATTGCCCTTTGAATATCAGTCGCCCATCAGCATCATATTCCTGGGCTGGCCCATTTAGTTCTCCATCTACGTAAGTGCCATGAAGAGCCCCTCCATCTTCATATGTATATACACCCTGGCCTTGCAGAGCATCATCCACATAATAGCCTTCTAATGTGCTGGTAACGAGAAAAGGGTAGGGCACAGGGATCAATAGTATCTAGTTTATTTTATGAAATGTTCTCAAAGTAAAAATGTCTCATTACCTTAAGGACACTCTCCCCACAATGCAGAACTGCTTGGGCTTCAACATCAGCCTCAGCCACTTTGCTCTCTGTACCATCATCTCAGGTAAGTGAGCAACAGGACCTTCTTGGTAGTGGCCCAGTGACTCTAGCATTCTGTACCCATGGAGATCTGTCAGGCTTCCTCTCTGGTTCATTTTCATCACAAGTTGAAAACATTTCTTTTCTGGGCAGCCTTTAACATCTCAAGTTTTACTGTCACTGGCTTTCTATACTTGTAGATCATTGCTCTTAATCTGTTTATGGAAGTGTTTAAAATCTGTGTTGCTTTTTAATTTGGTTTTTAAAAAATGTATTACTGGAGGCTAAACCCCTGCTTGCTCTGCTTACCAACCCACCTGCCATTCCCCCCACATTAACACTTTAGCGCTTCCCCTTCCCACCCCATGCAGCTATTAAGCTTGATTTCCCCTCTCCCCAACCCCCTTTCTGATACCACTTCTCTCTTCTTTAATGAAATCCCCCTTGTCCCCCTGTTTTAACCTTCACCCCCATGCCTATGCCTCCCCCTTCTCTTGTGCACCCTCCTTTGCACACAACCCCCCGATAACCTCATATTATACATCTCCCATACATTGTATTGCTAAGCACTCTTTTTACCTTCTGCCCAATTATGAAGTCACTATCCCCTGCTATTCTTCAGACTCTTTCATATTCAACCCCATTCCAATGCTACCTGCTTCCTCCTTTCTTGCACCCCCATTTTCACCATCACTCCCTTTCTACCTCCACCGCCACCTTACTTTTCTGAACTGTCCCTTGTACACAGATTACCCCCATTTCCAGACTTCATCCTCTCTCCTGTTCTGCAGTCTCCCTTGTGTGCACACCCCATGCTATTACTGTATGTTTAAGGTGACTAGAACCTTAAGAGCAAGCCTGTCAGTTATCTTGCTCAGTTAGAGAAGTTTACATTCGTTGATGAATGCTGTACATATAATTACTATACTGGACATGGAGCTTTGTGTTGAAGACAACACATGGTACCAGGAGTGAAATACATTGCGGAAACTATGGAATGTTTCAGGGCTCTAATGAGGCAGCTGAGGAATGGAAGAGGGAGAAATTTAGAACAGCTTTCCCCCCTCCCTTTCAGTGTCTCTCCCTTCTTGCTCTACTCAAACAGCATTAGCAGAGTGAACTGCAAGGGTAAGGTGTGGTAGGAGATGTATTAACTTTGTATTATTTTCACAACCATAGTCTAGAAAAAACCCCACAAAGTTATAAAAATATTTGAAGTATTAAGCAAACAAAAAGCCATACCCCAAAGAATGCCTACCTTCCATCAAAGAAGAAGAACTTTCCACGGCCATTCTTCTCTCCATGCACAAAGTTTCCCTCAAATCTGTCTGTGGAGGAGTATGTGACCGTACAGAACCCGTGCGGCATCCCATCATCATCGAGTGCGCCTAATAAAAATTGAAAAGAGGCCAGTGAGACCAAGACAATGATACTGCAAGAGTTCATGCAGATGTACCTTCATGTGGATTGGATGTGGGGTTTTGTGCTTTAGCACAAGCTCCGACTCCTAACACAGCCTCTGTTCCTCTACTGCTGCACAATCCTGCCTCAGACATCAGCATGGATTACTGCCCTTACCCTGCATGCTTTGGCCAAACTACTCCCTTTTAAGAAACCTTGTTTTCAAATAGCCAGCATATTTATTAACTTAATTGTTTCTTTGTCCTTCCCCTTCTGAACTTAAAACACTATTCTGGATGTGGGGGCTGAAGAACAGTTGTGCAATTGCCCTAAGAACTAGCCAGCCAGCGTTCTGAATAGCTGGGAAGCTTCAAGAACCTATTCACACACCGACACACCAAGTACAGTACAATAGAACCATGTCAAATTCACAAAACAAAATACATGAAGAATGTACATATACAGAAACATAATGCAGTATGGAAATAAATAAAATCAGAGTGTTACAAAGCAGTATAATGTAAAATTCCAAACACCACAATGCATATACAATCATTTGTCCAAGTCCACTCACCAGCCATTTCACACAAAATTCACTACCTCAAACATTACCACGTATACAAAAACCACTCATACCCAACAATATCACAACTCACATACAAAGGGTCACTGCCAAGCACATATATAAAATACACTCCTAATGTCTGAAGCACTCATGACCTTATGCCCCACTCCCATGGGACTATCTAATTCTCTTCTCCCATCTCTCACCTGAGAAGGGTCCAGATCTATACTAGAGCAGGTTTTCACCCTGAAGGGTATAGAACTACTTCCATCCACTCACTCCCAATTGCAGAATCATAACACATGTCTTCTGTTTTGATTTTATATTTGTTGTATCATTGAAAACAAACAACAAACAAACAAACAAACAAATTAATATTTAAAGAATAACATGTGTGGTACTGCACAACCTCAACACCTGATAATGAACCATCAGCACTGGTTACATCACCCTCACACTCAAGGTGCCCCTAAACGTCACCATCACCTCATAGAACCATAGTATTCTAGAGTTGGAAGGGACCCTGAGGATCATCTAGTCCAACCCTCTGCAATGCAACTGTCCCATATGGGGATCGAACCTGCAATCTTGGCATTATCAGCACCATGCTCTAACCCACTGAGCTAAGCCACTAGTCCCTAAATTGTTGCAACCAACCAGATGCTAGGCTGTCTCCCTCTGCACCAGCAACTTGGCCTGGTTATATGTGATGAGTCAACTCCCATCATTATTTAGCATCAGCTATAACTCAAAGTCATGCCTGACATAGTTTCCTTGACTACAGGAAATTCCATAGCCTGTATGGGCCATGCCATCAGTCTGCAGCAGAAGGAAGGGATGTAGGGCTACTCTGTCGCCCTGGTGAGGGGCCAAATCCATCACATCTCCCTTATCTCATCTGGCAACAGCCGTTTCATGAAGCTGCAGCAGGAGATTCCATCAGTTCTACTTAGAGACCAGCTGTCATCCTTTGCACTAGCAAATAATAATAATAATAATAATAATTTATTATTTGTACCCCGCCCATCTGGCTGGGTTTCCCCAGCCACTCTGGGCGGCTTCCAACAAAGATGAAAAATACACTAAAATGTCACATATTAAAAACTTCCCTGAACAGGGCTGCCTTCAGATGTCTTCTGAATGTCAGGTAGTTGTTTATTGCTTTGACATCTGATGGGAGGGCATTCCACAGGGCGGACGCCACTACCGAGAAGGCCCTTTGCCTGGTTCCCTGTAACGTGGCCTCTCGCAGTGAGGGAACCACCAGAAGGCCCTCGGAGCTGGATCTCAGTGTCCAGGCAGAACGATGGGGGTGGAGACGCTCCTTCAGATATACTGGACCGAGGCCATCTAGGGCTTTAAAGGTCAGCACCAACACTTTGAATTGTGCTCGGAAACGTACTGGGAGCCAATGTAGGTGTTTCAAGACCAGTGTTATATGGTCTCGGCAGCCGCTCCCAGTCACCAGTCTAGCTGCCACATTCTGGATTAGTTGTAGTTTCCGGGTCACCTTCAAAGGTAGCCCCATGTAGAGCGCATTGCAGTAATCCAAGCGGGAGATAACCAGAGCATGCACCACTCTGGCAAGACAGTCTGCAGGCAGATAGGGTCTCAGCCTACATACCAGATGGAGCTGGTAAACAGCTGCCCTGGATACAGATTTGACCTGTGCCTCCATGGACAGCTGTGAGTCCAAAATGACTCCCAGGCTGCGCACCTGGTCCTTCAGGGGCACAGTTACCCCATTCAGGGGCACAGTTACCCCATTCAGGACCAGGGAATCCTCCACACCTGCCCGCCTCCTGTCCCCCCAAAACAGTACTTCTGTCTTGTCAGGATTCAACCTCAATCTGTTAGCCGCCATCCATCCTCCAACCGTCTCCAGACACTCACACAGGACCTTCACCGCCTTCACTGGTTCTGATTTAAAAGAGAGGTAGAGCTGGGTATCATCCGCATACTGATGAACACCCAGCCCAAACCTCCTGATGATCTCTCCCAGTGGCTGCATGTAAATGTTGAAAAGCATGGGGAGAGGACAGACCCCTGAGGCACCCCCCACGTGAGAGCCCAGGGGTCTGCCCACTCATCCCCCCCACCACTTTCTGAACACGGCCCAGGAGGAAGGAGCGGAACCACTGTATGACAGTGCCCCCAGCTCCCAGCCCCTCAAGACGGTCCAGAAGGATGTTATGGTCAATGGTATCAAACGCCGCTGAGAGATCCAGCAGAACTAGGAAACAGCTCTCACCTTTGTCCCTAGCCTGCCGGAGATCATCAACCAGTGCGACCAAGGCAGTTTCAGTCCCATGATGAGGCCTGAATCCCGACTGGAAGGAATCCAAATGGTCCGCTTCTTCCAGGCGTGCCTGGAGTTGTTCAGCAACCACTCGCAAATGCACTACAGTGAGGAGAACTACAGGTAGTTTTGCTAAGGAGCTGCTGCAGTGTTTATTAGATGTCCTTCCCCAGTGCACAGCCTGGTCATACAAAACCAGAAACCCTAACCCCAACCTGCAGCACCATAAAACTTGGGATACGTGTGAGGAATGTGTTTTGATCCACATGTATCCTATATGCTTCTCATACTTGAGACAACTGTTCGCTCATGAAATGGTTAACATTCTTGAGGAGAAGAAATAAGAACCAATCAAGCTTCGAGCATTTTTACATGCGTTCAAATATCTGTCTTCACAGTTTGTGACAGACAGCAAAAGCACAGGCTGTTTTAGAAGACTCTTACGGGGACTCCAGTACTGGTACTTGGCTGATCTGTAGGAATGGGTCGCACAAGCCATCCAAGAAAGCATAAATTGTGTAATTGTCAGTCCTCAGGCAAAGCTCACTTGTAACTTTATATCAGTCTGCAGTGGCTGAACCGAACTTGACATTTGTTCCACACAGTCTCGTTCAGACCACTGAATTATTTTTCCATTTTGCTTTTTAGCAGGCTTGGAGCCAGCCTCTTACGCTGTGTACACATTATCGTTTACTCTGGAACCACTGTGATCTCACCACTGGTGTCTGAACTCATGTGCAGATGGCCACAATCTGTCTCCATCCTATAGTTTATTGAGAAATACTGCTGTATGCTTTATTAATGCTGCAGCTAAGCTGGTGTGTACATCTGAGAAGGAAGATTGCACAGCAAAAGTGGCCATGGCATGGGAGCAAGAAGGGAGAGAGATTGAGAGGGAGGAAAGGAGTGATTGAAAACTTTTAAGTTAATGGGTATATAGCCTTAGTTAAGGAGCAAATTCGAAACCTTGATCAGATTTTGCTTAAAGCCTCTGGAACTCAAGATCATAACAGATACAAGATAGTAACAAGCTGGGTGGATGAGAACAAAGGGGCCTGCAGGCAATCAAATGACACTTCCATGTCAAGGTGTAGAGACTGACGCAAGCTGCACTGATAAACTAGGGATGAGTGAGCCCAAACAGCCATGACTGTCATTCTGCTGTTTTAATCTCATCTCTGCAAATAATGATACTCACTGTTGAACTATACACACACCAGAATGTATTTCCTACCCGAGAAGGAAATAACTGAATTCTATGTTTGCAGCAAGAGGAAAGTGTGGTGAATTGAACATTCAGAAACAACATTATTATTTTTCTTATTACAGCCAATGAAAGTCAGTAAATTATGTTTGTTCTCAAAACACACACACACGCACACACACTCCTAAAGTCTTCTGCAGTAGCAGAAGGAGCAGAGTGCTTAGGACACACTTTGTCATTAATTACACTAGTGTAACGTCCTAAAACCTGTTGCACACCAGCACTACTGCAATGCTATACCACCACCATAGGCAGATATACTGCTGTTCATGTTGAAGGCTGGGGCTCTACAATAGCTCAAAATGGTTTTGAATCATTAGTAATTAAGAAGCTCACTTACACACATAAATACATATATAAATTCTCACAAATGGAAGCTTCCCTTTCCCAGCTTAAAACTGCAGCTGCAAAAAAAGAGAGTTTTGAGAGGTGAAATGATGGGGTAGGGTGGGTGGAATGGCAATCTTTAAGAGTTGGATAGGGTCACAGAAAAACAAAATTCACTCTGATATGGGCAACTTAGGGCCACTTGGTTTCTGAACTAAAAAGACACAACTGATTTTAAGAGTCTTGGTGATGTCACAAAGGCATCATTTCCCATGACTTGCATAATTATTTTATTTTGGCCCACCATTTAGATTTTTAAAAAATGAACAGTGTCTATTATACCACTGGGGGGCGGGGAGCCTGAATCCAGCTTGAATAAGCCAACACTGCATTGACTTGCAGACAGAGATTTTGTGTATGGGGTAGGGGGATGTGTTAGGTAGATTCTTAATTACTAATGATTCAAAACCATTTTGAGCTATTGTAGAGCCCCAGCCTTCAACATGAACAGCAGTATATCTGCCTATGGTGGTGGTATAGCATTGCAGTAGTGCTGGACAGGTATGCACAGGTATGCACACATTTGAAATAATTTCTTCTTCTGCCCCACCTGTTGTAAGGCCAGTATCAGGTTTCTTACCAGGACACTTTCAATACACCCAACTGCCCATCAACCCTTCCACATTTCCAACTCTGCTGTCACTTCTGCAATTTTGTTGCACTTCTGAATCAAATCCTGTTGACTAATAAAGCTCTCCTGGCAAGAACAGAAGACAAGGAGGAGCTGCCAGGGTCCAAACCAAATGGAAATGTTAAGGATTCCCAAATTAGTCAATGATCCCAAGGTTCAGATCTACACTACAGAAAGAATGCTCAAAACATATATATATTATGACATATTTTATATGTAAGTTGTTGAAGAAAGCACCTGATAAGCTACATATTACTATAATACTTGAAATTACAAAATTCCTGTTAGGGAGAAAGCCTGTTAGGGATGACATTTCTCCTGTTAGGGAGAAATGTCATCATACTAATACAAGTATTGTCCTAATAGGGCTTTAGGGATTTTTCTAATGGGCCAATATGGTTACCTTTACTTTCTGTATTCATGTGTAAGTGCTTCAAACACAAATAATTAAATATTTACAAAAGACAACATCTTTCCACAGCTATGTTTTTAGATCACCAGCACTCAATACAGTATCCCACAATTTCTATCCTAAAGTTTGCCACAAGGATCTGGAGTGGAAATATAATTTCAAATTGGTAAATATTATAAATCAAAATTGAGTTTCAGCTTCAGTGCTGCTCATTTTGCTTTCTGGCCCCTATTTCTTCTACCAAATCCCTCCTATAGGCAGAACCTCTGCCTTAGCTTGCACAGATGACTGTAACCCCAGTACAATTGTTCAAGCAGCTCTGTTCTGCTTTTATTTGTTAGAGAACAATAGAGCTCATTTTCACAGCATTTATTTTTTTCATAGGAAAAAAAATGCTTCAAAATACAGCTGCAGTCCCACCCACAAACCGTGCACAGGCAACCCCCGCATAGGTTTCAATGGAATTTACACATAACTAGGGGCAGAATTCAATAATGAATTGAGTTACTCCTTGGAATTTAAGTGATCATTTAAATGTAGTCAACATAGGAATTAAGTCAGCGGCAGCCAAGCATACTTCACGCTGGACTAAAGAGAAAATCTCTGGCCGCCAACACCATTATAATTTCCAAATTTAATAGTGCCAGGTTTACAACATAGCTGCTCATTTGCACGCCAAGAGTGAAGCAATCCATACAATACACTGCATTGATTCTACATGCCCCACTAGAACTACTTGGATCCTTTCAGGACCAAAATCTATGGACACAACACAATACTATTTCCAGGAGTAGTGTTCAAAGACAAATATCCAGAGTTGAAAAACTATGCCACTGTCCAGAAAGATTAAAGGGAAAAATCCCCAAACATCTATCTACCCTTTCTTACAATTTCCAAGTGATACACATTTTAATATTTTTCATAGATGTGGAACTATAATATTAAATGGGCAAAAAGCAGGAAATTAAGAAACCAGGGCACTAAAGCTTGTCAAGCCTTGCCATTTTAGCCATGCCTCTTTTCACATTTCATAAAGCCCCAGATCAATAAATCAAGCAATGATAGCATCATGAAAAAGCTCAACTTTCATTAAGCCTTTGTGGTTGCTGAAAACATTTTTGACAATGCAAATTGTAATTACATTGCTAGAATGCATTATAGGTGGGCCTGACTTTGAAAGACGGTTTCAGCTGGTGCAGAAAATGCTGCTGGATTATTAATAGGAACCAAACATATATAACATTGGTTCTGGCATGACTGCACTGGCTTCTGGGCTGAATTCAAGGCTCAGGACCTTGCAGAACATCTCTACCCATATGAGTCTGTCTGGAGGCCTTCCTGGAAGTGTCCCCTTGCAGGAATACAGAAGCTGTTAGAGGGTCTTCTCAGTAGTGACTCCCCTATTTATGCAATGCTCTCCCTAGGAAGGCCCACTTGGAACTAAGATGGTCATACTGTATTATCAGAGGCAGGCAAAAACTATTATTTACTCCCAGGCATTTTATTGTTGATGTTTTCTCATCTCCTGCAGGGGTGGCGTTGTTTTTCACCCAGTTTGTTGTTTTTAATATTATAGTGGTACAAGTGGCTGAATATCTTAACTTTTTAGATACTTATGTGTCTTTAGAGTAGGCTTGGGTTTTATTGCATGTACTTTTCTGTATCCTTTTGTTGCACGGATACAAGTGGACTTAAAACCCTTGTGGTGAAACACAATGAATGATTGATTTAATTATTATCCTTAGAACAGAGAAAGATTGCGCAAGCATTTACATATTTTCAACACTCGGTCAAATTGTGGAAAGATCCCCACTGGCCCCTCAACCACACATTTACCTGGGAGTGGGGAACCTGTAGCCCTCCAAATGTTATCGAACTACAACTCCCATCATTCCTGTGGGCTGCTGCTTAGGAGAGCTGGTGTCCTACAACATCTGGAAGACCACAGGTCTCCTCCCCATCTTAGAATAAAGAGTCCCAGTGATTCTAATAAAACTTGGTGACAACATAAAGATCTGATATGCTCTCTCCGCACCTATCACGCATCTCCTGGAGGAAGAGGAAGAGCACAAGCGCTTGCAGACCGGGATGGGGCAGCTATTTCTGTCTGAGCTTATTTGGGAGGGCAGCTCGCTCCGCGCTTCTTCGCGCGATTGGCTTCCCTCAAAGCTGCAGCCCAGGCCGAGCCACGCGCCTCCGGCCAACTTCCAAGCTCCGGGCTCACGGCAGCCCGCCTCGCGCGCTTGCTCTCCTCCTCCCGAGGTCTCCCCGCTCCCTCGTGTCCCACGAAGGAGAACAGGAACCAGCTCGCCAAACCACCGCAACAAAAGCGGGAGAAAGAAGGCGGCAAGAAAGGCACCATATTTGCCCCCACGAAAGGCGGCCGCGGCGGAAAGGGCTCCTCGGAACAGTCACGACGCGGAGATGCGCGAAGCCCCGGCGCAAAGAGGCGCCTCGGAGACGCCCGTCCCTGCTCTCCCTCGCCCCTGCCCCAAGACGCCGTGCCCGCCTCCCCTCGCTCCCTCCCCTCAGGCCTAAGGGACGCAGTTACCCTCGACGGTCTCTTCCAGCGTCTCCTCGTCACTGTCCATGGCTCAGCGCGGAGAGACAACTTCCTTGGCTCGGCTGGCCCTGCTCGCGTCCCGGCACTCGGCCGAAGAGGGCGGCTGGCTGCCGCCGTGTCCCCCCGAGAGCCCACGAAGGCGAGCGAGGGGCCGCCACCGCGCAGCGCGCCCTAGCAAGCCGCCAGTGCCTGCGTCGCCGCCCGCTTGCTCGTCTCCCCACGCTCGGCGCTTTGTTATAGAGCAGCTGATCCGCTGACATCACCCTGGGCTGGGGCTGCTCTCTGACTGACAGCTCCCCGCGCAGCCCCAAAAGCAGGGCCCGCCGCCGCCGCCGGGAACAGGCGAGGCGGGCGCACGACGCACCCGGCCCTCCGCGGTAGCGCGCGCAACCAAACGCTCGCGGAGCACGAGGGTCCAGCCTCGCCGCCGCCGCCGCTGCTTAGAGTCTCCCTGGTATCCACGCGCGGGAAGGAAACTCGGGGCGGGAAAGAAGGGCTTCACTAAGGACTAGGTTGCGCCACGCAGCGCAGCGGGATGGCGGCGTGCGCGGAAAGGCGCGCGCACACTCCAGCTGCCGCGGCCCGCGAGCAGAAACACGCCGGAGAGGAGCCGGAAGGAAGCACCTCATGGGCCGAGGCGCCCGTTCTTAGAGCCGCTTTCCTGGGACTAAGCCCCATTGGGTAAGCACTCAGTGGTGCTGTCTTCTGAGTATTTTATTTTATCAAATTTGCATACCGCCTTTCATCAGCAGGTCTCAGGGCGGTTCACAACACAAAAACGCCACATGGTAAAATACATGATAAAAAAGCACAAACACCCCCCCCAACTTGTCTAGGATTGCACGGTAACTGGCGAAGCAAACGAGCCAATTTGGAGGTATATAAATCAATAGCCACGTAGATTCAGCCTCGAAGTGAGAAAGAAGTAATAAACTGGAGCCCGGTTTTCATAGGGTGCTTCTGAATGGAGCCTTGTATCGCAAGCATAAAGGTCAGATCTGCACATATACTATACTATATAAGGCTGTTCATTATATTGTATAAACTGATGGAAGTACCTTTATGATGTACTGTATCTGGTACCAGTGTCACTGTGTCTGTCTGTCTGTCTCTCTCTGTGTGTGTATAAACACACACACACATATATATAAACACAAGCTAGGATATAGACATACCAAGAAACAAAATAATATTGAATGCGATTTGAAGAGTGTTTGCATGTCCCCCTTCTTGGAGGTCTTCAAGCACAGGCCAGACTAGGTGTCCTCTAAAAAAATAACTGGCCAACTACATGAGAAGCTTCTGGCTTTACGCGTTGTTTCTGGCTGGGAGCAAAAGGTCTTTAAAGATGTCTTTCTAGGTCATTCCAGCTCTCCTTCTAGCACAGTACTTTGGCTCTTATTGTGGCAAACATTTGATGTTACAGAGGAAATTTACAGCCAGTGGATCAATATGTACAGCAAAATCAGTTTATATCTACTTAGACTAAATCCAACTGTGCTCTAGTTAAGAGTGTATATGATTGTAATCTGAAAGGTTACCTTTCCATTCTCCAGCACTTTGAACCTGAGATTTTGCACACTTGAACCCAATGCTCTAGTCTAGTCTAGCCCATTGAGTAAGGAGAAACAATTTGATAGGAAACTGAGGTTTGGACCAAAGTCATCAACCAAACAAAAGCATGTTTATCTGGGTTTTAAACAATGCACAACAAAGTATGTTCATGAACCACCACCACCCCATTCCCCTTCTATACTGTTGCAAATAGTTTCTATTTTTTTAACTGAAGTATACTCATTCATCTGTGTTTAGTTACACTTTATCCAGCAGCCAATATATGACACATGCTTTAAGGAGAATCCCTCTCCTGTGCCAGTTAGAAATATTACTTCGCTTTCCCTTTAGTGGTGCTTTTCCTGGTAGACCTAGTTCCCATCAAAAATAAAACTGAGCAGCAAAGTTGAAGAAGAGCTTAAGCTTCCTAGCTTTATCTGTCTCTGTCCCTGTACAATGTACCATTGTTGTCAACTCCCACAGGATAGGAAGGGCACTTCAGTTCCTAAAAGCAGATATATTCATTACATACCTATTTTCTGGGAATTAACATGAGCCACATAAAGGCTGCTGAGAAACACCTCTGTGGCTTACAGCATGTTTATACATCTTCCTGATAATCATCCATTCCCACACTTTTCAGTGCTTTTCCTTTTCACTTTCCAAATTGCAAAAAGTCTCATTCTTTTTTAAAGCTACTTTGTTGCATTCAGACTGGGGTGGGGAACCTCCAACCCACAGGCCGGTTTGGGTCTTACATGGGTCCCAGTTTGTCTCACAAGTCCATTTCCTTCAAACTACATATACTTTTTCCATACCTAAAGTCATTTATGATGTATGGTGTGGACACAACTGGCATGCAGCCAACCCCAGCAGAAAGCAGAGCAGAAGTCATTGCCTGTCAGCTAATGAGCAGTGACTTTGCGACTGCTGGATCAGCTGAGCAACCAAGTTCCCCATGGGAAACTCAATTGCACAACTGATCCTTGCAGGAAAATAGCTTTGCCTGCCCTTGGCTCAGCACTTCCCAAGCTGAGTGTTCCCAAGTGTCCAAAAGCCAGTTGGGCCTTTGACAGGTGGGTGGGACAACCCACTTGTCAGTCATCAGCTGGGTTCCACCCCACCTGTCAAAGGTGCCTTGGGGGGTGGGGTGAGGACAGGTGAGGCCAAAAGGTGTCCCACCTTTGCTCTAGGGCAACAGGCCATTTTAATTCACTTTAGTTATGCAAACCTACATTTATGGTATGTGCTTGAATCCCTCCCATAAAGTAGTGACAGTCTGGAGACTGTGTGGCAGTGGCTCAATGCAGAGATTTGTTTTGTCAATTGGTCCTACTGTGTGCAGAGAGTTTTCTTGCCAACTTTGTGCAGAACTGCACAGTAGTCTTTCCACATGGGGAACTTCCCAATTTGGATGATTTATCAGTGCCCTAATCATTGCTTTTCTGCTTTAGGCTAGAAGTGAAAAAGGAGCTCTAACTGCAGATTTCTAAGACCCTGTAGCCAAATGGGCAGTTGCATGACTCCCAGCTTCAGAGAAGGGGAGTGATTTGCAGTGAGACCATTCTGTGTGGGAAAAGCGTTAAATACCCCCTCACTGTACTGCAGATAATGATTGCCCAAGCTGCAGGGAGAGGGGCGGGGAGGGAGAAAAACAGATATACAGGCAATACATTTTGGGAAGGGAAGGGTAGAAGTGATAGAGTTTACTAGTCCTAGAAAGGAGAGATTATAGAGAAGGAAATGGCTAGCTAGAGCACAATAGTGGTTGAGCAATTTATACAGATGATGGATCATCTACACCTGGGAAAATTACACAGCTGTTCCATTAAGTTTTTCAAAAAAGCTATGGAGAAGATTGGAAGCAGGATGGGGAAGAAGAGGGAGACATTTTGTTTATTAACTCTCTTCATGTAAGCATAACTACGGTACTTCCTCTACAGATATTATACTCATGGGTTAGAGGGCTTTCTCTGCTGATTGCAACTTTGCCAACTCCTGGTTAGGATCCTAAATCTCTGGGCCAGATAGTCCTCATTTCCAGCACACTCTGGAGCAGCTGCCTCTCTGGGATGGGAAAGACCCAAGTAAGTGATTCTTTTAGAGGTTGAGGCTGTGGAAAGTTGGTTAGAGCATGGTGCTGATAATGTCAAGGTTGCAGGTTTGATCCCCATTTGGGACAGCTACATATTCCTGCTTTGCAGGGGGTTGGACTAGATGATCCTCAGGGCCCCTTCCAACTCTACAATTACATAATTCTATGAAAGGGAGAACAAATCTTATTTTGGCTTCTCTTCCAGGCATATTCCTCCCTCTAGGTCTTAGCTCCAGTTCAGAGGTTTCAGGAGCAGCACAGAGATGTTTGCAAAAGAGCTTTCAAGCAGGCTTACACTAAGCTTTGGCTGTGTGCACACCTGTTACCCTCAGGAGAAGTGGTGCACACAGCCAGTGCTGAATAAAACCCTGTCCCTGCCTATCGGCTAACATCAACCTCCCCCCCCCACATCAGCTGAGTGGCATATGGGTGTGGGTTTTTTTAAGGCATTACAGACCAAATGTGACAACCTGTCCAGCCAAGATTGTTTCACAGGCTGATGGTGTCCAACCCCTGCAGTACAGAATACATCTGCTGTGAAGATTATATGGGTGAAATGGGAAAAGGCAAGAGATTTAGAAATGAGGTGAAGTGTAGGGCATAGAGGAGAGGCGAGTCAGAAGGCAAAAGAGAGATGGGCAAACTTCTCCCACCATAACAATGAGTTGGCAGGTGCTATTTCTTTATAATACTATGGAGAAATGGCACCTGCCAATGCAATGAATTTGGAGAAAAAAGGAACATGGGAGATAACTGGTACAGATGAATAGAGTGTGATGGCAAATTCACAGTATGTCGAAAGTATAATAGCACAGTTTAAGCTCCCACCCAGGCAGGAGACTGTGAGACTTCCCAGGAGCTCACCAGAGCCCATTTATTAGGCCTCTTTTGTTCTCATGCTATATGCCTGGAGAGAAAGTCATAACAGAAAAGCATCCCTATAAACAATGACAGCAATGGGCTAGGAGCTTTATATACCGTACGCGTCTTCGCCTCTTCCCTTACTTTTCATACTTTGCCAATGCTAAGTTACCTTAAACCTTTAAATAGTTTTAAAAGAGAATGTGTAGCCATTCTGGAAAAGTGGTGATGGCACAGACATTGTCCTAGGCCACCTTTCCCTAAGAATGAGAATGAGGAGGCAGAGAGGGAGGTGGAGGTTTGCTGCCATTGTGTTAGCAGTAGCATAGCATTGAAACTAAAGGGTGTGGAGAGCTGGGGTGTAAGGAAAGCAAGTGGAGTCCAGGAAATGCTAAATTGTTGCCCTACTTTAGAGAAACTATTGCATCAGTTTCTCTAACAGGTGGGCTAGTGTTGCCTACATTGAAATAGTTAGTACCTGTTGTTTGTGCTCCTGTATCCACAACCTGAGCCTTCTGTTGCAGTTTCCTTCTTTAAAGAATGTGGCCATTATCTCAGTTCCTCGCAAGCACTTTAAAAAGCCAAACCAATTAATTTTGAAGTCCTGGCATAAAGTCCCAGTTGTTGGGACCCCATTCCTTTTGAAATTAATTAAACTCCTCTTTTAGCAGCTGCGGATCATTTCTAATTCTGCTTCTTATTTTTGATCAGCCCCTGTTTGTAATAATCCAGTCTATCTCGCAGTCTTTTGTCTAAATAACCTCACACTTGAGAGAAAAATCTAGATCCCAATCTGGGCTTTGAGCAACTATGCTCAGCTGCTCAACAGGGGGCATCTGGCAAACTGATGAGTGTGGCTCAGCCACTTCAGTGTGTCATTCATCAAACATTCCTGGAAAAACTGTGACCAGCTACAATGGCTGTTTACGGACAGAGAGTCACTTCTGAGAGATGAACTCTCATTGCTGCTTGGGGAGTTAATAAGCCTCTAACATTCCCATCACACTGATTAACTGCTCACTTTGGGGAGTGGAC